CCAAACCCAACGGTTCTTTGGCAATACTTAACACCATATCGTTTATGACTCCAGTAGGGGATGGCGATTCGTTGTAGTCGACGTTTCAATGATCGACAGCTTTCTCATTCGCTTGCCGTCAAAAGCCCGTGCTGCCTTGGGTCTTTCCATCAATGGGGTGCCGCGTGGGCCAAGTGGCCCGCCTGGACCACCGGGTCCGCCAGCCCGCCCTGTTCGAAGCAGGCGACCGAGCCAGTCGCGCGTGGTTCGCCGACCTGGACGAGCACCGTGTTGTGGTGTTGCTGCTGGCGGACGATCCCGACGACGACGACGGAGGCCCCCACTCATCCTCAGCGACATACGCTGACGTTGACACTGACACACACACACACACACACACACACACACACACACACACACACACACACACACACACACACACACACACACACACACACACACACACACACACACACACACACACACACACACACACACACACACACACACACACACACACACACACACACACACGTCTCATCGAACAAGCCAACAAGTCATCGCACGGGTGTCTTGTTGTTGGTTGTTGTCAGAGTCGAAGTCTTTGTTATGGGTTTGGCTGCTTGTCACTCGTTCAAAGCAGATACTCAAGCTGGATAATCTTTTTTTCGTCGCTTCGAGTCGCAGTCTTTTTTTCTGTTTTGCTGTGTTGTTTTTTACTTTTTCTTGGTATTTTCAGTTTTGTTCCTCCCTTTTTCGCTTCAAGTTTCCACAACCCCCAAAAATCACCCAAGCCAAGCCTTTCTTTGCTTACCCCCATTCAAGCCCACGCATCCACCCCGCAACTAAATGGTGTACAGCTTCATTTACGGTGGCTACAAGGCCATTACCAAGTCGAGCAAGCGACGCCGACAACGCCGCATCCAAAGCACGGTGCGGCTGCCAGACCACCCGACGCCAGGCTCGTTCGAGTACAGCAGCGTGGTTTTCATTGCGCGCTCGAACGCCGAGTACGACGCCACGCCAGCCGCCGCAGCAGCAACAGCAGCTGCAGGGAATGCTCCTGGAACGCCGCTCTCACTGTCGGGAGAAATGCGCCAAATCCCAAGCGCCACTCCGCACCAGCCCAACGCCGGGTTTGTTCCTGGCACGTTCGCGCCTCCTCCGGGCCCCAGCGGTGAGTCGGCACCTCTTCTTTTGTCTTGCTATTTTGTTGTGTTTTGCTGAGGGTGAGTGGCGCGTTTCCGACAACAACGAGATTGAAAAAGTTCGCAAGCCGAAGCGAAAAAATGAAAAACGAGAAAAAAACAAAAAAACAAGAACGCTGCGCATTCAAAGATCGATGTGCGAACAACAACGAACGACGCCTCGGAACATCTTTGACGCTGCCTCGCTCTCCCACCAACGACGAGGACTCAGAGAAGGAACAGGCAGAACTGAATGGAGCAGAGTTGCCAAACGTCGTCAGTGAGAACGGAGCTCTCACGAAGCGGTCATTTGTTGCTGTCAACAAATCGCGAATTTTATTGGCTTTTGTATTTGAATTTGTGTTGTTTTTTACGGCCGTTGAGTCGCTGGGTTTTTTGGCTGGCTCTGTGATTGCGCAGAGCAGCCCCAGTGAAAGGGGAAGGGTGCACACAACGGTTGCGGAAGGTGGTTGTGGATGGGGACTGCGGGTGGCTGGTGGCACGGGTGGCTGCACGGGTGGCTGGATGGGTACTAATGGGCACTTGAGGCACCCACTCGTGAGCTCATTAGTGTGGGAAAAGGAGAAAAACAAACTTGATTTTAAAATTTCATGCTGTTTAGCAATCATCAAAACATTGTTTGTGGCAAAAGACGTGTTTGGCGAATATATTCAACCAGACATGTCTCACTGTGCATCTAACACCGCTGAACGCTCCTCGCTTGTTTGATACATTCTTGTCTGCTCGGTTGTGACGCGCGCAGACTCGGAAGGCAAGGACCAGGCAGAATCGCCAAATGTGCACTTCAAGCTCAGCAACCCGTCGTCCGACTCGACGCTGCCAACCGTGACGCACCCAAGCCAAGTTGTGCGCCAGCATTCGGACTCGTCGTATTGCAACCATGACGCGTGCCGAAATAACAGCGGCGGCAACAGGCAACAGCAGCAGCAGCAAGTGATGGCGTTGCGCCGCGGCTCATCCACCATGTTCCGCTCGGAGCCGCTCGCGCCACGACCGAGCATTGCACCGGGCGCGCTGCACCACTGCGTTTGCCTCAAGACGACCGAAATGTCGCGCTTCAAGGTGCGGTCGCTGGCCATCTGCAATGGCTACCTGCTCTTGTTCCACGACAAGAACAAGACGTGGAACACGCTCGCCACAAAGTACACGGACTCGCACCGCGAGCCCATCAATCTCAACGATGCCATCGTGTACATTAGCCAGAGACGGCGCCACGCTCACCACTACGTCTCGCCCATGCTCCGCGCGCGCTCGTCCAGCGTGGCTGGCGACTCGACGGACAGCGGCGTCGACATTGTCCCTGCCATCAGCGCGCGCCACGGCATCCTCGACGACATTCGCGAAGATCCGACGCATGCCACGGAAGAAGACGACGATGCAACCACTGGCAGCGGCTCGGGTGGCCTGAAAGAAAACAAGGAGAATGTGATTGAGAGCGCGGGTGACACTGCTGCTGGTCAGTCGTCGAGCAACCAAGCCCCGGCTAGCGCCGCGAATCGCCGCGTGCTCTGGTCATCCTCGGTGCCATCAACCAGCACCGCGACGGAATATCGAGACGGATCCTCCGTCCGCGTTGGCGCTGGTGGCGGTGCGCCCGCCTTCCGCCGCCCTTCCATCGTTCCCGACATGGTCATGGACGAGGAGATGGTGCGACGGGTGCAGGCACTTGCGCCGCTGACCTTTGTGATTGAGCCCCGTGCCCAGTCGCATGGCCACGTTATCAACCACACAGGCTCCACGAACGTGGCCCGAGCCGAGTCTCCAGAGGTGCAGGAGACCGAGCCATCCTGCTGGGGCTCGAGCGGCTCGTCCACCAATACGTCCAAGCCCCGCACCTTTCCAGTGCTGCATATTCGACCGCGGACGCTCGCAGAAGGGCGGGAACTGCTCAAGGCGCTGTCTCGTCATGCCGAGATCCAAGAGTGTCTCGCCCACGACGACGATGCTGGCGAGCTGCCGGATTTTGGCAGCACGGTCAGTCTGAACCGAGCGTCGCTTTGAGAATTTTACGCGTAGCAGCGCGTGCTTTGGCCGTTCGCGCTTTTTTGCTCTTCTTGTACAGCACGCATGTAGTTTTGTTCTTGTTTCGTTCGCTCGCTATAGTTTTGATGTTGTCGGAGTTCCTTTTTAGATTGTGTGCCGGCAAGAAAAGCCGAGTCAAAAAAATTCAGTGTCGCATTTGTTTCATGTTCACCCACCTCCCACGCGCGTAGCTTTCTGTTTTCATATTTTTGGTCAACTATCAAAGAACGACCATTGTGGTACACAGGCCCTGTCAGTCGTTTCCAAAGTGATGCAGCGAGTCGGAGCGCTGTCAAGGCGAATTCTCGCGGCTGCTCCGGGAGTGCTGCCGTCCCGCCGTTGCGACCGTCTCGGCCTGCCCGTCTCGACTGGATCGTTCCGTCTTGCCTGTGTCTCTGCGAGCATCACGGCCCCGGCGTTGTCTGGCCTGGTAATGCTCCGCGCACCGTCTGGTTGGAATCCATTCATTCCCAAGCAAGCGCTCGCTCGGTGGGAGAGGCAGGGGGGGAGGTCTCGACCCTACTTCCCATGCTTCATTCTGAAAGAGCTTGCATGGTGATGGGCTGCTGATGGTGGGAAGGACGACGGGAGGAGGTGGCGGCAGCTATGCTGATAGGGATCTCAGTTCCGAACGCCTCGCTCGTTTCCCATCCCCCGCTGCCTGAAGCTGGATCTGCGCCGAACGCCATGACTGACTTTTCTGTCATTCTTCTGAATGCATGGATTGCAGGGTCTGTCAGTGTCGCCTGTGAGCCGCTCCATTCACCAGTATGCCGCAGCAACGCCAAGACCCGGTCGCCTGTCTCAAGGCATACAACCACTCAGTGCGCCAGTTCTGGCCAGCTCCATGTTCCAAGCACAAGTTGGTGCATTTGGGCCCGTGCAGTCCTTGTGCGGACCGTCAAGTGTCCGATTCAAAAAGTGTATGCCGATTTGCTGCGGATTGAATCGATTGATTGTGGGGGCGGGAATTTGAGCATGCCAAGACACTCACGCACACAAAAACACCTTGGTCAGATGTTGTGCCAGCGAGCAAAATCACCCAGTCCGAGCTGTCTCGATTGATGGGCCTAGCCAAGCCTGAGGCACGCACCTTGGCGAGTATGTTCCGGGTTTGCTAAACGACCATTTGTGTGCGCGTTTGTTTGCGCCGCTCACGATTCGGTATCGTTTGCTCTCGCTGGTACTCTAGTTGCTGTTGGACTATTGGTCGTGTCGTCAGCTGTGACCATGGCAGTGCCCTTCTCGATGGGTCGAATCATTGACATTATTTTCGCCGAAACGCAAGGTGGCTCTCACCAACGACTCGTCGAGTACACTCAACTACTGATCGGCGTTTTCTTGGTGGGTGCCGCTGCCAACTATGGACGTATCGTAATGATTCAAAATGCCGGTAGGTGACTGCTCTGTCATGCTTCAACAAAGCGCCCTGGCAAACCCCCAAATCTTAAAATCATCACCTCCGTTTCTTGCTTTCACGGGATAGGTCAAAGTATCGTGGCTCGGCTTCGTCAAAACTTGTTTTCCTCCATCATGCGCCAGGATGTCGCGTTTTTCGATCGCAATCAGACTGGTGAAGTGATCAACCGGTAGGTTTGCATTGCGACGCTTTTGGTTTTGTTTTGTTTCCTGCGTCTTTTGCGATTGGCTCAATCCACCGCATCACACCTCTTGGTCCAACAGACTCGCGGCTGATACCGTTGTCGTTGGCAAGGCAGTCACGGACAACGTTTCGGATGGCCTGCGCAGTGTGGCGTCGGCGGTTGTTGGCATTGGGATGATGGCTTTCATGTCACCCAAGCTGACTTTGGTGGTTCTTGGCATTGTCCCGCCAGTGTGCATCGTTGCTGTGCTGTACGGCCGTTACGTCAAGCGCTTGACGCGTCAGGTCCAAGATTCCCTTGCAAACGCGACTCAAGTCGCTGAAGAACGCATCTCAAACATTCGCACGGTCCGGGCTTTCGCCAAGGAGCCAGAAGAAGTGAAGCGCTACGACGGCCATGTTCAGACCGTCTATTCGCTTGGCATTCAAGAGGGCAAGGCGCGTGGAATTTTCCACGGAGCGGTAAAGCAGCATGTTGTCGCGTTTTGCTGTGCCTCTGTGCCTCATCGACAGCGCTCACGCTCATGACTAACGTGGCTTTAACTGGCAGACGGGACTTGCTGGCAACCTGATGATGGTTTCGTTGCTCTGGTATGGTGGCCACATGATGGTGACCAACGAGATTACCGTTGGGACTTTGACCTCCTTTTTGCTGTACAGCGCATATGTCGGCGTTGCTGTTATTGGTACGAAGTTTGGGTCGTTGTTGTTGCTGTTGTTGGGTATTGCCGTCTAGTTTTGTTGTTGCTGTCGCTGTGAGGTCAACTGCTCGCGTGGTAACCATATTAACTGACCACCCCGTTTTGTTTTGTTTTTCAGGCCTCTCGCAATTTTATTCGGAACTCATGCGGGGCTTGGGTGCAAGTGAACGCTTGTGGACCATTCTCGACTCCAAGCCAACCATCCCTCTGTCAGGTTGGAGTCCAACAGTTCCAAATGCAAACTCGCTTTTTTTGTGACATAGAAACTGTTGCTCACCACCACAGAGCTTGGTTTGCTTGCTGACCGCACAGAGGGTCACAAAATCCCGCACGATCGCTTCTTTGGCAAGATTGACTTCCAGAATGTCGCATTCGCCTACCCCACGCGGCCCGACGCCCCAGTGTTTAAAAATCTCTCGCTCACCGTCCCGGACGGCAAGATTCTCGCCGTTGTCGGCACGAGTGGCGGTGGCAAGAGCACAGTGGGCGCCCTGCTGCTGCGTCTGTATGATCCCGACAGCGGGAACATCTTGATTGATAACTACAACGTGCGCGAGCTTGACGCCAGCTGGATGCGCCAGCAAATTGGTCTGGTCAGTCAAGAGCCCGTCTTGTTTTCCGGCACCGTCGCAGAGAACATTGCCTACGGCCATCCGTCGGCCACGATCGAGCAGATTCAAGATGCGGCTGTTCAGGCCAACGCCCATCGCTTCATCACAGAGTTTCCAGAGGGATTCAACACGATCGTCGGCGAACGCGGCCAGAGCCTGTCTGGTGGTCAGCGTCAGCGCATTGCCATTGCGCGTGCGCTGCTCAAAAACCCACGCATTCTAATTTTGGACGAAGCCACGTCGGCACTGGATGCGCAGAGTGAGCACCTCGTGCAAGAAGCGCTCGAGCGTCTCATGCAAGGCCGCAGCGTCATTACGATTGCACACCGCCTCTCCACCATCCGGAATGCAGACACGATCGCCGTGCTCGGCAATGGCGAAGTTGTCGAGTCCGGCACCTATGCTGAGCTCATGGCGCTGCCTGACGGTCAATTCAGGAAGCTAGTAGAGCGGCAGACAATCTCTGCCAACTGATCGATTTTGTTTTGTGGTTTTTGTGCGACTTTTTGTGTTACTACGTGCTGTGTCTGGATGACAATTGAAAAGCTTGGATCCATGGATCAACCTCGACTGGACAATTGTGTGGTGTTTCCTTAACAATCCGTTGCCCAAACACAAAAACGAGAGGCACAAGAAACTAAAACACGGCCCAAAACTCATTGCTCGGCTGAGGGATACAGCGCGCGTGGAATATGAGCAAGCTGGTCGCGCCTGAACGCAATGCCGGGTCGCACCAAGTGCTCGCATGCGCAAACAAGACCTGAGATGAAGAAAGCAACAAAATTCACATGGGAACAAAAATGAGAGGGGGGGGGGAACCATCAACAACATGGCAAGCGTTCGGGTCCCTACCGTCTTGCCAGTCAACGTCCCCAATGGTGGCGGAGCACCGAGGGCAGAGCAAATGCGTGGGGCCTTCTTGCGAAGCCTCAGTCTTGCGCATCCAGTCTTGGGGCTCCACAAACAGGTACTCGCAGGCAGCCGTGCCGCGGTGGTCGGACGAGACGGGAGATGCCAACTCGACCGGCAGTGAGCCCAACCCGTGTCCAATCATTGCAAGAGCCGAGCATAGACGGTGGTTGCAATGCTTGCAGCGCACAAAAAAGTCGTCCGCGTCTGCATCGGGCAGATGACCGAGCTTTTCCCGATTTTGCAGCGCAACGTGCACCAGGTAGCGATCAATCACAATGTCGAACGGTTCTTCTTCGATGTTTTCCATGTGAACCATTCGGAGGGCTTGCCACTTGTAATCTGGCGTCGATCGGTCGACCTTGCCACGCGACGCGATAAAAACACGGAGTTGGGCTTCAAAACCGAGGTTTGGCCTAAATTGTACACGAACTGAGTAATTGCGCCCAAGATCCATCCCATGAACATCCGGGGGTTTTACCTTGCAATAGGACGAGCTTGTTGGATGATCTTGAGGGCGCGGTCATACGTGAGTGGTTCAGCTGACGAGGCGCAAAATGACCCAAAAAAATGAAAAACGCCAAAACCAGCCACAAAGTTTGTCGAGTTGTCAAGGTATCTTTCTCGCCCGCTCTTATCCCTCCGAAAGAAACCCAAAACATGAAACACGCCCAATAGCTCAAAACATACCGGAAGAGAACGATGTGTAGGCGAGGTATGCAAGCACAATAGAGGCCGATCGCGAGACGCCTGCTGCGCAATGCACAAAAACCACATTCTCAGCTACACCGTTGGCATTTGCACGGAGAGCCTCGTGGATGAAGCCGACACACTCGGGAATGACCCGAAGGAGATCTTCGCTTTCCGTGTCTTGAATGACGCATTGCTTGTGGGTGACTGGACGAGTTCGCACAATCCCCGAAGGATTCGAAGGATTGGTGACGTCGGCAGCGCCACGCGATCCAGAGCCCTTCTTGCCCGCCGCCGAGCGTTGCGCAGCAAAGTCAGAGGCCTTGCGATAGTCGGCAATGAGCGGGTGCTCGCCAGGCCCAGCGGCGGACGGGTAGGTCTCCAACACTGGGGCAATTTGAGCATCCACTTTCGTCATCGACAAGACATGGGTGACTTGGCAATAGTTTGGCGCAATCAGGCTTGGGTCGCGAGTCAGCGTCGAGAAGCGGACCATGGAAAAGTCCAGGATGTCACCAAGCCACAAGCCCGCGGTGATGAGGTGCATTGTGTTGCGAGCGACGAGCGACCGGGTAAAAGAGGGGTGTGAAGAAAGGAGGAGTGGCGTTGGGTAAATCTGAAACAAAAAAAGAAAAGGTGTCAACGCGTGTCTGAGAAATGGGTAGCAGATAGCACATCGCATCTTTGATGAAACTGAGGCAGGAGAGGTGAACTCGAGTTTCAGAAACGAGACGTCGGTTCGGATTGGGTTTTTGGTTCTTTCTTGCCAGATCGAAAAGTTACCGAACGTCGCCCACCCAGCCTATTGACGCTGTCGATCAAGAAAACCAAATGCCACGCACGTTCAGTGCACTGCATTGCATTGATTCCATCACTTGTGCATCGAGGCAACGCAATTGGCAGTGCTTGACAAATTGTAACTTCCAACGATTATCCTCAGCCCCATTCGCTCCTGATCGCTCGACACTACAAACTCAATTTGATCATCGCGTATTATAAACGACAAACTAGAATCGATTCTCGAACGTCGACTCTGAGCAGACAACTCGGAGAGCTCGGAGCAAAACCCTGGGAAAAATAAACAAAAAAGCTGCTCGGAGCACTCCAAGTGGAAAATGTTGTTTTGCGGCGGTTTAAAAGCGCAGCCCCGCAATCGCTCAAGCAAGTCACTCTTCTTTTTTTGTTACAAACACAATGTTCAGCAACACTTCCAACAGCAACGCCAACAACGCCAACTGCTCCGAGCAGTCGCAACAGCAGCCATCGTTCCATCACTTTGGCCATCATGGCCATCATGATTTCCATGGCCATCACGGACACCATGGCCATCACGGACACCATGGTCACCATGGCCATCACGGCCATCACGGCTTTCACGGACACCCTGGACCTCATGGTCACCACGGCTTTGGTGGCGGATTCGGAGGTCGCATGGGCTTTGGCCGTGGACACCCGAATCCTGCCGCTTTTGGGTTTGGTTTCGGCTTTCCCGGCCACGGCGGCCCAGTTGACCCCCGCTGCCAAGCCTTTGCTTTCGGCGACATGAATCGCCCTGGCCCCGAGGCCGATCGCTTTGCTGAGCTCTTCCGACAGCGCTGCTCGATGATGTCGGAGCATCTTGCCAACAAAATGAACGCCAGCAGCTCGACCGAAACGGGCTCGGACTCGGACTCGTCGTCGGATGAGCAGCCTTCCGCGCCTACTACGACTGAGACCACACACCAGCTTTCCGACCAGCAGAAGGAAGCCATCAAGCAGCGCTGGCGTGCGCGTGCTCTTCACGTCGTGGAGAAGCTGACCAACAATGCCACAGCCCAAGCCTTCGCTCCCGGCCTCACCGACGACGCCTTTGAGCAGTGGTTTGCCCGCAAAATGACCAAGCGTGCCAACTGCAAGCGTCGTCGTCATTGCCGCTTTGCTCGCTTTGCTCGCTTCTGGACCCAGCCCGAGCAGTGTGGACTTTTCGGCTGGGATTCCTGCACTCCGAGCGATCGTACCGCCACCCCCTGCGCTCCGTTCACCGCCACCTCCGCCACCTCCTCCGCCGCCAGCTGCTCGGCGGCCATGTCGGCTCCCTTCGGCAACAATGCGGCGTCTTCCAGTGATTCTACCGCTGCAGCTGCGGCATCTGGGTCAGAGTCCGCTGCCAAGCACGCTCGCGCACGCCCGGTGCGCATCCAGTTTCTGATCGAAGGCGCCCTCGTCCACGACAACGCCGAGGCGGCAAAGCAGCTCTTCCAGAACATTTCGGCCATTGTCCGCCGCGACCAGACTGCGAGTGACTTCAAGTGCAAGGACGCCGTTGGCATCAGCGTCTTTGGCGATGACCAGCTGGTCGACGTTCTGCCCATGACACGCGTGAAAAAGGTCGATTGGGAGCAGACCATTGCTGCCGGCACCAAGGCCACCATTCCGTGTGCGACCAGCAACCTTGGCGACGCCATCAAGCTTCAGCTCGAGATTTCTGCCCAAGAGATGGCCGAGCGCCCCTGGTGCGCGCGCGCCGCCCAGTTCCTGATTGTTCTCACCAGCGGCGAGGACCACACCAGCGACGTTGCAATCGGCGACGTGTCGGCGCTCCTCGTTGCTCACGTGGCCCAGCACAACACCACGCTGGCGGTTGTTGGCGTGAATCTGACGCCCAGCACCCAAGTTTACATTGACGCGCTTACCAAAGATGCCATGAACGCCAAGTCCAGTCTGATGCTCCCGTGCGCCACGCCAAACCTCGCTCCTGTCATTCCCCAGCTCGTTGCTGCCATTGCCCAGCAGCGCACTGCCAGTATTCCAGCGCGCTCCACCCCTCGCAGCACCAAGCGCGAAGAAAAGCGCGCTGCCAAGCAAGCCAACTAGAATCGTTGCGCTGCTTGTTTTCTTGATGTGTATTTCTTTGTTGATAATGTACTCGGCAATGTCTTTTGTGTGTCTTCAAAAGGCTTTTTCAAAAACAAAACAAACAAAATCAAAAACAAAAAAACAATAAATTTTGTACCGTTTGACTCAATGTTCTCGTGTGAATTCGCAAGCAAAGGGGAGAGGTGTTGGGGGCTTATGTGACATATGGGTACATTGATGTAACGTCCAGGTCGCAACACCAAGGTTGCGTATCGACGAAAAACCGACTGAAAGTTTGGGAGTCGCTGATACTTTTTCTTTCGTTGTTGCCTTCGGCTCAGCCAGCCAGGAGGGTTTGTAATTACATGAGTGATGTTGTTTCACCCAGCTCCCACCGAAACTGAGGGTCTTGTCTTGTCTTGCCAAGCAGCTCGAAATGCGAGATTGTCGTTTCGCCGCCTGTCCGCCTTCTCACCCCCTCCTGTTTTTTAGTTTTTTTCAATCGTCATTGTTAATACAAGACACCTTGCTTCCCTCTTATATTCCTCACTCTTCCATCTCCAACCCAGAGCATGTCCCTCTTCCAGCAGCAATCCACCCAACGCCAAAGCAACAACCGGCTTGTCGAGTTCCGCGCCGGCCGTCTGACCCAGAGCGGCACCACCGTCACTGCCGACCCGCGCAAGGGCCTCCTGTACATGCATGTGGTGCGTTCATCTTTGCGTCAAACCCCCCCCCCCCCCCTCCATCACGCAGTCAGAAGGACGAGCGCAGTGCTGCTTGGGGCAAAACCGTTTTTCGCGATCTCAACGTCCTTTCGTTGCCTTCTACTACTCGTCTCAATGGTCAATGAGTCGCACTCTGCTCACGCTGCGTTTGTTGTTGTTGGTGATTTGCTGGCTTGCTCTGTGTGTGTGTGTGTGTGTGTGCAGGAGCCCACCGACCAGCTGCTGCACTTTGTGTGGAAGGACCGCGGCACTAACGCCATTGTCGACGTAAGTGAAACTCTGAAGAAATCACACTCCGCATCTCTCAGAAAAAATGGTGATTCATCTGAGCCTTGTCGGATGTGCATCACTCCAACATGCGCAACTTGTGCTGACAATATCGCTGACAATATTGTCGCCTTTCGTTCCGTTTCGTTTCGGTAGGATTGGATTATCTTCCCGGAAGACGCGGAATGGAAGCGCGTCCCGCAGTGCACGACGGGCCGCGTCTACTTGCTCAAGTTCAAGTCGTCCGACAAGCGCTGGTTTTTCTGGATGCAGGAGCCCAAGATTGACAAGGACGACGAGCTGGCCGAGCGCATCAACAAGATTCTCACATCCAGCGATCCCAGCTCGCTGGCTCAGCCGCAGCCCTCGCCCGCTGTCAGCCGCCAGTCGGCCCTCATGCAAAGCATGGGTTTGACGCCCGCGCAAATCACCCAAATGCTTGGCGCGCAGGCGGCCCGACCCCAGCGCTCAAACCGCCAGCGCATGGAGCCGGCTGTCTCGGGCAGCCCTCCGACCGCTCCGCCCGCCACTGCGGCTGCCGCGGCTGCTGCTGCCGCTATTCCTGACACGCCTGTTCCAGAGACCCCCGCCTCAGCTCCATCGGGCGCCGCTGCTGGTGCTCCTGCCGTCACGCAAACGCCCACTGCCTCGGCTGCGCAACAGCTCGAGTTTTTGCAGCAGTTTGCCAGCAGCCTGGCCGCGCCTCGACAGCGCGAGCAGATTGGCCTCTCGCACATTATCACCCCGGACGCTCTCAACCTGCTGCTGTCCAACGACCAAGTGGTCGAGCAGCTCCTGCCCTTCCTCCCCGAGACGCTCCCGCACACGGCCGCCGAGCTGCGCACCACAGTCCGCAGCCCTCAGTTCAGCCAGGCCGTCCAAGCGTTCAGCGCTGCGCTCGGTGCCGGTAATCTCAATGCTGTCATGCAGCAGTTTGGCGTCGACCCTTCCCTTGCCGGCTCGGCCCAGGGCGTTGAGGCGTTCCTCACTGCTCTGCAGCAAAGCCAAAACCAGTCCTCTGGCAGCAGTGATGCGTCCAACACTGGCAGCTCGAACATGGACACTAGCAACTGATGCAAAAAATAAAAACAAGGAGAATAGATGTGTGCGTGGTGTTGCTGGCTTGAGCTTTTCCAGGCCGATTGGCTTGAAATACACTGCCTGTTCATAGCTGTTGTTGTTGGGTGTATTCACTAGTCTTGCAATACGAACGATTGGAGGTCAGAGAATCTCGGATAGGATGAAAAGTCCCATTTGCCCCTCCAAATCCTTTTGTTTTGAAAGAATGCATTCTGGTTGTGTGATAAATACGTGCTAAATAAATAGTACAAAACAATACGTCCTTCAACGCTTCCAGACAAATACGTGTGCCTCTTTGGCGGTCAACGTCATCAAGGCGTCGCGATGAGCGCGCGAGTCTTGAAAGTGGCAGACATCCAATACGGGGCCCGCAAATCCTCTCGCCTGGATCGTCTGGACGCGCTCCCCTGTTGTAGCATTCCACAAATCCACCTGTGCCAGCAAAAAAAAAAAAAGAAGCAAATTTTCGAAAAACCTAAGCGAAACAAAATCAAGAAAACAAACCGCTCAACCCAAAAAGCGAAGCCGCACTTGTCCGGTGGCCTCATCACCAGCAGCTACAAGTAGCAGCCCAGAGAAGGCGGGATGGGGCAGTAACGTGGACCGACTGAGTAACACTTGCTTGGCGCCCGCTCGAAGCTGCAGGCGTGGCAGAGTTGGGTCTGCAGATCTAAGATCGCATACGTACAAGTCCAACAACCACCACAAGCAAGTTCACAAGCACACCACAAGGTCAAGGAAATACGACCAACGGAGGGGAGACAGACTGTCGTAAACGGCACAACAAACTCAGCGGCATCTCGCATTCCCAACAACGAAAAAGGCCACAAATCACGCTCTTCCATAGATGCATCGAAACAAAAAGCCAAACAAAGACCCCCCCCCCATAGCATAAGAACCGATATCATATGGCGAACGTGCGGTCGCTGTGGTGACGGTCGCAAACTAGCCAGCCAGGTGCGCGTCTCGCGATGCACGTAGCTCCAGCTGCATGCACTCCCACTCAAGTCGCCTTCCGAAAGCGCAGGGCGAGCTTGAAGCTGGCCGCCGTCGGACTCTGATGCGCGCGAAGCATCCAGTGGCATGTCGCAAATCCAGGGTCCTCGTAATGTCCCAATCAGCAGACTGGAAGGCAAAGCGTGGTCGACACTAGCACCTTCGGTCGTGTGCGTGAGTCCATTTTTGGCGCTCGAGTAGTGCAGCGAAATAATTGGAACCTTCGAAGGACTGAACGAAGAGACAGGACCTCGAGTGTTGCGAATGTCAAAAACGAGCGTTGACCCACTCTGCAAGCCTGCGTACAGGATGTGCTCGACATCCGTGTTCCACGCGCATGCCCAAGCCGGGCCGTTCACTTGGTATCTAGAGACAAGAGGCGGGAGCATTTTGACAACGGGCAAAATTATTTAGCCGAAAATGCAACGTGTTGGTTTGTTGGTTTTTCGTCTGTTGACAAACTGCTTTGCCTCAACTTACGTGAGCACGACAGAGTTTGTTTTCAAACTCGAAAGCTTAACAGTCTTGTCAGCCGATGCTGTGAGGACGAGAGAGTTGGGCCGCTCGCTAAACTTGAAATCCCGAATGGTGTCGTTGTGGATGCCCACAAACTCGGAATGACTGAACGTCATGTCAATCGTGCTCAGCTTAAGAATCCCGTGACCGGGGCCAAAAGGCGGATTGCCTTGCTTTGAAATGCCAAGAACTCCGTTGACCGAATCAAAACCTGCAATCCGTCCCGAGCCGTTCTGTTCGGTGCAAAAAAAAAAAAAAAACAAGTCAATCGCTGCGGGGGGGGGGATCGGCGCCACTACGCGATACACGGAAATCCATGCGCCTCACCTTGCATACTGGAATGGTCGTCTTGTACTGAAAGCCGGCCGGAGGAGGATTGTTGCTAACAATTTCGGCAGACAGTTTGAGTGAGCTCCCGCAATACCTCAAAAATGCCCCTATTGTTGTGCTAAAGACGTACAGTGGAGGTGGTGCAGCCATTGAATCAGCGGCGTGAGATCTGCTTGACTGCTGCAAGGCTGCTGTTGCTTTAGGAGCAGTAACATCATCCAACGCACGCGAAAAGAGTGCGTCGGTGCCAGGTTCAACGTCAAACTCGTCAAAATCATCTGCAGCCTTCTCGGTAGTTTCGGCAAGTTCCGGCGGCGGAATGGCTGTGCTTTGGACAGAAGGTGGTGCGGCGAGACACTTCGAAACAACGACCTCGGCAGTGCCAAACGCAAGGGCAGCCTCCCCGACGCTCGATGACGAGACTCGGCCAGGAGTCCAGCTTCCGTCAACAGTCGCCTTGCTGATGCTGCTGCTGATGCTGCTGCTAGAGCTCTCTTGTACTGGTGTGGTGGCGGCAATGACGGGGGCGCAGCGCGAAAACAAAGACCGCACGGGCGTGGATGACGTCCCTAACGCTGCTGCATCGTGAGACAGCGCCTGGCCGCCCTGGGACTGCAGTGCTGCAATTCTGCGCAACAGCTCTTCTTCCCGCTCGCGTTGGGCGGAAACGAGCTTTCCGAGCCGTTCAACTTCGGCGCGAAACATGGCCGACTGGACGGTTGCACGAGCTTCGGATTGTTGTGCTCGCGTGCGCTCTTTCCGCTCGTCTTCAAGATGCCGAAGTGCACGGTCGCGCTCGGTCGTGTCGATCGCAATCAGAGTTTTCGCGATGAGAATGCGCACGTCCGCTTTTTTGGCTCGTCCGTTGCACTCTGGGCACTTTTCTGCGCTCTTGAGCCAGGTTTCAATACAGCTACGCAAAGCAAGGTTATTTAGAGGAAGCCAGGTGCATGATGAGCCACACTCAACAAAGGCAGCAGACAGCAGCAGAATGCAAGTAAGTCAGAAACAACATGCTCATACTTTTTCCCAAACAAATGCCCACACTTGAGGGCGACAATGCGATGCAATCCAGAGTTCGACCACGATTCAAAGCAAATGCTACAGGTTTGACTCTGCCAAAAGTAGGAGTTGCAAGTTGTATCAATGTAAACCAAATGCCCCCGGCACAAGAATCAACCACATGACAATCGTTTTTGCAACAAGTACCTCTTGAACAAGCTCGGCCAGGTTTGAGTTGCCATGTGGTACGGGAGAGAGGCGCGCTGCTTCCGCTGGCTTGGGACGAGTGGGCACCGCGGCAAAGGCTTGGGCGTGAGGTCGTTTCATGGCGGCGATGGGCGACTGGAAATCGTCGGAAGATCGCGCTGGAGAAGGTTGGATTGGCGGATCCTGCTGCTCCAGCTGCATCACGAAATCAATGCCAGGTGGGTGCACAGCAGCAGCATCGGTCGCCGTCGTCCGTCGGATGGGTGATGAGACATGAGCAGCCGGCGAGCGGAAATGCGCTGCACTGTCTGGCTCGCCGGCAGCCAACGAGTTTCTGAGCGTGTGCTCTCTTCGCCGAACGGCCACCGGAGTATGAAAGACCGCGCTGTCCTCGTCAGCGAGGGCTGCTGCGCTTGGCGGCGAGCCGGGCCGACCCATCTCCCTCCTCGAGCGGTTGACCACAGCAACTGGGGGCTCTGGTTCGCCGGGTTGTGTGGACAGGCCAAAGACTACCAGTGGATGTCGTCTTGGTGCGCTCGAGGTCGGCATTTCCGGCTGCACTGCAGCTACAACGGGAGAATCTGAAACGACCTGAATGTTCTGGCTTGGGCTCGAATCGAGCATTGCACGCTGTTCGAGCTCTTGCTGTTCGCTGGGATCATCGTCATCGTCACGATCTTGCGTCTCCGACAATTCGGGCAATTCGGCGTCTTCGTCCGCGTCCTCGTGTTCTGGCTCTCGAGAAGTGGCGGGAATGGTTTGGCGGGAAAAAAGTGAAACAGCTCTCTGCTGCTCTTCGATGAGCGTCGTTTCGTCCGTCTCGCCACCGTGCCCGCCGAGCGATGACGACGACGACGACGACGACACAATGAAAGTCCCATGAGCAGTCCTGGTTGAGGCCCTTGCCGCGGCAGCTGTCGCAGCATCCTGGCACCCATGGCGGGACCACTGTTCGTCGCGTCGGTCTCGGTCGTCTCCGACTCGCGCTCGCTTCAGCAGCGGCCTCGCTTCCCGGTCAGCTGAGTCTTCCTCATGCTCATGCAGCAAGCCGTCCAAACCGTCCATCTCGTCGCATTCCGTGTCTTGGCCATCCGGGTCGAGCTCCGGTGCACCTCGAAGGTGAGACATGAGAAGTGCTGCACACGCTCAGACAGAACTCACTCCAACCCTGAGATTGCTTCAAAATGGAGACTGCATTGTTGCTTAATTGCTCACAGCTCGCGTAATGTGTTGATTCACTTCCCAATTCAAACCATGAGGGTAGGGGAGACCAGTCTATTTGGTTGCTCATTGAAATACAATGGTAACGTTGAATGCTCCAAAGCGATCGTCCTCTTGTGCTGGCGACTATCTTACAACGTGCCAAGTGACTCGAGATCGAGAGTTAAAAGAGGGAGAGAGCAAGCGAGAGAGAGAGAGTGTGTGTGTGTGTGTGTGATATGGCTCTATGACCAGCCAGCCGTTACTCATCCTTCTGCGACCTGTAGTCTGCCATCTTCAACTTCCAGAGCCTGCTGCTCGTAGTGCTGCTCGTCATCTGCACTTGCACTTACATTCACGACTTTGCTCCGGCACTGCTCGATCGCCACAAGACTGGGTAAGCTGCCCCTCTGCCCTTCTGCACTGCTGCACTGCTGCTGCTGACGTTAGCTCGACCTCCTCCGCGCCTTACTCACCCGTTGTGCGCATCCGCTTCATGGATCTGCGTTTGTGGCGTGCTTGTTTTCTATTCTGTTTAGATTTCTGGGTCTGTTTTGGAAGGCAGCACGCATTGGTAACGACGACACTCACGATTCGCTTTGAACTTTGGGCTTTGAGCTCTCGATCCACCACTATGAACGAAGAGCACCTCAATACGGTACAAATCACTCACATTGGACCTTGCATTGATTGGTTGTGCTGCTTAAACATTTAGGCGAACGGTTAAGCCCCTACGTTTCAATCCTATGTGTGATTTGGGGAGTACATTCTCTACTCACATAGCGAGTTGTTGTTGTTGTTGTTTTTTGCTGTCGAGTGCTCGTGTGTATTGACCGTGGGCAAAATACTAGTAGTAGTTATCAGGTGTTGTATTTCCAAAACGCATCATCAGCCACCAAAAAACCTCAACCCCGCAGAACAAAACGATGCGTTCGTTGATCAAAGTCACTACTTTTTGCCGCTGCCGCGCTGTGGAGGCTTGTAAAACGCACTCGCGTCACATGCTGGCAAGTGCTTGCATTGGCTATCGGGGAGTCTTGCTTCGAGGCCCGCCTCTGTTCCCATAAGGAAAAGCACAACAGCACAACAGCATGAGCTTGTGTCTTGCAACGAGTTTTTTTTTACGCGGACGAAACAATTGCAAGAACAAAGGCTCCTCCTACCTTCGCATTGAATGCATTCCAACAGGTTGAATACATTCAATGCCAGTGACGGGATGTCTGAGCGCTGTTGAAGAATCTCCGCTGCAGAAAACGCAATTCGAAAAAAAAAAATCACAAAAGTAAGCGAAAATGCCAGCGTGGCACGAAACAAATTGCAAAAGGCAACTTAAAAGGTTACCTCGAACGGCCTCGGCCTTGTCACTATGGAAGCACTGCAGAACTTTGGAGAGGTTGAAGCACCGGTTGACAAATTGATAGTCGGGTGCATATCGTGCCTTGTGAATACGGTGGTCAGTCAAGCTTGCGCGAGCCTCCTCAGTGTAGGTGGGGCTCCATGCGGCGTGAAGAGCGACATCCAGAAGCGACAGCTCAAAGAAGGCCCTCTTGGAAACAATGTGGTCGTCGCTGAACTCGACCGTGGAGAAAAAGCCTGGCTTGTGACGTTCAATCACCTCGAGCACCTGAGCCGCGTCGTACCTCCGAAGGTGGGTCTGCCATTGCGGCTGGGCGCCAACCTGTTGAAAGAAAGCGTCCAACTTGGACGACAGCTTCTTCATCACAAGCACGTATTGGAAGGCGCTCAGCCCAAACACATCCTTGACCGAGTGGTCGGTCTGATGCTTGAGCGCCAGGTCAACGTGGGATGGCGAGCCGACAATAATCGCCAAGTGCAAGGAGCTTCGCCCTGCGCCAGCAATGTGGTTGATGCTGTCGCTCGCCAAGAGCAGCTCGGCAGCGTTCTGGCGCTCTTGCCGATGGGTTTCCTCCAACAAGAACGCGGGATCGTAGTGGGATGCAAGCAAGCACTGCAGCGCATTCATGCGGCTGCGATTCAAGCCCTGGATTGCGTCCTTCGAGGCGGACAGAATGTGCCCCACGCTCTCTGGGCAGCAACGAGCCGCATAGCCGAGCGGCGTAAAGTCGCACGCAAAGTTCTTTGGTGGCTCGTGCGAGATGCCGCGGGCGCACAGGTCTGGAACGAGACTGCCGTCACCATACAGATGGACATAGATCGGGGGCAAGAGATCAAAGGAGCACGCGTTCACATCAGCGTTGGCGGCGAGCAAAACGCGACCGCACTCTGCGTAGCGATCAGACGCAATGTGCAACAAACGAAGCCCGTGCTTGTACGGTGCATCCATCATACTCGAGGCTGCAAGAAGAAGCCGGAGCAACGCTGGATTATTGGCAAAGACGATGGCCGCCTGAAGCGCCGTCATGCGGAAGGCGTTCTTGCCGCCGCCGCACGCGTCGACGTTGGCACCATAGACAAGAAAACGGGAAGCCACCGAGCACTGCAAGCTGGGGTTGAACCGCAGGATGCCGGCCACCACCAGATAGAGCGGGGTCTCTTGCTCCCGAGTAACAATGGTATTGATTGCGTTCGGGTGGTGGCGGAAGATGGTCATCAGCGCCTGCAAGTTCAACGATGGATTGCCATCCACGCCACTCGGCTTTGACTCGTCGTCCGGGTCGCGGTGCATTAACGGGACCAGCAGCATGTGGATCGGACTGCACCCGAACGTCTGGGGAAAGAGCTGTTGAAAGATTTCCGGCATGTCTACGCTGGCACCGTGGCGCAGCAAAAAGCACGTTGCCTTTGTCGTCCCGCACATGATGGCCGAAGCCAGAGGGGTCAAAAAGCGAATGTTGTAAGCATTAATGTTGGCGCCTAGCGACAAGAGCAGCTGCATGTGCTGTAATCGCTGGCCCACAACCGCCGCGTGCAGCGGAGAGCAGCCGCACGTGTCTGGAACCTGGAGGACGGAGCGGTTTTCGCGCACATACCTTCGAATTGCATCAAACGAATAGGAACTCTCCTCGCTGCCGACGAGCTGGTGGAATGCCGGGCTGGAGATGGGTGCATCGTCATCCCACACCGACAGCCCCTCGATGGTGGGAATAACCTGGCGGGACGGCGTCAGCATCGGTGTGGCCTTGTTGGTGAAGAGCAGCTCGATGAAGGGCATGTCGGTGCCGGCGAGGTGCAGCGGGGTGGCGCCGTCCCACGCTTGGACGTTGGGGTCGGCGCCGTGCTTGAGCAGAAAGGCCGCGGCGTGCAAGTCGCCGTCTTCAATGGCACGGTGCAGCACAGTGCTACCGTCGCTCGGATCTTGCAAGTTGAGCACCATACCAGGCGGCGCGTCCGGTGCCAAATGCTTGGCGGTGCTCGCGGAAATCTCCAAAAAGTCCCTGAGTGCGCCACTTTGCCCGGACCGTGCCGCCACATAGATGGCATTCATGACGTCTAGAATTGTATCGACAGATCGCTGAGTGTGGTTGGTATCGTCTCCAAGCCGGTCAAACTCGTCGCCATCGTCCTCCTCATCGCGGTCGTTTCCAGCCTTCTTATCGCCGTCATCGCCGTCGTCGTCATCGTCGCCGCCATCGTCGTCCGTGATATCCTCGTACTGGTCGTCATCGTCAGCATTCGCCTCTGCAGGCCTGGTCCCAGCTGGTGCAGCGCGATGCTTGGCAGAGCTCGTCGTCGTTGTCGTCGTCGTCGTTGCCTTGGCCTGCGCTGGCGTCCGCTGCGCATCCTCCGACTTTTTACCACCAGCGTTAGCACTGGCACTTCCAGCTTGGCTCTGGCTCTGGCTCTGGCCCTGGCTCTGGCTCTGGCTCTGCTGCTGATGGTGCATCATCGTCTCGGCCATGTGCACCAGCCGCGCGCCGAGCTGCCCGTCGACCTCAATGTGCCGCATGTCGATCAAGCCATGCTTCATGTTCGACTGGTGAAACCATCCTGTTTGCAGCCGCGGGGTCGGGTGAGGGTGAGTGAGTCAGGTCCAAGGTCAGGTCCAAAGGTCAGTTTGGCACAATGAGAATCCAGCCATTTGCACAAGTTCGCCCCCGCCAGATCAAGATTCAGCCATCATCACCAAAAATCGCTTTTGAGGACTTTTTTGATTTGAATTCATTATTTGGTCGATTTGGATGTGTGAGTGGAAAACAGCAGGATTACCTTCGTTGTTGATTCGATGCCCCGACATTGCGAAACGGGGCAACAATCAAAGACTGACCTGCTCAGAAATACTAGTAAATCTATCACTTAGAAGGATGGTGATACTCGCTCATTGTGATTTCTGTTTGCACAAACTACAATCGACATCACAGCTCAGCTGGGTTGCAATTTTGCGTTCTTTTCCAGCCCTTTTTTTACTGATAAACTTCAACGGTTAACAAAGCAAAACACACAAAAATAAAATGCAGGCAAATCGAGCAACAATGCAACAACTAGGATGATTCACAACGGACAACCCAAATATCGCAAGATGACGCAAGGCAGCAACTCGAGCGATTGTGGAACCAGATTTTGTTTGTTTTTTTTTTTTTTGGTTTTTTTTTTTTTTTGTTCTCGACGACTTCGAGTTAGCCGTCAAAGGTCAATCGACTACGCGAGCGAGCCGTGGCGATCGCTACAGCACGCGGCTTGCGCGTGGCAGCAGGAGAAGCACCAGTTGGCGACGAAGCTTCGCGCTTGTTTGACGCCGGCATGCCAATATTGAGTGCAGCCTAATCCCAAGCAAACAAACAAAAAAATCCGCGCCAAATCATGTCTTGTGAGAGCAAAATTCTTCTACGCGATACCAAGCTCAAGAGTCTGGTTTTGGGACCTACCGGAGAAGAAACGTTCCACTTGGCTTTGGCCGCTGGCGAAGCCAACAAGTCCTCTCCGTCCTCTGCTTCCGCTTTGCCGTCGTCGTCGTCGTCATCATCGTCATCGTCGTCGTCATCAACGTGGTTGGCGACAGGCGACTTCATGCACAACAAATCCAGCCCTTCTCGCAGCATTCGAACGCGAGGCGTGGTCATAGATCCGAACGGCGTCGAAGGCTTCTTGGCCGGTGTCGCAGAAGCCACAGCAGGAATACTAGTCAATCCAAACATATCAGAAATTTAGGAGGACAAAGCGTTGACCACAAGCATTAAAAGTTCTTCTTCTTCTTCTTCTTCTGCTTCTGCCCCATCTCCGACTTACGCAGCGTTCGCTGTAGCATTCTCCGCTCCTGGGTGGCGCGCAGAGGCAGGAGAACGCGGCGGGAGAGCAGCTGCGCTCAGCGTGGAGAAGGACGGTCGCGCAGCGGCTGGCATCAGTTTGACGCCTGGGAGCGGGGTGGATGTAATGCGCTGGTTTGGAAGCAGCTTCGGGATGGCAAACCGAGGAGAGGCCACATGGATGTGCAACGAGGGTCGCTTGCTTGGCTCGGCCAACATGGACATGTTGGGCGAATCCAGGAACTGCTGAAGCTCGGCATGCTGCAATCGACGAGCGGTGGCAGGAGTGCCTGTTTTATCCGCCATTTGACGCGCCACCGCAGGCGAAACGGCACTGGTGGCCATCGCGCTGGAGGACGACGCTGCCTGCTGATGTTGTTGTTGTTGCTGTTGCTGTTGCTGTTGCTGTTGCTGTTGCTGTTGCTGTTGTTTTTGCTGTTGCTGTTGCTCCTCCTCTTCAAACTTTCGCAAATCGTACTGAATTTCAGAAGCGAGCTGACGGTCTGCCGCCAAAATGTCGGCCACCTCCTCCTTGTAGTCCCGCACGACATCACGCAAAAAAGCCATCAAGTTGCGTTGCAGCGGCGAGCGTTGCTGTTCGAGCATGTGCTTGAGGGAAATCACCGTGGGAACCAGGTTTTCAATCATGTTCTTCTTGACAATCTGCAATGTGTGTGCCGTCAAGAATCAAACAGCGTCGTTGAGTCGTACGCACAAACAGGATCAAAAACGCACCAAAAACACTCTTCCAGGACAACGAAACCATACCTGAGAAATTAACTTGACTTTGGCGTTTGCCATCGCATTCGCCATGGCTGCAGTGGCCTCGGAGCTGGCCGCTGGAACAGCAGAGGCCTCCTCGTCGTCCTCCTCTCCTGCGGTTGTGCGCTTGCGAATGGCGCTCAGCTTGATCTCCTTGCTGCAGAGGATGGCAAGCGTGTCCTTGAGGACTTCGGCACCATCAGTGGCGGTGATGGAAAGTGTATCGTCCACCACGCCGCCCAAAACCTCCTGCGACAACTTGGCCGTAATTTGGAAGAGTTGGTCGTCAGACATGTTCTCCAGCAGGAACTTGTAGATTGTCAGGCGGTTTCTACAATGAAACAATGGTGAGTTTCGAGCGCAAGTTTGAACGACAAACAAAAAAAAAAGCAAGTGCCAAAAAATCGCCTTACGCTGCATTTGCGTCGCCAGTCAGCTTGAACAGCGCACGCTCGCGATCGGACTGCGCAAAGACATTGTACGCCGAGTGCCCGACGTAATCGTTAAAGTGGAAAATGCACTCGACCATGTGCGAAAAGAACATTGTGGGATGTTTGACCAGAAGCATGTTGGACAAGCAAAACTCGGCTGCTCAATGACAGATGCAATAGTCCCGATGGTTTGCCATTTGTTGTGAGTTGCAAAACGACCAAACCTCCAAATCATCATCATCACCTCATCTCCACAAACAAGCCTCACCGTATTGTCGCACCGTTGGCTCCTTGTCGACGAGTGCGACGACAAAGCGGAAGAAGAGCGATCCCTTCCACTTGACAAAGTCCTCTTGCAGCAAGCGGGTGAGCAACGTGATGGTCTGACGTCGTACGAGCGGTGACGGGTCGCGCAAGCATGCCGCAATGTTGGGAATGTACCGATCCACCAAAGCAGTGTAGCGAACGCACAGATCGCACATGACTACAACGACGTTGTTGCGAATAATTTCGCTGTCACTCGTCTCAAGCTCGCGGGCCATCGCAGCGATCGAAGCCTTCGCCATAGTCTCGTTTCGCAGGCAAATCTTGCCCAGCGTCACAATGGCATGAGCGCGCAGGATGGCAGGGATGGCCACGTCTGTGTACCAAGCGCAACGGTCCAACAACAACAACAACAACAACAACAACAACAACAACAACAACAACAACAACAACAACAACAACAACAACAACAACAACAACAACAACAACAACAACAACAACAACAACAACAACAACGGTCAGTTCGATGTAAAACTCAATCGAAATTTTACATTCCCAAGACGCAATACCTTCATCGCAGCCTTCAGGTTGGAAGAATGGCATGGTCAGCGTGTGCACAAGCATCTCGAGTCGCTTTGAAATGACAAGCGTCCCCGCCGAGTGATATTGGCAAGCCTCGCCCAGAGTGAAGACGCATCGGGTGACGCTCTCCAAATCGAGCTCTGTTGGCATTCAGATTCGGTTTTGTTGAAACGTGAGCAATTGGACATTTGTTGATGCAGCCGTTGTCGTTCAGCGAAACTTGCCTTGACCAGGCTTCAGACCAAGAACCAGTTGCGAAAACCGGTGCTCGCACGATACAATAATTTCCCGGCACAGCAGCCGCATGCTGTCGTCTTTTTGGTGTGTCATCAGCTGCAAGGATGACGCAATTACAATATCAGTTACAGGTTTTAAAACCACGACAACAAGCGACCAGAAGTCAGCGTCAGCGCCTCTTCGCCCAACTCGGTCATACCTTTGACAGTGTTTGCATGGTGATTGCAATCAGCTCTGGCCTGGAGCAGAACGACGTCAAAACAGTCTTCAGCTCCAGAGTCAGCGACTGCGCTTGATTTTGAGGCAAACGCGCCACGGTCAGACCAAGGAGCTGCAATGCGCAGTTCATGCTGTGGATGGCGCTCGCGGAGGAATCCGTGTCTTTCGCGCTTTGCCAGTTCGACCACGCGGTGAATGCGAATGCGGGGTTGATGAGCTCGGAAGCTTGAGTGCCAAGCGCGAGGAGCATTGACCACGCGCCCTGGTCACCAGGCACCGTGCGGACGCGCTCCATCAGAGGAGCAACAATGGCTGCAGAAATCATGTTCGTCTTGGCCCATTGCTGCGCGATTCGAAGTAGATACCGAGAGACATCCTGGATGCCGCTATGCAGCATGGAAAGGAGCGACCAGACGTTGTTCTGACGAGATCTGTTGCATGGAGATTATTTCGGTTTCATTGATTCGCGTGTGAGATGTTTTTGGGTTTGTTTTCGAAAATCATCGAACGATTGAAAACACAGCCGGTCACACGTTCTACTCACGGCTGATTCTTCTCGAGCAAGGGCTGGATACAGGTCTCAAATACAGCCTCGGCGGAACGGTCGTGCACGGTCGGCTCTTTGTCCAAAACAAGTGGCAGCACGGCATCCAACCAGATGCTAGCAACCGCAAGCAAAAATTGTGCAAAGCGAAACAAGTGAAAACCCCGAGTTGTACCTCCTCAGCAACAAAAAAAGACAGTGCTCACCTGTGGAGGCGCGCGTCATCCATGTGCATGTGCAAGACGGCGGTGATGGAATGAAGGGCTTGCTTGCGCACACTGAGCGAAGGGTCGAGGCAGCGATCGTGCAAAGCTGTAAAGTCGCTAAGGTTGATCGTGCCGACAGTCCCGTCGTTGGACAGAGGCAGGCAAAGAATCTGCTCCAACAGCTGAACCGCGGCCTTGCGCACATTCGACTTCTCATCCTTGGTGCGGCGCCGAAGCACGGACAGCAGGCTGCCACTTCCGCTGGTCGCAGGTGACATGGAGATGTCTGCCGTCAAGTCCATCGCGGTGACATTCGTCGTGTTGTCCGCCGACTTGGGCAGGGAGCACTCGCCGCGAATGGCCTCAACCATGCACTCAAACAGCGCGCTGTGCTGGCCGGCGCGGCCCTCGATCGAAGCAGATGTGACTGATGCAATTGCGGCCAATGCTCGAGCTCGAACAGTGGGTGTCCTGTCTGATGCGCGCGACATGAGTACGGCCAGCGCCTCGAGTCCAGAGCTCGACTTTACACCTGGGTGTTCAAAGGAAAGGGTCGAGCAGTGCATCGTTCGTTAAAACTGCTGCAATCCACAAAAGCACGAATTAAAAAAAAGCCAAACTCACGAGTGGCGAGGAGGGACTCTTGGAAAAAGTCCAATGCCAACAATCGATTGCCGGTTTTGGCAGTTTTGCTCAAGGCGCGCATCCACGATTGGAAGTGCGCCTGGTTTTCCTCGTCGAAATGAGCAGACAGCCCAACAAGAGACTGTACAACGCGAAACAGAGATGAGAAACCTTGCGTAACAAACACAATTGCACAATGCTGCGCACACTCCTTACCTGCGCCAGGCGAGCGCGATACTCTGCACGATCGGGCACCTTGTTGCACGCGTGTTGGATAAAAATGTACGCAGATTTGCTGAACGCCGAAGCAGTTGCCGAGCTGTGCTTGAGCAGAGCGGCAATGAACGCAAACGCATCCAAGTGAATGCCCGCCAGCAGCTTGGACAGAGAAGCCGGAAGCGGAAGGGCATAGTTCATCAAGGCATTGGGAAGCAAGTGGCGGAGAACCTGCGCGAACAACAGCAAAGCAAAAAGTGAAAAATTGACACGACAACTGAACACACTGTAGGATGCATGATCACTCGGACACGTACCGTTAACGAAGAAGCACTGGCTGCACCGTTGGCGCTCACACACAGACCATAGAGGCCCTTGAAGGCAAGCCGCTCGGCAGAATCTGTCTCCAGCGGAGCGGACGCAAAATCGCTCGCAACAGGAGCGCTGGCAGCGCGGTGACGAGCTAAAACCACGAGCATTTCGGCGATTTGCGCGTGCGCGTCCGGTGCCGTAATCATGACGGCAGAGTGCACGGATTGCACGATGGTGCACAACAACTGCCGCAAAAGCGCCTCGCCCTCTGTGCCTTCGAGGGACATGGGCACGGCCCCATCGTCCTCGTCAAATGCGTCGTCCGTCGCCATTCGTGTAATTGCACCTTCGTCGTCACTGTCGTCCGAATCTGCAGAGGCGGTTCGTGCACGTTTGCTCTGGCTAGCTGGGACGACCTGCGAAGAGTGCTTGCGCTTGCCGCCGGTCTTGGCCTCCAGCTGCTCGTCCTTCGGCCACCACTTGAGCAGATCGACCACGGACCGGAAGAGCATTGGTTGGAACACTGCAAAGGACGCTGCGCCGGGAGTGCTCAGCAGGTGCAGGTAGGCAATTCCTGCGTGGACGGCCAGCTCCATGTCGTCGATGGAACGACTCAGAGAGGTGCCCCGATTGAGGCAGTAAAAGATCAAAGCAACGATTGCCTTGTGTGACGAGCCGCTGACGGCGAGCGCAGACCACAGACCTGCGCATTCAAACATTCCAGTCAGTCAGTGCAAGGCTCTTTGGATGCCCAATACCGCAACACAGTCGTACCAATACATGCATGTATTCAACGCGTACTGACCTGGTGCAGATGCGCTGTGACTGCCACTTGAACGACGAGATCGCGTTGGAGTGTCCGACACGTCCGTTTCACTCTCACTGGACGAGTCGTCGGCCGCAACTGCGCGAGACTTGCTCGCCCGCTTGCTGGGTGTGTTTGCACGCCGCGGGGTGCCTGCAGGCCCGCTCGTGCTCAGGGCGGGTGTCGGCAACGCCGCTTTCCACGCAAGGAGAAGCGAATCCAATGCGCGCACCATTGCGAGTGCGTTGCTTGTCGACTCTGCACAACAAGCAGCAGCAATTGAGTCATCATCATCATCATACAAGTACATCACAGATTCACAACATCCCCACGGAGAGGCGAGCAGAACGAACGAAAATAACAAAAAACAAAGAAATCGAATCTGAAACGGTTGAAAACCAAAAAAAAATTGGCGCGAATCACAGTTCAAAAAAAAAAAAAAAAAAAAAAGCTCAAAGTTCGTTCGTTCGTTCGTTCGTTCGTTCGGTTCAAACATTGAAAATCGAACGTTACCTTCGAGAATCGGGGCGCTGATGTGCGACGGCAAATCGCAAAAGTTGCCCTCGTAGCAGGCGTCGATGAACGGCGACGGGAGTGCGTGAGCCAGACCGAGCTCCTCCACAACGTCGGCGGTCTTCTGCCGCAGCTTGGCAATGTTTGCCGGTTCGTCGGACATGGTCGCTTGTCTTGCTTTGTTGACTGTGGTGTGTAGCGATTTGAACAAGTGCAACAGCGAATGAAGCTTCAACCCCAGAAACTAGCTCCAAATCACTGTTGAACCAAACCGGAAGAACGAGTTTGAAAAAAAAAAAAAAAAAAAAAAAAAAAAAAAAAAGACTGGTGTTTCAAAACTTGAACAGTTTCAGAAATTTGGCGCCAAAAAAACAAAACGCGAAACGTTCAAAAACCAAAACTCGTCTCGTTTTCTTTCTCTTTCTTTTGTTGAGATGACGCTCAGACAAGTGTTCATTTTTGTCTTCCAAGATGCTCATCCACGTTTGAATCTCTGAGCACGAGCAACAAACCCAGTTTTCATTTTTGTGCTTGGTTTGGTTTTGTGGATCAAAAAAATGGCGGCATTGAGACAAGTTCAATTGCAGCTGCAGGACGACGCGCTTGGTTCGCGTGAGGGCATCGAGGCGGGCGTCGCTGCACTCCAGCGCAAGATGGATGAAGTCAAGGTCTGTCATGTCAGATTGGCCGCGTGTTGTGTGTGTGTGTGCGAGTGTGTGTGGATTGGAGCGACCTCCGTCTGCATTGAGAAACGGTTTGAGACTGACTTTGGGCTGTTGGCTGATTTTGCTACTTCTACTGCGGTTGGGGTTTTTGTTCACATTTGTGTGCTGACTCTGTGACGTGTTGTTTTGCATTGGGATGGCGCATTTGACAGGGGCAAGTGTACGAGACAGTGAACAAGCATTACCGCGAGTTTGTCCAGGCGTTCGACTATGCGCTTGATCTCAACGGCGAGGTCGCTGGTCTGGCGCAACAGCTGCAAGCGGTCAACAACCTTGCCAACGATGCCAGTGTAAGGGCGAGTTGGGCGCAGGAGGGGGGGGCGGGCTAGCCGAAGCCAAGCGGCGCTGTTCTGCTCACTCACAACCGTCATCGTCACACATCGTCTCACTCACTCGACGAACGGGTTTACACTGACGCAGGTTGGAGTTTTGAACAAGCTGCACACTGCTACAGAACGGCATGTGGCTCTCACGCGCAAGCTCAAGGACGCAGACTGCATCATCAGCGTGTTGGAACGACTCTGTCGCGTACGTTTTCCCCAAAACCATGCGCAACCACCTTGCTCAACACTCGGGCTCACACTGACAGCTGCATTCCATTCCATGTTTACATGATAGATTCACGATGATTTGACCGGCATGGATGGTCTCATGGAGCGCTCGCTGTTTCCTCAGGCTGCTCTTTCCGTTCACCGTATCGTATGTTGCCGCTCCTTCTGGCTCTCGCTATGCAGGAAAAAAAAAATGAAAGTCAACATCCTCACAACTAACTGATGAGGGCGTGGTCCTTGTTGTTTGCAATTAGAATGCCCTGCTCAGCGAGCTCAATCCAGAAGACCAGTTTGGCTGCGACGCAAAGATTTTTGCAGTCATTCGCGCCGAGTCGCGCCGAAAGCGGACGGCCGTCAAAAGCCATCTCGAAACGCTGTGGTCAACATCTGTGCGCTTGGCAACCGCCCACCACGCGGAAGGCGCGAGCGAGCTGGTGGTCGTGCTGACCGACAACAACAAGCCCGTCCACTTGCAACCCGCGCTGCAAGCCATGCACAGCCTGGCGATGCTGGAGTCCAAAATGGACGTGTTCTGCAAGGCACTGATGCAGCAGTTCATTTCTCCGCTTCTGGCCAACGACACCCCTCTGGCTCCAACCGTCACAAAGTTCAAGGGCGTTGTCAGCCTTACGCTGATGGCGCCTCGCGACGATGTCCCTTCCCCAGCTGCCGCAGATGTCAGCGGGCGTCTCTCGGTGACGCAGCTCCGTAAGAGTTTTGGACTTGTGCTTTTGTGCAGGAGCGTTGAGCAGATTCGAAAAATCTAACTTCATGTTTTGCAACTTGTTTTTTGACATGTAGGGTTGATCCTCGAAAACGTCGCAACTGTGATCGAGTTTGTAAACACGCACGCCTTCCCGAAAAAGTCGGCAGTACTCGCACAGGACAACGGGCAGGATGAAAACGCCCCTGCGTCGAGAAGGCGCGATCTTGTGGCCGAAGAGCTCGATGCGGCCGACCTGGCAGACCTGGCGCTGCTTTTTGGCGCCCATCTTTGGCCTGTCTTGCATCAAGCAATCATCAACGAGCTGCTTTCCGCTGCCATCCCCAAGCGTAGCGATGAGACTGAGGTGTTTGCAGCTGTCAGCCGCCTGGCCCACGAGTTTGAAGCCAAGATGGTCGATTTCGGTACGCTTGGGGGAAAGGGGGTTGCAGTGCGAGCACATGGCCTACATGCTGGCTTGTACATCTGTGTTAACTGTGGAGTTTATTTTTTGCCAGGTCTTTTGGAAGTCGGACAGCATGAACTGCTGGTGTTTGCGCAAAACATTCACAATCACTTTGCGGCCAAGAAGCGACAAGATGTGCTTGCTGCTGCTCGCTCGTGCATGCTATCCGAGGACCATAACAGTGTTGTGTGTAATAGCTCAGCGGAGCGTGGTAAGAAGATGGATCGATTTTGCTGTTTGCTTTTGATTTGTGTTTTGTTGCCAGTCTGTATTGATGACAAGAACCGTTTGCACAGGCGGTGCTGGTAGCGCAGCGTTCCCCACCACGGCGGTTATGGCGGATGCTGCCTTGCAGCCAGCCACCGACGGCAGCGAGCGGCCAGTCACGTTCGACTTTCCCGATTGCCAAATTACGCAGCGCACGCGTAAAATTGTGGACATGGCCTATGACATGTTGGAGGAGGTGACTACATCATCTCCCGCCATGTAAGTGGACACAGGGCTTCATTGCTTGCCGTGATGACGATTGTTAATGTTTCCGTGCTTGCTCACGTCCTTCGCTTGTGGTCTTGCATCAATAATCGCTGGATAGCGCTGTACATCTCTTTGTGGCTGTTCGCGACATGTTTGACTTGTACCGCGCGGTGGTGCCGGTGCATCATGGTGCCACGTTTGAGCGCGTCCCCATGCTTGGCATGCTCTTCCACAACGACTGCATGTTTATCGCCCATCATTTGATCACCCTCGGCATTCAGTTCAAGTCTCGGCTTCCTCCGCCCATGAATGCCACCGCCACATTTGTCGATATGGTGGTGCCATTCCGCCAGCTGGGAGAGCGCTTCTTTGTGCATCAGATGGTGAGGAAGGAATTTGGCAAAGGGGGCAAGGGGGTGTTGATTGTACATTTGTATTTCGTTTCATCTCACATGGACTTCCGCCACTCGACACGATAGGATTTGCAACGAGACTTGCTGATTGAAGCCATCGTCAGTGCGAACGGATTCAAGCAAACGCACCTTCCTGAGAAGAAGGCCGTCGTTGAAAAGGCCATCAAGCAAGTCCTGCTGCAGCTCACCCATCTCTCCAAGGTTTGGAAGGTAACTGCGCTTTACGTGCGAATTGCTGCAAGTGAGATTGGCGTCTCACTGAACCAACTGCCGTTCTGCCAACAGAACGTCCTTCCCTTGACGCTCTTCAATCAGACGATGGCACACCTCATCGAGGCCGCAATGGGCAAGATTATCTCCGACATTCTCGCTATCAGTGACATCGGGGAAGATGAAACCCACGAACTGGTCGGAATCATTTCGCTCGTTGTTCAGCGCGCTGAAACGCTTCTTGTTTTGGATGCGGCTGTACCTGCTCGGGCATCGACTCTGGTCGCACGAACCAGTGCACCCAAAACTAATCCGGTAGGTGGCCATAGTTTTTTTGCAGTCATTCCTATCGTAACTCACAATTTTCGCCTTGTGTTTTTTCGAACAGGCCATTCGATCGCTCGTTCCGAGCTGGAGCAAGTTTGTTCAACTCGGGGAGATTCTGAACATGTCTTTGGCGGAGATTACTGAGCGATGGATTGCAGGAACAGCTGCATCAGCGCCTGGCTCTGTCAATGCCGCCGCGGGCTGGCTGTTCCAGCCGCAGGAGCTCGCACATTTGATTCGAGCGCTCTTTTCAGACACTCCGCTGCGCCACAAAACCTTGGCCTTGTTCAAGTAAACCGACTCGTCCCGGTCGGAGCGATGCATGTGCAAAACTGTGTTGTTAATGTTTCGGTTGTGATCATGAAAATTCCAAGTAAAATAGTTGAGAATGAACCTCCTGTAGATCTCTCCCCGTTTTGAATGAGAAGGCCCTGATACGCTGTTGCCATGTGGTTTTTTTTTTTTTTTTTTTTTTTTTTTTTAATGATTGTATTTCTTTTAGAATGAAACGTTGGGTAGAACACACGAGATACAAAAAACAAACCAAAAAACAAAACAAACATACAAAACTCACTCGCAACATTGTTTAATCGAGGCATCAATCTCTTTGGTTTACATTTCCATCGAAACGGCTTCATCGCCCTCGACATCGAGCGTTTCGCCATTTCCAGCGTCGTCGGAGACGTTCGAAGAAGCCGCAGTCACGGCTCGCGAGCCAGAAGGCCGGCCTCGCAGTGCGGTGGGCGACGCGATGGCAGCCGCAAGCGCAGAGGACTTGCTCGGTCGGCTGCGGGGTGATCGGGCCTTGGCTTTGGCCTTCGCCTTCGTTTTGGCCTTGCTCTTGCCCTTGCCCTTTCCAGGCCGCGGGCGTGCGGAAAAGTCATCATCATCGTCGTCATTATTCATTTCCGCCTCCATGTCATCGGCCAGCAAGTCTTCCTCGGCAATGTCTTCTTCGCTGTAGTCATCGCGCGGCTTGTGTGTGCTCGGGGGTCTGGCCTTGGAACGCGCCTTGCTCGTCGTTGCAGTGGCGGCCTTTTTGGAGGGAACATCTTCGTCGTCGTCATCCTCGGGATCAAAGTCATCGTCCTGCTGCTCTTGCTCGAGTTCCTCCTGGGCGGCCAAGGACATGGCGAGGGCCATGTCGGCGTCTGCGAACGCGTCACTTGCAGGGCTAGCCACCTTGCTGGACTTTGTGCTCGACTGCTGGGCAAGCGCGGCCGCTTTTGGTGGGAAGGCTGGCTTGGCCGTCCGCACTTGCGACGTGTGGGTGTGCGTGCCGACCGCGCCGGCGGTGCCTTGCTGATTGATCGGCGGAGGCTTTTTGACCACACCAGGCTTGTTGCGCGTCTTGGATTTGGATGCCGGAATAAAGACAACGCCGGGCTCATCGCCAGCATGGAAGACAACGTTGCAGCCAAGAACGGACGCGGCCGAAAGCGGCGGCGTGGCATCGACACTGGCGGATCCAGCGCCGCCCGCTGCGCTCTTTGCGGGGCGCCCACGACCTCGCTTTCCAGCTGCGGCAAGCGCAGCAGCAGAAGGGGTGGCAAGCATCTGGAACGCCTCGAAATTCACAGGCGTGTAGTCGAGCTTGCTCGAGCCCGCGCAGCCTGCAGGGAGCTGAGGCATTTGCGGCGCGCGAAGAATGGCAATGCGGGCTGTTGGAATGCCCTTGCGCTTGGGCACGTCCTTGGGCTTGGGCACGGGCCGCTTCAAGTGCTGCTCTTGGTTGGAAGGCATGTCACTCAACTTTGGCACCACGCGCAGCCGTCGGCCAGACGCGCTGAAATGCTCGTCTTCCTCGCCGGCGGACACGACTTCGCTCTCGGCGTCGCTGTCGTCAGCTGTCATTTCGCTGTGGGTGCGACGCTGGGAGGTGCGTCCGCTGCGCCGTTGGCCCTCCTCGTACTCGGCAGCCTCCAATGCTGCAAGCGTGCCGGCAGGAACTTCGTATTGGTTGACCACAAAGCATGGACCACTGGGGAAACCAGGGCCGCCGTAGCCGGGAACAGCAAGCGACGCTGGGGTGCGACCGGCGGTCTCAAGCACGAGCAGCGAGGGGATGGAAGGGCGGCACGGAGGGCAGAGCCACGAGCCGTTCGGCACGCGGTGCAGCACTGGCAACAGACAGTACATGTGGTAGCCATAGTCGCAGTTGTCGCAGAGCAGCATGTACTGCTCGTGTCCGCGCTTGCGGCAAACGCGGCAACGCGCGTGCGGCATCCAGTCGTGCGCGCCCCACGACAACGACGACTCCATCATGTCCAAGAGCACAAACAGCTGTGAATAGGAAGTAGCGTCGCGAACTTCAGCACGCCAAAGATTCAAGCGAGTGGCTGCGGGGAGCTCTTGCGGCTTGGCGGCCAGCTGCTGCTGGGCAGATTGTTGCTGCTGTTGGTCTGCAGTTGTGTCCATGGGAGCCGCCGCGGTCGCGTCCTCTTCCTTCATCATTTGACGCTCTTCGTTCGCATCGTCTCCGTCGTTGCCTTCATCGTCATCGTTTTCGGGCTCGTCGTCTTCCGAGCCCGACCCGTCCTCTTCCAAGTCTTGGTCGTTCTCATTCTCGCCCTTGTCGGCGTCGCCGTCGCCTCCTTCGCGCTTGACCGAGGCACGATTCGACTTGGAGCCGCCAGCTCGGCTCGAGTTGGCCACAGGCTTGGCAAACCGATCCAAGAGGGTTGGATCGCGCAGCAGGTGCGGCGCAAAAGCAATTTGCTCGTCTGTTTTGAGCGGACGCTTGAAAAAGCGCGTGTTGACCTTGCGTTCGAGCGTCATCATGCACGAAATGGCATCCTGGATGCCAGTGGCAGCAGAGAGCTCCTTGACCCACTCGACATAGCTGGGATCGGCCTGATCCGTCCAGTTGGTCAGTGTTGCCTCAAACAGGTTGACGGCAATCTCTGCAAGCGACTCGCGCAACTCGTTGAGGAAACTGTCGGCTGGACCGGCGGCACCAGCTGCGCCAACATCTGGCTTGACATCCACCGCGGCCGCGCTTGCAGTCGACGACACTTGCGCCTCGACTTCTTGGATGAACAGGTGCTCATAGTTGGCAAGAATGCTCTTGTGTAGAGCGCGCTCGCGATGGCCGCGCTGCATGAGCGATTCGAGCAAGTCGTCAACGGCTTGACGCGTGCTGTACACTTGCCATTGGGACTGGACTTTGGGAACTGGCAGTTTCTCGGGTGTGTTGTCAAACAGACCCAACGGCTCGCTTGGCACGGTGGCCGCGGTGGTGGGAGCGTTGGTGCTGGCGGCCAGTGCCTTGACGGCCAGCGGGTTTGCGCTGCTTGGGTTGAGCGTCTGGGGCACGTCAGAATCAAGCGTCTCGGTGACCGTTTGAACAAACAACCCCTTGGTCGAGCGCAAAATAAAGTAGCGACGATGATAGCGATCCGTGCCAATGGGTTCTGGATGAAGAACGCCAGAGAACTTGATGACAGCGCCGACCAAATCCTTGCCGAGCACGTCCTCTTTTCGCTTGCTGGCTGCAGCGCTCTCGCTCTTCGACCCTGACGCTGTGGGCGCCTCGTCATCCGACCCGGCGTCGCTGCCCGCATCGCTGCCATCTTCTTCCTCGGCCTTTCCTTTGGCGGCAGCCTTGCTTCGGGGACTGCTGGCAGCGGGGCGGGCACGCGAGATGGGCTGCTTGTTGGCCTGCTCGTCCTTTCGGCGAATGGCAAGCTGCTCGCGCAGGTCGCGTCGAGACTCGACCCACTTGTCCGTGCACTCATCCATGTACTTTTGGACGAGGCAGCAAGATGTGAGCTCGTCAGCGAGGAATTGCAACAGATGGAGCTTGGTGTCCAGCGAGAAGGAGAACAAGTCACCGCGGCGGAGTCGAGCCACCACATCAGAGGCTGCCCAGTCGTGGTATTGTGACAGGAAGAGCTGGAGCATTTCAGAGGCGGTGAACGGGGTCACGTTGAAAGCCTTGAGCCGAACGCCAAACTCGTTCACAAAAGCAAAGCCATCGTCGTTCAGAAGCAGCTGCAGCGAAGACAGGATGAGCTGCAGGAATAGTGGGTGGTACGCCGGCGTGATGACGGCCTCTTCGAGCAGCGCAAAGGAAATGGGAGTGTTGAGGGGCACTTGGGTGGACTGCACGTAAAAGAACTCTACCAACTCGAGCACCTGGTCGATTTGGTCGAGGGAAAGTCGGTGGGACAAGGGCGAGGCTGCAGGAAGAGGCTTGGCCGTTGCCAACAGCTGCTCGTCGGGTCGAGGCTGGTGTGACTCGCGGAAGCGCAAGCGCTCGATGCGGCGTTTGTACTTGATGGCCTCGCGCACATCGTCCAACTGCTGCTGGACGCCGGTGAGCTTGGCCAGCGTGGCATCCCGTGCTGCCACAACCGTGGGGTTTGCTGGGGCTGCGGCCGCCTGGGCCTGAAGGTCTGCGAGCGTGGTCTGCAGGAGGGCAACCGAGTCCTCGAGCGCTTTGATGCTACGCGGGGCCAGTCGATGGGGCTCTTCCAGCAGCGCCTGCACTGACGCGGAAGGAGCGGGTACGCCAGAAGCAGCGGCAGCAGCAACCGTGCCAGCCACCGAGCTCGCGGTCGCCTTCGAAGGCGACGAAACGTCCATCGCGGAGGGTTCTGCCATGTCCAAGTCCGAGCTTTCGCCCTTGCCATGCAACTTTTCCAGCTTTCGTCGCTGAATCTGGAGTTCAATTGGATCGTTTGCGGGCAGGTTGAACTTTGCCAGAAACTCTGGCTTCACCGACCACCAGCTGCAGTCGCTCTGTACTCGGTCTGTCGAATCTCGCAAGAACGCGCGGATGGATTCGCGAGAGACGGTGTATTGCCGTCTGTGTGAGAGAGTGTGAGAGAGTGAGAGAGTGAGAGAGAGTGAGAGAGAGTGAGAGAGAGTGAGAGAGAGTGAGAGAGAGTGAGAATGGCGTGAGAAGGGCCTTCCACAAGTCCTTGCATTCGCCCGAGACACAGCAACAGAGTGATAACAATGAAGGACAGAGCAAAGAAAAACAACCTACCGCATATCGTCGGCATTGACTGTCGCAACACCAGTTTCCCAGGCGCCTTCCATGCGGCTTGTTTCGGCGTCGCGATAGACGAGCCACTCCACTTCGTACGCTAGTGGTGAATTGTTCAATGGTTGGCCAACCTCAACGGTGCTTATTTGGTCAGGATCGGCGGGCTCTGGCGGTTGGCGGGAGGCGAAATGAATGCCATAGGCCTGGTCGGGCCGCAAACCTTGCCCCGTGAATCTAGAAATGCCTCGAATGATACGTGCAGGCTGGTCGCTGGTAGAGTCGGAGAAAATGCCATGAGAGTTCCAACAGACAGCAAGAGAACGATGGTGTGTGTGAGTGTGCCAAGTTCCAGGCCATTTGTCAAATCGGGGCAAAACGATGGATAACGTACAACCCGTCGGGACGAGACACAATCACCTCCTCCTTGGGGAAGAAGCGCATCTTGAGATAAAAGTAGCAGTGTTCTGCCATTTTGTCCATACGCGAGTTGTCTGTTGGTGGGAAGAGCAACACAGTGGAAAAGCGGGGGGTCGGGGTGAGCTCACCAGATTGCCAAGTGCCACCGATTGACAGCAACAGAAGCCCTTTTTTCGGGCGCCTTACTCAGCTTTTGCACAACCACAAGCAGGCCTGGTTGGAGTGGCTCGGGCATCAGATCGGGCGACCGTCCTGCCTCGCGTGCAGAGACGGGCTTTGGATACAAGAGCTTCTGGTTGTCTGAAGCAACGATCGCGTCGCGCTCCGACTCTGCCGCCTGTTGGAACGTCAAGTGCTCCTTGCCAGTGATTCGGCACGACCACACGGGCAGTGTGCACAGACGCACACGCTCGGCATACTCTCTGTGCGCACAAAGCCAAAAACATTGAGGTTTACGATGAGCAATGGGCAACAAGAGGCGAGAGGTCTTTGCGATCCGTCCACCCAGCATCCACACAGCGCTCCAGGCCCCGCCGCCGCCACAGCCGCGTTTTGGGACGTGGCGTCCAATCGCAGAATCCCCACGCTGCTCGTCCCCCCGGATGCGCAGTGTCCGTCGCAAGCCCGTCCCATTGGAGTGCCGCCACATGCCGTTAGAACGAACAACCGAACAAAAAAAAAAAAAAAAAAACGTTTTCTGTTCGAATGCGTTGAAGGGATTCAAAACGAAAAGGCCATCGCCATCGCTCCAGCAGCCAGCGCGACGCCCACGACCAGCGCAGCAGGTGCACAAGAGTATCACACGACGACGGGTCGCAGCAGGCGAGCGGCCCGCGAGACAAGCGCACGCACAGCGCCAGCCAAAAAGCCGCGATCGCAGGAAATGAAAAAAAAAAAAAAAAAGTTGAGAACGGCGAAATCAATGCAAAACGACAGATTGACAGCGGCGAAGACAAACGACGCAGGCCAGTGGAGAGAAAAAGATGCTGCAAAGGAAACAAAGGGAGGGGGGAAAACCAAGCACTGGAAGATGGCCGAAGGATGGAGGGGTGGGCCTCACTCGTAGTCGGTAAAGACCTCGCCGGTGAGCGCGTAGTGGTAGACGGCTGTCTCCGCAGGGAGCTCGGCGGGCGTCTCTCGCGGCTCGAATGGCACCAGTCCATGAGCAGGCATGGCAAAAAGAAAGGAAAAAAAAAAAAAAAAAAAAAAAAAAGAATGAATGAAGACAAAAGAAGGGTGGAAGTGAAAGTGGACGCGAGCAGAGTGACGAGATCAACGCGAAAACTGACGCGAAAAAGCTCTGTGAGAACAGGATCGAGCGGGATCTCAACGCAAACTTCCAGCAATCGGCGTCTCGTAAAAAAACTCGCAAAAAGTCACCATCGACACTGCGAAATTGGGATGGATGCATCAAGTGCTCGATTCGTCGTCGAGAAGCAGCTCTTTCGGATGTCGGGTTCAGGATGTCGGGTTCCGGCGCTCAGGTGCGCTGCTTTGCCGCAAAATGTTGCATCAGGTACCTCGCGCCTTTCACACCATGTCCATGCATCTTCAAACACGAAGAATCGTGCATGGGCGTGAAAGTACACTGGTTGACAAATCAATCCCAATGCACGATTGCAGTCTTTTTTTTTTTTTCTTTCTTGATCTTTTTCAATGGCGTCTGGCAGCGGTACATCGGTGGCTCAGCGCGCCCTCGCGGGCATTGCGTCTGCGTCGTTCATCAACGGATCTCTCGACATCAAGGTCCTCAATGCCAAGGGCGTTGCTGCCATGGACCGCGGCGGTGCGTACACGTTCACAAAGCTTGAAGGAGCGAGGCAACATAGCAGTGATTCACAGTTTCAAAAAAAAAAAAACGAAGGAATTCGACGCGCACTCTCAACGTCACACATCGGTCCCCCACATGCGCTCTCTCTACTCGCTGCGCTTTTGTTTTCCACTTCAACAGTACACATTTCTTGTGTGCTCAGTGGCTGCCTTTGTTTGACGGATGGACGCTTTTTTTTTTTTTTCTTCTTCTTCTTTTTTGGTCTTTTTGTTTTGGTTTGTTGAACATTGTTGTGGACGATTTTTTTTTTTTGATTTTTAGATCGATTTTTTCGACTTTTTTTTTTTTTTTTTTTTTGATGAAAAAAGACCAAAAGAAGAACGAACTTGCGACCAAAATGAACAAGGGTGCAAGGGGCGGTGATGAAATGTGAATGTAGCGTCATCATGGTTGGACGAGTTGAGCAACACTCTGCACACACAACTCCGACAGCATCCCAAAAACTCGACTCGATTCTGCTCAAAATCAAATTTAGAATCATGGTTTTTTGCTCATACATGTTGAAGCGGCAACGCAGGTCAACGATCAGGTGCTGAAGCATGGTGTGAATGGAGCAGAAAAGTCATTATGGGGGGGGGGTGGGACGGCACGCTTTGAGCGATTGTGGACCAAAATTCGAGTTTGCACACTTCACGTCGTTGTTGCACTCCTTTCGCAGCGTTCAACCTTCGCCTCGACCAACCCTTCAAATCAAACCGTTACTCACCTTCTGTTTGCCCACACAAACCCCCCCACACCCTCCTTTATGCAGGTACGAGCGATCCTTACTGCATCATCTTGGTCGACGGCAAGGAACATGCACGCACGCTGAGCATTCCGAAGACGGTCGATCCCGTCTGGAACGCCGAGTTTGACGTCAAGCTCGAGAAGGCCAATCGCGTCACCTTCCAAGTGTTTGACAAGAACTCGATTGGCTCGGACAAGCTTTGCGGCGACGCGGATCTCGATTTCCACTCGCTGGCGAACGGCCAAACCACGAGCGTTACGCTGCCCCTCAAGCCCGACAGCGGCTTCCTCAATCTGTCTGTGCGCTTTGTGAGCAAGTGGACTTCCCTCGAAACGCGTATGTGAAGCGCTTTGGGGCTTTTGAGTGGAAAAGGGGGGAAAAACAGTAGTCGCCATTTTGACTCATTTGTGTGCTTTTCCTTCCTTTTGCGTTTGACTACAACAAACAGCCGAGGAATGGGTCAATGCAATGCACCACGGCAGCGACCTCATCAAGTTCACAAAGTCGAGCACCAAGCCGCACCCTCGCTTCTTCCGTGTGAGCGGCGACAACCTGTCGCTGAGCTGGTCGTCGCCAAAGAAGGCTGCGCTCAAGTCGCGCGTGCTCATCGATTCCATCAAGGAGATTCGTGTGGGACGCAACACCAAGTCGTTCAGCAGGCACGCCACGCAGCATGCAGACAAGGTCGACCACTCCTTTTCGGTCATTTACGGCTCGGACTTTGAGACGCTCGACCTGGTCGCGGCGTCGGCCGACGAGTTCAAATTCTGGACGGAGGGTCTGCGGTACATGTCCTCGGTTGTGGGCAAGCAGGTGGCCGTGGCTGCTGGAGAAAAGCATGCCGAGCGCCGCAAGCGCTGGCTGAAGGAAATGTGGAACATGGCCGACAAGAACAAGGACAACCAGCTGGACATGAAGGAAATCTCGCAGCTGTTGCACGTGCTCAACGCCAAGGTGTCCAACAAGGAACTCAAGAAGCGCTTCGCCGCCGCCAACTCGGACGACAAGGGCACCAAGTACCTCGACTTTGACGAGTTTGGCGCGTTCTATCGCCAGCTCACCCTTCGCCCCGAGATTGAGCAGCTCTTGCTCCGCTACTCGAACACGGAGCCCCTGAGTCTCACTCTCGACGAGTTCCGTCGCTTCCTCGAGGTCGAGCAAGGGATGGCTGTCTCGAGCTCGGACGCTGCGGCGCTCATTGCCAAGCACGAGCCTGCCGTTGAGGGCACCAAGAGCAAGCTCCTGTCCTACGAAGGCTTGTTCAACTTCTTGGCCAGCACGGATAACGACCTCTTCAACCCTGCGCACAACCGCATCTACCAGGACATGTCGCAACCGCTCACGCACTACTTTGTTGCGTCCTCGCACAACACTTATCTGCTCGGCGACCAGCTGCGCAGCGAGTCTAGCGTCGAAGCGTACGTGCGCGCGCTGCAGAATGGCTGCCGCTGCGTCGAGCTGGACTGCTGGGACGGCGAAGATGGCGACCCCATCATTTACCACGGCCACACGCTCACGTCCAAGATCAAGTTTTCGGACGTCATCAAGGCGATTGGCGACTATGCCTTTGCCACCTCGCCCTTCCCCGTCATTCTGTCGATCGAAAACCACTGCTCTGTGCCCCAGCAGAAGGTGATGGCGCAGCACATGGAGACAATCCTCGGCTCCAAGCTGCTCAAGGGCGACCCTGACGAGCTTCGCAAGGCCTACCCGTCGCCCAACGATCTCAAGAACAAGATTCTGATCAAGGGCAAGCGCTCGGGCAAGACTGGCATGGCCGCCGGCCCCGCCGGTCCGGCCGATGACGAAGACAGCGATGAGGAAGACGATGACGACGAGGGCAAGGTCAAGGACGAGGCTGCGGTTCAGGCTGCAGCGGCCATCAAGGCCAAGAACCAAAAGAAGGTCACCTTGGCTCCCGAGCTCTCCGCGCTCGTTGTCTACTGCAAGGCTGTGCACTTCAAGTCGTTCGACGACTCGGCAGCCAACGGCAAGTACTGGGAAATGTCCTCGTTTGCCGAGGCCAAGACCAAAAAGTTTGCCAGCAAGCTCCCCAGCCAACTCATCGAGTACAACAAGAAGCAGCTGAGTCGCATCTACCCTGCCGGCACCCGTGTCGACTCGTCCAACTACGATCCCCAGGTAGCGTGGAACTGCGGCTCGCAGATTGTTGCGCTCAACTACCAGACCCCCGACCGCTCGATGCAGCTCAATCAGGGCAAGTTCCGCCAAAATGGCCGCTCTGGCGTGATTCTCAAGCCGTACGTGATGCGCAAGGGCACCAACTTCAACCCGAACGACGTTGCCACCATCCCCCACTCTGTGCGCCCCACCAAGCTGACCATCAAGATCATCTCTGGCCAGCAATTGCCCAAGCCCGACCGTCAGACCAAAGGTGAAATTATCGACCCTTACGTCGTGGTTGAAGTGGCCGGCATTCCCGCCGACCAGAAGACGGTTCGGACAAAGGTGATTGACGACAACGGCTTCAACCCCGAATGGAGCGAAACGTTCACGTTCGACCTGCGCTTTGCAGAGTTGGCCATCCTGCGCTTTGTCGTGTACGACAAGGATGTCAACTCGGACGACTTTATCGGCCAGTACACAATCAACGTTTCCGACGTTCGGTCAGGCTACCACCACGTCAATCTCGAAAGCGAACGCGGCGATCCTCTCGACTCGGGCACGTTGTTTGCTCACTTCCAAGTCACAGAGCAATAAGGGTTTTTTTGAGAATCGGGCGTTTTTGCGTGACGGGGAGGTTTCTCCTCGCTAGGGCGATGCTTGTGTGTGGGGGGGGGGTTTCTGTATGATTGCTTGTGTTTGCGGTTTTTCTCGGTTTTGTGTGTCAGCAGCAGGGTATTCACGTTTCAACTGTGTGGTGTTGTTTTTTGTGTTTGAGTCAGAATAAATGAAATTGCACGATTTCGTCAAAATTGCACGACTTCGCTTGTTCGTGTTCTTGTACGCCATCCTTGTTGGCATGTCATGGCATTCATAATCAACCCCGTTTGATTATTTCTGTACAGGCAATGCAAGTGGTGCTCATTCCCTGTTTTTGTCGTTTTCGGATGTCGGCATCGCAAAAGGTGAAGTTTTCGTTTTTGGGTTGTTTTTGGTGGGTTTTGATTGGGGTTTTTTTCGACTTGCTCACTTGGCTTTCCTCGCTTCTGCCTCTCTCCTTGTGGGTTTGTGTCTGGCTCTGCGTCCTGTCTACGCCTTGCGCTCCGTCGGTGTGCCACCCACACGGTCCCCGTGTCACTTTGTGTGCCGTTGATTTTTGCCGAATAGTTTGCGATCTCGCCCTCTGCACCCGGCTTCGTCCAGCTGCTCCTCGAGCACCCTGGCAAGACCGCCGCCGGCATCGCGCTCGCTGCGGGCGTTGCGTTCGCCGTCTCTCGCGTCGTCTCCTTCCTCCGCATCGGCGGCAAGGTAACCAAAGACAAGCAGTCAAGCAATTGATGAACTGCGACAAAATCACAACCAAATCAACAAAAAAAAAAAAAAAAAAGCCGATTGTTTTGACATTTGTCAACGCTCGGTGGCTCAGACACGCCGATGATGCCGATGAAAAGCGATGCCTCATCACTGTTGAATGGGTGAATTAAATGGACGCGCCAAAACAAAAAAAATGAACGACACAATTGTGGCTTGCTTTTTTTTTTTTTGTTTTTTCACGGTTTGCACGGACTTCGGTTTTGCTCTCGCAGGTCGATCGCGAGTCGCCGCGTCATGGTGGCGAGCTCGTCGCTGAAACCCTCAAGGCCCATGGTGTCAAGTTTGTCTTTACTCTGGTTGGTGGCCACATCTCCCCGATTCTTGTTGGCTGCGAAAACCTTGGCATCAAGGTCGTCGATACCCGTCACGAAGTTACAACTGTTTTCGCTGCCGATGCAGTTGCGCGTCTCTCTGGCGTTCCCGGCGTCGCAGTCGTCACCGCTGGTCCTGGTAAGCCAGCGCCGCCCAGTCGGCCATTTTGTTTTTTATTGTTGTTTTGTTGAGTCAACGTTTTTTTACCCGATTGGATTTGTCACGCATCCTTCCCCCCCCCCCCGCGCAGGCCTCACAAACACCGTCACTGCTGTCAAGAACGCTCAAATGGCCGAGTCTCCGCTGCTGCTGATGGGCGGTGCCGCTGCCACCCTGCTCAAGGGCCGCGGTGCGCTGCAGGACATTGACCAGATGGCTCTCTTCAAGCCGATTTGCAAGTACTGCGCCACCATCACCCGTGTGCAAGACATTGTGCCGACGCTGCGTGAGGCGCTGCGCATTGCGCAGTCTGGCGTGCCTGGCCCCGTGTTTGTCGAATTCCCGATTGATTCCCTCTATCCCTACTCTGTTGTGGCTCGCGAGTTCCTCAAGGGCGACAAGAAGAAGAATCTGACCGCTCGCATCGTTGGCTGGTACCTCCAGCACTACGTGAACAAGCTGTTTGGTGGCGCCTGGCGCAACTATGACTACTCGCCCCTTCCCGTTGACATTCCTCGTGCGTCTGCTCGCCAGCTGGCCCAAGCCGCGACCATCCTTCGCTCGGCCGTCAAACCCGCCATTCTCCTGGGCAGCCAATCGACCCTTCCACCAACCAAGGCCGAAGACCTCCAGGCCGCCCTGCTCAGTCTCGGCATCCCGTGCTTCCTCGGCGGCATGTCTCGCGGTCTGCTTGGCAAGGAGAGCGCCATCCAGGCCAAGCAGCGTCGCAAGGAAGCCCTGCAAGAGGCCGATGTGATCATCCTCGCTGGTGCCATCTGCGACTTCCGTCTCGACTACGGCCGCTCGTTCAACCGCCGCGCCAAGATCATTGCTGTCAACCGAAACTCTGACGCGCTCACCAAGAACACGGACATGTTCTGGAAGCCCACGATGGCTGTCAAGGGCGATCCGGGCTCCTTCATCGTTTCCCTGGCCGCCATTGTTGCTGGATCGTACACGTGCGACCCGACCTGGGTGGAACTTTTGCGCTCGCGAGACGTCGCCAAGGATGCTGACAACAAGAAGAAGGCTGCCGAGCCCTCTGCCGATGGCAAACTCAACCCGCTCTCCGTGCTGTCCAAGTTCGACGAGGTTCTCAGCGACGACAGCATTCTCGTGGCTGACGGTGGTGACTTTGTTGGCACTGCGGCGTACATTGTGCGTCCGCGCGGCCCTCTGCGTTGGCTCGATCCCGGTGCGTTCGGCACGCTGGGTGTTGGCGGCGGCTTTGCCCTCGGCGCAAAACTCGTGCGCCCGGATGCCGATGTCTGGGTGATTTACGGCGATGGCTCGCTTGGCTACAGCGTGGCAGAGTACGACACCTTCACCCGGTTTGGTCTGCCGATCATTTCCATTGTCGGCAACGACGCCGGATGGACCCAGATTGCTCGCGAGCAAGTCCCCATGTTCAACACCTCTGTCGCCTGCGCTCTCGCCTACACGGATTACCACACGGTCGCCGATGGTTTCGGCGGCAAGGGCTTTGTCGTGCACACGCTCGAGGAACTCGGCGCAGCTTATGCACAGGCTGTCCGCATCACTCGCGAGCAGAAAAAGCCCGTCCTCATTAACGTTGTGATTGGCAAGACCAACTTCCGCGAGGGCTCCATTTCCGTGTAAAAGTGCAAAAAAACACAAAGAACGTTCTTGCTGTGGTTTTATGCATGTGTTTTGCTGCGCTTGTCGTGAATACAAAACGGCTCGTTCTTTATCATCGAATTGTTGTTGACAATGAGAGCAGTCCGCCATGAGTAGCAGTGTCCCTTTAGCACATTTATTGCATGCGCTGGTCGTGATTCATGGTCTAGTGGGATGGTTGCCAAAGTGGTCACTTTGAACCACGCTACCGCTCTTCCTTGGTCTCACAACCCGCCCGCTTTAAACGTATTTGTGTAATAATATTATTATGTATATTATTTTTGAAAAGGAGGCGGTCGGATACGACAGGTGCTGCACCTGGCGTCAAGCAAAAGCCAAGGCGTTGAACTCATCGCGCCATGACTCTCACCCCGGCATTGCCGGGTTTATTTTGGCATGCACTGATTCCATCGCGTGCTATTGTGTGTTGCATGGTGTTAAACTGTCGTTATCTTGCGTTTGTGTGCGCGGCGCTGGTACCGAGGTGCGCATTGAAGTTTTTTCAGTTGCTGGTTTATAATTTTGCCGATCAGCCTCAATTTGTCGAAGACGCGTCATTGGAAAAATCAGAACATACCAAATCACTTCATTTCCCAGTACAAATCAGCTGTGAGGCTCTGGATTACACGGGCTGGATATTTGGAGCTATGGGCCATAAGCTGGTGGTTCGAACGAATCGAAGTCTTCCAAATTTGATTTTGAGCCGACCGCCAGGCATCTTCGCACACGTCTACCAGTGAACTATCGAATTTTTAATACTGCAAAACATGAAACATGAAGATCGACAGAGACAACGGTCGTTTCTATTGGGTTTTGTCGCTTTTTTTGCTGGTCCCATTCGGACTTGCTCTCAATCTTCACTCGAACCTCAGGAAAAACAAAAGCACTTCCACATTCATTCTAGCACATGCTTCAGTAGTGATTCCAGGTCAAGGTCCGGGCAAGTTCGAGTAGGAGCAATCTAGAGAGGCCGAAAACCCGAACGCTACAATTGGACTTCAGCAACTAGCCCGAAATGATCGGAAAGATAAAACGAGCTGTCGGCTTCGACACAGGGACTATTGCCAATCATCTTGAGCGAGGTGACCTTGGCACGCTTGGTGACAATGCGGTCGAAACGGCAAGTAAACCCAAATCCGTCCGCGTGATACTTGTTCTTGGTGCTGTCCCAGGTAAACTGCAGCTGCGACCGCTCCTTTGGATTCAATAAACAATAAGCGGAGAACGCATCCACATAGCCATCGTGTGCAAAGTGTTCATTCTCGTTCTCGCGCGCGTTGAAATCGCCCGCAATGACAATGCTGTTGGTTGCGCTTCGCGTGCTCTGACTGGCCTTGATGGCCTGTGCGAGTGCCTGAAATTGTGCAGAGCGTTGACTTGTGCCTGTTTTAAACGGGGCGAGATGGCAGCTCGCGACGGTGATTGTTGGCGGCGACGACGCGGCGTTGTCATCAGAAGAACCGAAACCAGACGCATCGTCGCGTGGCACTTTGAATGTGGCGAAAACCGCTGGTCCTGCCGTCGACGCCAGCTCAAGACGCTCCAGCCAGGGCTGCTTGACGAGGATGCAGCTCCAGCCGCAGTGGGACGGCGCCGAGTTGACAAACTCCCAGCCGAGCTCGCGAAACAGTTTCGAAAGTGATTCAAACGTCTTTTGGTGCGCAGGCATTCGCGAGTCGCTCGGGACGGGAAACTCTTGCAGGCACAGGATGTCTGCATCATGGTCGAGCATGCCAAAGGCCAGCCGCTCGAGCTTGGTCGCAATGGTCTCGCCTGGAGGCGACGCGTCGGAGATGTCCAACCCGGAAATGTTCCACGTCAAGATTCGCAGGCGGGGCATTGACGTTCGACAGTATGATAGGATGACTTTAAGATTGCAGCGGGATGCAATTCTGTAAATAAATGCAGTGATTGGTTTGTTTGAGGTGGGGGGGGGGGAAATGAAAGAGATTGTTGGTTGTTGCGAGTCAGAGGATTCAGAAACTCAGAAGGATTTTTACAACAAAAGACGACTGACAAGTGATGAACAATGACTGGCAATCCTTGAAACCACAACAATGAAAGTGATACGCGAAAGCAACTTCAAATCCCAAGGAGCCTCAGAAAAAGCCGCTCAACGCACCATTGTTTCAGGTCACAACAAGTTGTGCGACAATGTTTATTCATTGTTGTCTCACACCCGATAAAACGCACAGCAGACATCGTGGAAATACTCGGGCATTGACCCGTTAATGATCAAGGCGGCAGATAGGGTTGCTGCGGATGACGTTAAAGTCGACCTTGTGGCCGACAAGAGCACGGATGTTGTCAATCTTGTACTTGATCATTGTAGGACTGCGCTCGGGAAATACACAAGCACACAGTCATTTAAAAAAAAACCAAAGTGAGATGAGCAACGCCATCGTATTTCTGCATTCCCTTGTCCTCCCCATCGCTATCGCCATCGTTCTCGCCTTCACTCTTCGAAATGACATACCGCTCAAGAGAAAGACCCCAAGCAATAACGGAAACGTCTTCAGGCAGACCCATCGGACGCAACATTTCTGGGCGGAAGATGCCAGAGTTGCCGAGCTCGACCCACTTCTTGAGACCTTCGTGATAGCTGTAGACCTCCATTGAGGGCTCCGTGTAAGGGTTGAAAGCAGGCTTGAAGCGGAGCTTCTCAATACCTGTTTGTTCAGTCAAGCGAAAGCGAGTCCCACAACACACAAGTACCAAGATGAGAAGATCATCCAACACGAGAAAAAAAAAAAAAAGGCCAAAACCACCAACAGAAAACAGCTCCGACTCGCCAACCAATGCAAAGCAATGCACTCACCCATCTTTTTGAAGAACTGGGACAGCAGGCCAATCAAATCGCCAAGGGTGAGGTTGCGGTCGGCAACAAGACCTTCAATTTGGTGGAATTCGGCAAGATGGGTGGCGTCCAAGGCTTCGTTTCGGAAGACACGGTCAATGCTAAAGTACTTGACGGGCTTGAACTCCTTCTGTTGCGCCAACTGGTACAGCATGCGCGTGCTGACGGCAGTGGTGTGCGTGCGAAGAATGTTCTTTTGGGCCTCGGCGCGAGACCAGTCGTATCGGTAGCCGATGGAGCCGTAGCCTCCCTTCTCGTGGATCTCGTGCACTCGCTTCAAGTAGTCCTCGGGGAACTGCGTCGAAGTGGAGGGGTCCTTGATGAAAAAGGTGTCGTGGCTATCGCGTGCGGGGTGCTGTTGCGGCTGGAAGAGGGCGTCAAAGTTCCAGAACGACGACTCGACAAAGTTGTTTGTTGGCATTTCGGAAAAGCTACGAGGGAGGGGTGGTGTTTTTTTGTTGTTGTTGTTGTTGTTGTTGGGATGGAAATAGAGAGATGTGAGCATTCACAAAAACCAGCCAGAGCACGGTTGCACACCACACCCGTTTGTCCAAGCAGCGCTTACCCCATTTCGAGGAAAATGTTGCGGAACTGCGTGCGAACTTTGAGCAGGGGGTGCAAGTAGCCTCCGCTGGTGGGTGCGCCGAGAGCCTTCAAGTTCTTGTCCTTGAAGGTAACTTCACGCCAAGCATCCCTGCGCAAAGTAGAAGAGGAGCACGGGTGTTTAAATGAGTTTTTGTTTCTCATTCATTTCCGCGCAGTGGTGCAAACACGCTTAAAGCGAAAAAAAAAAAAAAACAAATAAAAAATAAAACAAGACTTGCTTGGTGAGCATGGCAGTCGTCAAGTCAGACTCTGGCTTGACAATCTTGGTGGAGAACTTGTCACCCTTGCCGATGGCATAGGCAGTGTAGGTTCTAGACGACAGTCAAGAGTCAGCAAAACTGCTTCAGCTACGATCAACAAACACAAAAATGGCATTTGAGCAGATGGCTCGCTTACCGGCTAGCAGCCAACTTGAGCTTGCGGAGCTCAGCCAGAGCAGAGTCAGGCACGGTTTGTCCGGCCTGAATCGCAGCCAGCTGTTGCTGAGCCTCGTCGACGATTGTCTCCACCTGGCAGAGCGAAGAGAGAGAGAGAGAGAGAGATGAGCACGGTCCACTGGAACACAACCGCAACTGCGACGCCTTTCTGCAACAACAACAACCCCCCCATTTCGTCGTACAGCGCGGAAGAGCTTGCCGGACGCCTTGTCGAGGCGAATCCACTTGTTCTTCATGGCACGGCCTTGTGCTTGACCAGTCGCAGGTCCGAAGCGAGCCTGTCACGTCAGCCCAGCCAATGCAAAACAGTGGGCAACATAATCCACCCTCACCTACTCCAGCACTCAAGAGCAAGAGCAAAACTCAAAAGCAAGCGTACAGTGAGCTCTGCGAGGGTGGTTCCGTTGGTCTTGTCAATGCCGTTGAAGATGCGGGCGTCGAGCGTGCCCTCCTTGACGGTGACGAGGCCTTCCTCTGTCAATGAGACGAGGGTCTTGTCGAACGGCTTTGTCGTGATCATCTGATCGAGATGTGGTTGAGTGAGAGAAGTGCGGTCAGTGAAGCCATGATGTCAAGGCAAAGAGAGAGAGAGAGAGACACCGCTCCGCTGCGACCACTCGTTTTCACGAAATGCATTGCAAGAACAAAAAGAGCCGCTCCCCAACTCTTGAAAGATGCGCAGATTCGAGACAACAAGCATTGAATGGAGCGAAGAAGCAGAAGAAGAAAGATCTTTGCTTTTTTTTTTTTTTTTTTTTTCACAATGCAAAAGCCAGCCATTTTTTTTTTTTTTTTTTTTCCGTTGAACATGCTTCACTCTCTCTCTCTCCATATCATTGCATCATCGTGCTGTACCTCGGGGTAGCGCTCGAGGGACTTCATTGCGCCAACGACCGTCTGGTGGTCGGCTTGGATGTTGGCGGCGTACTGCTCCGTGTCTGCAATGACAGTGCCGGCGTGGAGGTCGTCGAGAATCCGCTGCTGGGTCGCTTCAGACATGATACAGTTTGTGTGTCAAAAAGAACAAAGAGTGAACTTTGTTTGTAGACATTGAAATGCACATTGCAATACAATAAAAAGCATGGTCTGTGTCTTGAAGGTGGGAAGGAACAAAAGCAAATCGTGCTCTTCGTCGGTTCTCCGCTTCCTCGACGCCGGCAGCGGTCTGCAACTCTGCTCTATGAACAAGCGAAAAAAAAAAACAGAATAACTCTACTTCAAAAGAAGACCAATCCAGTCGGTGAGAGCGAAACTAAACGCCGATCAGCACAGTCGTTGTTTGTGGTGTCTAATTCAATGCATCATGCGACAGACACCTCACCGATGACGATGATGCACTCAACCACAGCAGCTACAACAACAACATCACCAGCTGAAGTCATGACAGCTGCACTCCCGCGCTGGGCTCAACTCGCGCTGCACACTGTCGGAATCAAGCCAGAGTCGGATCCGCTCAGGGTCATTGGCTATGCATTCTGCCTCAACTTTTGCACACTCACGTCGTTGTACATCATCCAGCCACTGCGCGACGAGCTGGCAGCCAGCGAGGGCGGCATCGAGGTCAGTGACTTGTGGTGTTCAATCACTCTGGTCACAGTCACAAGCCAAAGGATCAAACAAATAAAGCACTCACACATACACACACTCACACTCACACATGCGAATATATACCATCATCGTTGACAGAGCTTGCCGTGGCTGTTTATGGCATCGCTGCTCGTCATGCTGGGCGCAAATCGAATCATGGCGCGGGTCGCTCACAACCGATCGCCTGCACGCGTCGCGCTGCTCGCCTTCCGTTCGTTCATCACTGCATTGATTGCATTCAAGGCAGCGCTGTGGCTGGCACGAGGGCACGCGGCGGTGACGTCGTCCCTTGCGATCGTCTTCTTCCTCTGGTCGGGCAGCTTTACACTGCTCTCCATGTCGCTCGATTGGTCGCTCATCTCGCTGAGCTTTACCAGCGTGCAGTCCACGCAGTTCTTTGGCCTCATTGCCGCAGGCGGGACGCTCGGTCAGATTTTCGGCTCGTTCCTGACCCTGCAATTGATTGAATGGACGGGCACCACTGCGCTGCTCCTTGTTGCAGCTGGATTTCTCGTTGGTTCGCTCCACTGCATTCGTGCGCTTGGACAAACACTTGCGTTCCACCCGACACTCCCTCATGCTGGCACCGCCGTCGACGGACCCGCCCCCACCGGCAACACGACGTCGAAACACCCGCCGTTGTGGCGGAGCTTGCAAGCGGTGGCTCACTCGCCGCTCCTCGTCGGTATCTGTGTCCACGTTATGCTATTCACCTTCACGGCATCGACACTCTACTTTCGAAAGCAACAAATCCTGCTCGACAGCATTTCGGAGGGAGACTCGCGCACGGGCTTTCGCGCAACGCTCAACGGCCTCATCGGTATCATGACGTTCTTCCTGCAGCTATTTGGCACGCGCCGCATCACGGCAAAGTTTGGCATGTCTGTCGCGCTGTGCGTCGTCCCGCTCATGTCCATTACGGGCTTTGCGGTGCTCTGGCAATGGCCGCAGCTGAGCACCATCTCGATGCTGGTCTTTTTGCGCAAGGTGCTTGGGTTTGCGCTCGACAAGCCCTCACGCGAATCGCTATTCACGCGCGTTGCGCCAAGCGAGCGTCTGATGGTCAAGAATCTGATCGACACTGTCATTTTTCGCGTGGGCGACGCACTCGGTGCTTCCGTCTACCTGCTTCAAGTGCCACACCACACCACTCCTGCTGCATCCCCAGCGTCTGCACAGCCGAACGAGCTCGCCATGGCAACGCCGGGACCCGCCATTCCCCTCGAGGCCATTGCGATCGCTGCCAGCTGCTGTTGGCTCGGTGTTTGCTGGTATCTCGGCTTCCTGTGGCGTCGCGACCATGCGCGTGCAGCTCAGCACCATCCCATGTGACGTGATCGGCAGCCAAGCATCAGAGCTAAGCTCCAAACATGTTTGCTTTCATAGTGTACAAGTGTATATTTTTTCAAAATGGGTTAACAAAAACATTGGAAATGCTTGGCGCGCTGGAATAGAGCCCCGTAGCTTGAACGTCCAGCAACCTCTCGAACAATCCTTCAGCAAAGCCCATACGTCGATTTTGTATGGTTGTGCTATGACTGGACGAACAAGTCGGAGTTGAATGTCCATTGCATTGGGTTTCTTTTGGGTTTTATGACGACTTTGCCGCGCTCGCTGCTGGCGTGTTCTCGAGCTTTGGGGTAAAGTTGTTCTTGTCCAGCATTTCATCAAGCTTTGTCTGCAGCATTGGCAGCGACGGCGGATCGACAAACAGGTGCGTTTCATCCACGTCGGCGATGATAAACCTCGTCTCGGACGGCTGCTGCGAGTCGAGATGCAAGAGGAACTGCTTGATTGCAGCGTCACTGTCATTGCAAGTCGGAGTGTTGTTGTGAGTTGCAGGACAGCCGTAGTGATTGGCAAAGGGGGGGGGTCTGTCTTCCAATGTGCTTCCCTTTTACCATTCAATCAGAACGCCCTTGTGGACGTGCATTGCAAAGTCGTTCAATGACAAAAAAGACTGACTCGCCCGGAAATGCATCCAAGTAAAATGTGTGAATGAATGCAGTTAACAGTCGTAGTAGAAGTAGTAGTTGTAGTAGTCAACTACAGTACAGTGAGTGAAGTCAGTTCTGAACAATCCTTTGCTCTCTTGCCATCCATCCCACTCTTGTCGCTCACAATCCCGTCACTTTTGGAGTGAAATTCAATAACTGCACTACTAACTCTACCATCATCCACATCCGAGTTCAGCTCACTCACCTTTCACTAACACAAACCACAAAACCTCAGAAACACAAAATGTTCCGTGAAATCACCGCCGACGCCGAGCTCGAAGCGATGGAGCGCCACTGCCTCGAGCACCGCGGGCATTACGGATTGCGCATGGGCTATGTCTTGCACAATGCCAGGCGCGGACGCGTGCCCACTGCTCGCTTCTACGCCGACCTGGGAGACGTGACTGCCGGCCGATTTGCCGCTGCTGCGCATGGCGCTGGCACCACCGAGCCGGGTTCGTCACCGACCTCTGCCGCGAGTCCTAAGAGTGGCGGCGAGAGTGCTGCGTGCACAATGATCATCATGGTGCACCCGACGGCCGACGAAGACACGATCGCGCTCGACGCGACCACTCCGGAGGCTGCGCGCGTGCTCATTCACGAGCACTTGACAAACTTTACACTGCTTGGCATTGCGCATCCAAGCAACCCGCAACGACCACGACGGAGCATTACATTCTCTGGCTTTGACGATGCCCACTTTACTGAAAACATTCGCCAAGTCTTCCCTCAAGAGTCAGGATTCGTGCTCAAATACCAGTTGAGTGGATTGTTTTTTGTTGTTGTTGTCGTTCTGAGGTTTTTTTTCCCTTGTACATTCTAAGTGGATGCTGCTGACGACTCACTTTGATTTGCCGCTACAAAAACCCTCATTTCTCTGTGCGGAATGCACCATGAAACGTTTCGCTTACACTTCGATCACAGTCCTTGCAAAATGTACTCGGCAACCAACCCAGCGCTCTTTGCGCCAGAGCTGTACTTGCCCAAGCTCCAAGCGGGATGGACGTTGGGGCCGCTTCGCGCCGAGGACGCGCCGATGGTCAATCAATTGTGGCCCTACTCGTCGCCCGGCACGCTGGGATTTATCGCAGACCTGATTACCACCTACCCTTCCATGTGTCTGTTTGTCGACGGCACGCCTGCATGCTGGTGCCTCACCCAAAACTACGGCGCCATGGGCATGCTGCACACAAAGGACGAGTTTAAGCGGCAGGGTCTCGGGAAGATTGTCATGATGGCGCTGTCGCAACATCTCCACTCCAAAAACCACGTCCCGTTCTTGTATGTCGTTCATCCCAACACCGCCTCTCACGGGCTCTTCAAGTCACTCAATTTCCCTCAAGAAGACCGCGACCAGAGCTGGCTGCTCGTGCATCCCCCAAAAGACCAATAGACCAGCCAAGCTGATCGTGGGAACGAGTGTGTACTGTATGATTTGATATTTGCAACTAATACAAGAGTCATTCATTGGATGAAATGATATCGACGAGTACAAGAAGGAAAGAAATTAACAGGAAAATTACGGCTTTCCACGCTGCTTGACCCATTTGAGCGTGCACGACTGACAGCGGGGACTTTTTTCGTGCGCGTAGAAGGTTTGGTCGGCCAATGGCGTCTTGCAGTCCTGTTCGAAGCGAAAGCAAAAGCAAAAACAAAAACAAAATGCACAATGAAATTGCAGCCTTGCGAATGGAGCACCCCGCCCGCCATTCGTCCATTCCAACTCCTCGCACACCCCAGCAAACAAACCTACCTGGCACACAAAACACGCGACATGCCACCGACTGCCGAGCGCGGAAACGACCTCGTCCAGGATTTGCTTTTTGCAGGCATGGCAGGAGGCGAAAAACTTGGCTGCATAGTCTGCTTCGCAGTACGGGAATCCATTGCGGCTGAGGAAATCTTGGTCCTTGAGATTCTTCTTGCAAACCTCGCAGTTGAAGCACTCTTGATGCCATTGGTTGTCGATCGCAAACACCATTTCGCCGACAATGGGAAGCCTGCATTTGAAGCAGCGCTTGCCAAACATCTCGTAATAGTCCTTCTCGCAGTACGGATGGCCCTTGTGCTCAATGTATGGGGTGAGCTCGAAAGGCATCTTGCACTTGCGGCAGCCAAAGTGGTCGTAGTGCCATTTGCGCCCGCAGGCAAGCAACCACGTTTCACCGCCTTCTTCGTCGACAGCCACGCCGCATCCGCCGCACGTATCTTCGCCAAAGACGCCGGGGGAGTCGGGGAGCGATGCCAGTGAGGAAGAGCTGGAGGCCGTGATGGGCAACGAGGTCGCGCTTCCAGCACCGGGGCGTTTGGGGTAGGCGAGGGTCTGGCTGGACTTGAGGAGGCTGGAGGTACTCGGTCGCTTGACGTTCATGAGGGTCATGGAGCGTGTCGAGCCGATCGCCGGCACTTCGTCCGAGCCCAAGCGGCGCTCGAGGTTGATTGAGTTCATGCGCTCGAGCTTGGCCGTGCTCATGGGCGATCGGCTCGGGGCCGGGTAGACCGCTTCTGCGCCAGAGTCGCCCAGCTCACCAAGCAGATCGCTGAGATGCTTGCGCGCAGTGACAGAGGGCCGGAACTTGTCTGACTCTGTTGGAAGCTTCTTAAAGATGCGTCCAGACAGGGCGCTGGGCAGAATCTGCACCAAGCGCTCGGTCGTGTCGAGTTCCTTGAAGCGGAAGGAGCCAAGATCCGTCAGCACGGGCACGAATGCAGCAAAGGCTCCAGCATCCAGTGCTGGCCGAATGTCGTCAGACACTGAGCCGCTGACCACGACCTGTCCGCCGTCAGTCAACTCGCTCACGCGTGCAGCGCGGTTGACCATCGGACCAAAGTAGTCCATGCGCTCGACCACGGGGTCGGTTTCGCTCTCGGGCGAGCCGCTGTGCACACCCATGCGGATGGACAGGCCGCGCTGCAGCAGCTGGCCATCGGGAGACCGGCGCTCCCAGCAGTACTGCGAGTCGAGCAGCTCTTTGGGCCAATCGAGCGTCAAAAGCAGCGTCTGCGTCTCAAGACACCACTTGACGGCATCTTCGGAGCGTTGGAAGGCAACCATGAACGCATCACCCTCCGTCTTGACCTCGTAGCCCTTGTGCACACGAATCGCGCGGCGCATGCAGTCCTTGTAAAGCTTGACTGCCGCGCGCATTGCGTCCGGAATCGCGTGCCAGAGCTGCAGCGAGTGCTGTACGTCTGCAAACACAATCGCCACGTGCCCTTGCGGGGGAGGCACTTCAGCGTTCTGCTTGTCAAGCATGAGGTTGAACACGAGTTTGACATTCTCGTCGTTGGTGGGCTTGCGCCGCTTTTGGGCGAGCTCAAACGTCCGTGCCCGCAGCAGCAGCGGCAACACCTGGAACAAGGTCTCCTCGCTGCCCAAGCCCTTGAGCTTGAAGCTGCCGAGCTCGACGTAAACAGGGTCGAAGAGCTTGAGCTCATCGGCCAGAGCACGGCAATCCTCCATGGCCGACCGGGACATGACAATCTGGCCGCCCTCGGCCACAGACGAGACTCGCGCAGCGCGATTGACGACAGGGCCAAAGTAGTCCATGCGGTAGGTGATGGGATCGGGCTCGCAATCGGGCTCGCCCGTGTGAATGCCCATGCGCACCCGCAAGCCTCGAAAGACGGTGTTGTTGTCGCCATCAAACACTTGCGAGTACCCGTCAAGGGCAAGGATCTCTTCGGGCCAGTTGACACTGAGCAAGTCGAGCTGGGCAATGAGGCAGAACTTGACAGCATCGACCGCGCGTTGGAAGGCAATCATGAACGCGTCGCCCTCCGTCTTGACCTCGTAGCCGTTGCAGACCTGCATGGCACTGCGCATGACATGGTTGTGCATCTTGACGGCCGCGCGGGTGAGGACGGGGTCGCGCTCCCAGAGTGCAGACGAGTTTTCAATATCGGTGAAAATGAGCGTGACGCGGCCCGTTGGCGGTGCGACCATCTTGCTGTAGCGACGCGGATGCACTGGCGCCGAGGGCTGAGCGAGCGTGCTCGAAGAAGCCGCCGCCGCCGCCACAGCAGCAGTAGCAACTGCAGCAGCGGCACCAGATGCGGGTCGATTGGCCGCAGAGACGGCAGCGAGTGCTGCGGCCAATGTTGCAGCAGCCGTGGCAGCGGGTCCTTCGCCCGCCGCGCCAGCAGCCGCAGCCGCAATCACAGCCGCAAAAGTCGGGGCAGGAATAGAGCGGGTGCGCGACGCCTCAAGCGTGTTTAGCTGGTTTTTGGACCGCACTTTGCGCGAGAGCGTGCGGCTGAAGGCCGTGGAAAAGCGACCCAACGACGCGTCTTCCAGCCGCCAGGTGACGAGCTCGGCGTCCAGAGAGTCGATGCCCTGGGTCAGCGTGCGCAAGGTGCGGACCACGACAAAGGCCGAGTCAATCATGTACTGCACGGCTACTTCGCGATGCTGGGTGGCGGTCGCCGCACGGCTAGCCGCCTGGCGCAACACAATCATGTTGTCACACAGGAACTCGCGTGATTCAAAAATGGTCGCGACCGTGTCTGGAGCAGTTTGCTCGAGATTCAGTGCGTTGATCAGACCCACAACTTTGCCAACCGAGTCGGCGAGCGACGACGCCAGCGTCGTGAACGTATCGCGTTTGGACTGGTCTGCGTTGGCCTTGAGCTGGCGGACGCCTTCGACAATCTCGTCAATGAGGGTTTCGAGACGATTGTTAAACTCGCTACCGGGACCAATGCGAGTTTCTTCGCTGGTGGCCAAGTTTTGCGAGCTGCCAAAACTAGTACTGCCCAGCTCCGAGTGGCTGCTCGATGCGCGACTGACAGTCCCGACCTTCAGTTGATTTGCATTGGAAGAGGCAGTGGGTTCGGTTGGGCTGCTTGATCGAGGGGCCGATGGGGCCGACGAGGCCGCCAAAGTGGCCGCACCGCCATTGGTCGATTCCGACGCTTGCCTGCTGTGCGCCGGCGAGACCGAGAGTTCGGCTCCTGTGTCAGCAGGCTCAAACGAGGACATGGCTGCATCGCTCGCATTCACTTGCAAGCCCATCATGTTCTGGGCCTTGTCGCTCAGGTAGAAGGCCGTTGGGTCGTGCTTGGCGCACCGAATGTTGTCGTCGATGCACGCCAGAACGGACAGGACGTGTTCAAGCCGCGCGATGGCACGCAGGCTCAGCACCGGCAGGCCGAGCGCCAATGCAGTGGCAGCCGTTGCGGTGGTGGAAGGAGCAGAGTCGGGCGCGCCACTCTCGCTGGTCATCACGGCAATGCAGCCAGCCAGACCGGAGAGCTCGGGCTCGGACGCTGCGTCGAGGGAGAACTGGAAGAGGCGGTAAATGTTGGCCAACTCTCGCTCGAGATCAATGGCGGCAGCGTTGTTGATGGCCGCCATGCTGCTCATTTCGCCATTCTCGAGAGAAAAGTCCCCAGAAGCAGTCGCGAGCGAGGTGGTAAACTTGCGAAGGCGGGCTCGCGTTGGGCCCATGAATGAGCTGGCAAAACCATACCCTTCGCGAGCATCCCGCAGATGGTGCGTCTCGGCCGTCACGTGCAAAATGCGGGCAACCAGCACGAGAGTGTACACGTTTCGCTCGCTGCTTGGGTGGACGCCATACGCACGCGGCCGCTCCAGCGCATTGCACAGGAAGCGCGTAAAGAAGAGCTCGTTGACCACCTTGTCCGCAAGCTGCTGTGCGCGCGAAGCCGACATTTCGCTGCCGAGCCGGTCAAGGGCCAAGCGTTGCAGATGGCACAGGACGAGTCGGAGGCCAGCAGGACACTCGTCGAGTGAGTGGACGACAGCATCGACCACTGATTTGCAAATGGCCTCGAGCGGCTTCCAGTGCTTGCGGATGGTGGCCACCATGTCGTCGCCTTTTGTTGGGGCAATCTTGCCAAACGTGTGCAGCTGTCGAAGGAGCGACCGCAAGATGCCAGAAATGTAGTCCTTGCCAACGACGCGCATGTACGATTCGATAAACTGGGCAGTGATGGACAAGTCGCCCAGGAGTGTGGTCGAAGCAACGGTTGCGCCACCTGTTACGCCACCAATGTAGCCCATGGGAGCGGTTGCGCTTGTGCTGCCGGCGAGTGCACTCATCATGGTGGAGGTGGAGCTGCTGAGACTGAGCGTGCTGGCAGCGCCAGAGGACAATGTCACTGCGGACGCGCTATTGTTTGCGCCAAACCCGTCCAAGTTTTTGTTGGAGCTGGAGCTGACCAAGTAGGCCGTGACCTCAATGTTCACGGCAGCTTTCAGGAAGGAGAGGGCAAGATCCTGCGTCTCAAAGACGGCCATGACGGAGTCGGAGAAGGACTTGGACTCGGCGCAGCGCGCTGCAAACGCAAGCACTGCTGGAGTCGTCAAGGTAAAGACCCCAGCCCCTGGCTGCTGTTGTTGCGAGCCACTGCCAATCAGGCTTGTCCGTCGTCGCTTGCTCGCAGCGTCCATTTTGGACGAAGCGGGCAGAATGTTGAGGGGAGCAGCCTTGTTTTCGCCGACGTGACCAGGAACGAAAAGTTTGAGCAAATCTTGGTAGCACTCCAGTGGCAAAATCTTGTTAAAGGTGGTGTAGTAGTTGACGTGCATGGTGCCAAGACCAAAGGCGCTCGCGCGCTTGTTCTTGTCGGCCTTGTCCTTCTTTTTGTCCGTCTTGCGCTGGAGAATGCACGAGAGCTCGGAGGTCACGTTCGGCGCAAGACCCGCGAGCGGCAGCATGCCAGCGGCGTGCTGGGTATCTCCCGAGAAGGTTGCGGCCTCGTACAGGTTGATTTCAAGCCAGTGCGCCTCTGGGGTGAGGTGGAGTGGGAAGGTGAACGTCTCGTTGAAGGAAGGGCTGGTGTCCTTGGAGACTTTGGTCTTGACAACGCCGTCCTTGCCGTCGATCGAGCGAGACCGCTGGTGGCCGCCACCCATAGGCGCATGCTGGGGCATGAGGCGCAGGGACAGATAGAGGCCTTTCGCCTTGGCAATCGTCGTCTGCGCATCCACGACGCGCACGGTGATTCCGCGCGGCGCTGAGGGATGGACGGTGATTTCAACCCGGACCTTGGCTGGCGGTTGCTGATCGGGCATCTCGAGGAAGAGCCACTCGTCGTGAACGGCCTGTTGGGTGCGCGGGATGGACGACTGCCGTGCGAGCACGTCGAGATTCTCGCTGAGCCGTCTGCTGCTCCGTGCGGAGGACGAGTTGGACGGTGAAAGCGAGCTGTTGAGTGCCGTCATTGCAGCGATCGCACCGCCAGCGACCGAGGTACTCGAGCTGACGTGCGACAGCGCTGCTGGAGTGGCTGCGCCCGACGCGGATGCCGGCGATTCATAGGCACTCTCGCTCATGGTTTCGGATTCGCCGATGAGCGATTCACGCGCGAAATCGGCGCTGCCAATGTCGAGTCCGTGCTTTTCGTCGCGGACTGAGATGACGAGGTTTGTAAATCCAGCGGCAGTGATGGTGAATGCCTGGGTGGGCAGCCAGTGGACCTCGGTCGATGCCGCGCTCAATGCGACGCTCGTGCTGTCCTGCTCGACGCCATCGAGCAGCACCGCCGCGCGGAGTGGCGAGGACTCTGACCCCGGCGGGAACTGCTTGCCCTCGAGCGCCTGGAAGACGATGAGTGGCTCTGAGCGGAGGAGGCTCCGTGTTGCCTCGCTCATCTTGGGTTCGTGTTGGTGTAGAAGTGGTGTGTGTGTGCTGATGAAACGCAGGATTTTGTCTTGTTTTCTGGTCAAGAATAGAAACCAGTCTTGCCTTTGCGGGTCTTGTTCAAGTTCTGTATGACAGGGAAAGGAGTGGAGGAGAGGAGAGAGGAGAGAGGAGAGGAGGGAGAACGGAGAGAAGGATTTGAGTTTCAGATTGCAGGAGCATGGGTTTTTGTCCAGAGCACTGCGCAAGGATTTGAGTTTCAGATTGCAGGAGCATGGGTTTTTGTCCAGAGCACTGCGCACCCAGACTTGGTGGAAAGAGAGAGAGAGAAAGGAGTGAAGAGAAGAGAAGAGGGAAGCGGATGGAGATAGAGCGCGAGAGAGAGGCGGGATGGGGATTGAATGGAGCGAAAGAACACACAAAGCGAAAAAAATAAAATAAAAAATAATAATAATAAAATATAAACCCACACAACAACAACGCAAAATACTGAAATCTGGTGCGATGGAGATTGGATCACAATGCTGGATGATGGATGATGTTGGATGGATGATGATGAGTATGGCAAAGTGATCTCAAAGAGGGGAGAGAGAACGAGAGCGAAGAGACAGAGATGGAAAAGTGTGTGTGTGTGGAAGGATTGTGGTTGACATGGAATTAAAAAATAAAATAAAATAAAAATCCAATACAAAAAGCATACCTAAAAAAAAAAAAAAAAAAAAAAAAAAGAATGACAGAGGGTAACTGGAAAAAAAAAAAGCCATCAGAACAAGCAAAAGCACGAGGAGGGATCCGAACAAGAACAGCAATCTGTCATGATGATAAAAGCAACAGCGAAAACAAAAGCGAAACAAGAAGGAAAGGCAGAGAGAACAATGGAAATGGGGGCATGGATCTCGCAGACACACACATCCGCCACACGCACGATCTCCTCTCAACAACACACACCTGCCCCCCCCCCAATTGCCACTGCGTACCTGTGCACCTGGTCCTACAACATCGTCGTGAACATTGGAAAACACACACACTCACACACACATGCGACTATTGAAAAAACGACATGCTCATTCATTTTTTCAACAATGGAAGAGTACGACGAGAGCGAAGTGCTGATCGCGTCGGCCTCTGCGCCAGCGAGCCTGACTGCGGACGGCGGCAGGAAGAAGAAGAAGAAGAAGCCTGCCAGCAACAGCACCAACACTGCCACCAACGACAGCAGTGCACACAAGAAGCAGGCGACGCAGCAGCTGCAGGAGCCATTCGACCAGAACCAGAACGAGGACGAGGAGAAGGAGGAAGACGGCGGCAACAATCGGCACGAGGACAGCAGCAAGGCGCCGTCGTTCGACCGCTCGCGGGCATCCAGCGGCCATAGCTACGGCACAGACAACTCCAGCATCAACGGTGGCACCGCGACGCCGGTCGGTGGGCTCGCTCGCTTCCCGCGCACAGAGTCCAAGACAATGCTCGTTCATGTAAAGAAAAAAAAGTCAAAAAAACGCGAGCTGTGCCCCGGTTGTGTGATCACTTTTGGAGGGGGCTAGTGTTCAAAGGACTGTAGATGAGACCACGCCATGCCAACGTGGGGACGGGAGAAGGGAGGACCGCGGGCGATGTGGCGATGGGGCGCTGGGGAGGAATAGGAGAAACTGTAAACCATCATGTGCCGTCCTGGTTTTGCCCCTGCTACGACTCACGCAGCGTCGACAGCAACAGTCACTTTGGTGCGAGAACGGTGCGTAGTGTACGGCTTGTGCTGCAAGTGGTGGATTGGAGGAGCTCCCTGGGAATTCTTCCCCGGGTGCCCGACCTCACTGCACAGTGACTCAAAAACTGAGGTTTCTCCACCGTTCATCAACACGGGCCAACAGCTGTTCTACAACACACACACTTATTCATTCATTCATTCACGCAATCGCAATGTCGTCAAACGGGAACCAAAAAGACAAAATAACACCACCGAAAACAAAAAACCACGCAGTTTTTGTCAGTTTTTCAGACAACTTTGTCGCGAGCGTTGAAATTGCACACTCGCTCGACATTGCTCATGCTTTTTTTCGCATTGACCATTTTGCACACTCTGAGAGGAGAGTTTGTGCGTTTTTGTTTTTTTTCTTTCCTCTCCGAGCGTTGCAAATATGCCGTGCTCTCAGATTTTACCGCTGCTCCACTCCGAATTGCTCGATTTTTTGTTTTGTCGTTGATGCACGATGGAAATTTCATTCCAACCGAACACTCAATTGGATTTATGGTGTTTTTTGCAGGAAGACAAGGCACCGCTACTGCGCGATGAGACTGAGGATCGCATCTTGTCGTCGCACGGACTTGGCGGTGGCGGTCATGCCCACGGATTCATCTCGGAGGGTCGCATGCGCACTACAACGTAAGTGTCAAACAGTTGCAACCCCAACTATGTTAAGGGCGCACGATTCATGCATATCACATCCCTGGATCAGCCTCGAACAGCTGTTTCGCGCTTGAAACATTGTTCTGCTCCTTTCTCACCCTCCCACCGAGTCGAGTTCGTTCCGACAAACACATTCGGCCATGAATACTACATCACAACAAAGTTTAATGGAATCGCAAGCACGCTCCCAACAAAAGACCGAGCGAGGGAAAAAAAAAAGAACAAAAAAAAGTGGGCGCAACGGCTGGTTTCGATCCAGCTGCCTTCAGGGCATGGACCTGATGCTCATCCGATTAAGCTGCGTTGCGTTGGCTGCACAGCACCCATTTTTCCTATTCGTGCTTTCTGTGCTTGTAGTTTTGGTTGGGCGCTTTTGGTTTTGTGCTGAAGTTTCACCCCGATGACGATATTGATCACCACCGCCTTGCATTTGACTTTACAGCGTCTCTCAGACAATGCTGAACCTTGTCAAGTCGTACATTGCCTCCGGCATTCTTGGTTTGCCGTATGCCTTCATGCAAAGCGGTGTTGTGGTAAGTAACACTTAAGGTCGAGCGATGAATGTTGAGCCTGTCGATCTGACATCCCCAACACCTCCCCGACTGTCCTCTCTTCTCAGGCCTCTGTCATCATCATGGTCATTCTGGTCGCCATGTCCATGCACTGCATGCTGGTTCTTGTTGACTGCAAGTACAAGCTGATCAATCAGGGCGCCGTTACCTACGCCGATGTCGCTATTTTGACTTATGGGCGGTGAGTGCAGCAGCCAGCTGTTTTATTTTGAAAGGAGTTGGTTTTTTTGGCTCGTTCAGCGTCCACTCAAATCGTGCCGCGACTCGCATGTGTGCAGATACATGGGATACCTCGTCGACTTTTTGGTCTGTTTCACCCAATTCGGCTTTGCTGTCGTGTATATGGGTACGTGGCATTTGTTGCTCTTTGAGTTGCCAGCGTTCTTTGATTTGCAGGTGGTTCTCCTATTGCTAGCTTGGCTCACTGTTGCCGCAATTGTGCTCCATCAGTCTACGTGTCAACGAACTTGGCAAGCTATTGGGATATCGACCACGCTCAAGTGTATATTCTCTTGATGCTCTTCCCGTTGTTTGTGGGCATGTCCTGGATTCGCCAGTACGTTGGATCGATATTTTTTTGGTTGTTTTTGATCGAACAAACAAACCAAAAAAACAAAAACAAACAAAAAAAAAAACAGTCCTCTCACTTTTCTTTCCGTCCCTCCTTTGGCAGAATGCGCTGGATTGGCCCCGTGTCTGCGTTTGCCAACCTCTGCCTGCTTACTGGCGTGGCTGTTGTCATTGGAGCGTCCATTCAACAGCTCGCCCATGGCGTGCTTGAAAACACGGGAACCATTTCCATCTTCGATGCGGGCGGCCTGCCCATTACGTTCGGCATGTGTGTCTACGCCATCGAGGGCATCGGTGTGATTCTGCCCTGCGAGACGGCAATGAAGGAGCCCAAGCACTTCCCCAAGGTGCTCTGCCTCAGTCTTGGCTTTGCCGGCTTGTGCTACGTCTTTTTCGGAATTCTCGTGTACTGCTCGTTCGGCGATCAGATCTCCGACCAGCTCCTCGACACCAACTCGACCATTCCCCTGTTCGTCGCAGCTGCGGGTCAGCCATGGCCGGCCTTTGAGAACATTTCGCGCATCAGTCTCGTGATTGCCATCTTCCTCTCCTTCCCTATTCAGCTCTTTGTTGTGATTGATATTCTGGAAGAGGTAAAGCTCAACAGAGTTCTGTCACAGGGGGGAAGGGTGCTGACTTGGCAGAAGAATGTGAGCTAACCGTTGGTTTTGTTGGGAATTGCGTTTCTCTCTCCTCCCTTCCTCCTGCCCAGGCCATGTTCAAGCGTGTCTCGACCCACCGCCGTCTGCTGAAGGAAAACATTGGCCGCTTCCTGCTTTGTGTGCTCGGTGCTGTGATTGCTGTAAGAGCGCGCCTCTCCGAACGTGCTTTTGTTTGATTCGAAGCATTCGGTCTTGACGCTCACGTTGTTTCTTCTTTCTTGTCCTATTCTATAGCTTACGGTGCCCAAGTTCAGCCTGTTGATCAGTCTTATCGGAGCGATGGGCGGCTCGACGCTGCAGTTCGTGCTGCCAAGTATTTTCCACCTGCGACTCTTCCCGGAATCGTCAACTCCCCGCAAAGCCCTCTCCATCTTTTACATTTTGTTTGGACTAGCAGGCGGATCCTATGGCACGTATGACACAATCAACAAGCTGGTAGAGCAGCTCTAACGTGTCGTTAACACAAATCTATTTCTAAAATTTTGTCGTTGCGATTTTTTTTTCTTTTGCTTGAGCGTCCTCCTCGTTTGTTGTTTTTCGGCTTGTTCTTGGGGTTTTTTTGTGTGTGTGTCTGTTTTCTGTGATTTGTTTGATGATAAAAGGGGCTTGTACCTTCCATTGCATGCGCTTCCGAAAAAAAAATCACAGAGCGAGGTCACTGTATGAACAAGGTGTACTGGAACTAAACAAGCACTCGCAACAAACACCAAACATCCCGGCTCAAGCACGCGATAAAATAACATAGCACTTGTCACACACACGAACAGATTCGGAAAAACCAGCTTCCAACAAGGGGAATTTCTTGGCAGAGCAGTTGCCGCAAAAGATGCCACCGCACTTTCGGCAATGGTGCCGTCGCCGAATGGTGGTGAACTTGAGCTTGCAGGCCATGCACTGCGTGGCCTCGTCGTCTGGTACCCAGCCGTGAATGATGGTTGCAGCCATGTGGAAAAAGCCGCAAGCCACCGTCCTGCAGCGCTTGTCGGCCATGCTTTCGATGAGTGTTGGCGCGTACTTGGTGCGGCCGTCGGGGAGGCCGAGAGCGTTGCTGGCACCACTGCCCCAAGTGTAGATCTTGCCACGGTCTACGTGCAAAACAAAAAACCAGAAGACAAGTCAGCGGGTGTGATGTTAACCTCCAAAACATGCACCTGCACTCAGCTTCATATTCCACAATGAGCGCATACCTGAAACGGCAGCTGAAATGTCTTGCCCGCAAGAGATTGCAGTGTATTTACGACCTTCGGGATTTGGCAGAGCAGCGGGTGTGGCTTGGTTCTTCGTCGCCAGCGGCCCAAGTCCGAGCTGGCCCTGAGCGCCACTTCCGAACGCGTATAGCAGACCGCTGTTGGACAGGATGATGGTGTGGTTGCCACCACAGGCAAAGTCAGCAACATCGTCCCGTACTACGTTGCTTTCCACACGGACTGGTGAGAGGCGGTCTTCTAACGGCTCGCCGACACCCAGTTGGCCGCTGGAATGCGCACCCCAAGCATACAGGCGACCGGTTTCTGTTGGGCGAAAAGCAGCGTTTTAGTTGAGCGAGCGACAAAGGACTAGAATAGCCGCCACCACACACAAGCGATCGATTGCTCCTCACCTGATAAAGCAACAGCGTGAGAATTTCCGCAAGCAATTCGAACAATACGCTCTGGTAGATTCGTGACCAACGTGGGCTCACTCATCGCCTCGTTGGAGCCGATACCAAGCTGGCCGTGTTCGTTGTTGCCACAGGCGTACACTTCGCCAGACTCGATCACGACTGCCCAAAAGAAAGAAAAGAAGGGGGGGGGGCGGGACGAGGTGGAGTCAGTGGTCAACAGAGACAAACAACAGCGTAAAAGCAGCGTCAACACGCACATAGTGTGAATGCGGCACCGCATGCAGCGTGTACGACACGCTTCCCGTCAAGAGCGTGGATTTGCGTGGGAGACACGTGTTTGTCTCCCTCGACACCGAGCGATCCATCAATTCCTCGGCCCCAGACGTAAGCCTCGCCGTTATCTGCAGAGCAATGCCAAGCAAGCACGACAAGAACGAACAAATTCAGTCAAAACGAACGAAGAGTTGTCGAACACACATCAAGCTGCCAAGGATTCGCACCTGCGACAGCCACAGAGTGGTTTTCATTGCAAGCAATATGCGTAATGTCAAACCCTCGCAGGCCCGCCAGACGCAGAGGGGTGAAGCGATCTCGCTCACGGCCTTGGCCGAGCCGACCACCCAGACCCAAGCCCCACGAGTACACCTCGCCGCTGACAGCAAGTGCCATGGTGTGTCCCGAGCCCAAACAAAGCATTTTGATGTCGTGGCCAAGCAGGGCCTCGACGACTCGCGGGCTGGCCTCCGGATCCTCCTCACCGTGGCCGAGCATGCCGCGAGTGCCTTCGCCCCAGGTATACACATCCGACGCATCTACACGCGTTGGTATCGATGCAGACAGAATTACGGCCAAGATGTGAGGACGAGCAGAACACAGAGGAGAAAACGATGCACCCAAACCTTCGCGAATGAGCACTCGTGTCGAGCCCTTGTCAATCACAACTTGAAGCTTTTGGTCGGTTTCCGGGGCAGTGGCACGCAACTGGGATAGATCAATGTCTCCCGTGGCCCGATTCACCAGCGCCTGTTCAATCCAGCCCACAAACAAACAAAAGTTGTTGGTTGCACGCGCAACTCCTCGGCTCACGCACAAGGGGATACTGACCTGCAAACCACTAATCCACACATCGTGCTCTCGACGATCCTTGCAAATAATGTCCAACGTGCGATTTCCTTGGTATACAATCGAGAAGGACCGCTCCTGCAGCGAGTGAACGCGCAAACCACAAACAAGTCCATGTCAAAGGTCAATTGCGCAGCCAAACCAGCTCGCAAATGGAATAAGCACATAACAGGCATGACACTGAGTAACAAAAGTGAGAGTGAGCCGGGAAGCGGCGTGCGAAAGCGCAGAGATCCGCGATGTCGTCATCGGACTGAAACTGTAAAACAAAAAGTGCCCAACCAAAACTACAAGCACAGCAAGCCAAAATAGCAGAAATGGGGAAAATGGGTGCTGTGCAGGGAACGCAACGAAGCTTAATCGGATGAGTATCAGGTCCATGCCCTGAAGGCAGCTGGATCGAAACCAGCCGTTGCGCCCACTTTTTTTTTAAAAAAATCTTGTTCCGTTGTTGATGAGCTGTCTTTTTGAATGTTGCAACTTGAATCAATGTTGAATGCAACAAGAATTATCGCTCTCGTCAAATTGAGGTGAGGAAGAGGAGCAAGAGGAGCAAGAGGAGAATGAGTGAAAATGGATGGCTCCCCTCTTTCGGTCCGGCTCGACGATTGAATTCAAGGAAATCAATACAAGGATGCCGTTGATAGAATGCCTTGGTGACTGGCACCTTTTGACTCTGCGCAGGAATGCTCGTTCGGGGTTTTCCTCACCTCAAATTCGGGCATTCGGTTGCTCTGGAAGACGCGCGTCTGCTGGCCCTTGAGCACTTCGGAAATTTCCGCAACGAGCACTGCACATGGACAAGCATGTCAGCATGGTCAGGGTTCCCAATTGAAGTGAGATGAGATTGGTCTGCGAGAATAAGTTCCCAAATTGTCAAACCAAAAAACGCACCGGACGATTCTCCGAGGTTTTTCTTTGGCGATTCCCATTGCAAGCGTAGCAAGTCTGTTGTTTCAACACAAAAAATCAAGCACAAAATCAAAGTGCAAAAGTCAGACAAGCGATGACCATTGGACACATAGACAACAGACGTCGAGCGGCAGGGTTTTGTACCAGGCGAGAGGCGGAAGTGACGAAAGTGCGGCTTGCCCTGAGAAGCAAATGCAAAGCCAAAGCCAAAGCCAGAGCCAGAGCCCAAAGCCGTGCATTCAAACACAAACGAGCATTCACACAGTGAGCACAGACAGGGGACCCAAAAACGAGTGGAGGGAGGGAACGTCGAGGAATGAGAACAAGAGTAGAGGGGGTCAGCTTGGAAGGGACGTCGCTCGTCCTCTTCACATTGCGTAGCGACCATCACGATGAACAGCTGGACGTTGGTGAGACAAGCAGGAGAGAGTGCGTGTCTGTGTATGAAGAAGAAGTGGAAGGGATTGGGGGTACCGCTCGGCCAGCCTTCAGCAGCGTATTGCCGCCGATCATTGAGCGCAGCGCATCAATCAGTGAGACTTCGCTGCTCATATTGGAATAAAAGCAAGAATGAACAACAACACAACAGAAAAAAGCGAAACAACACTATTGGACAGAGAGTGATGGACCTTTCGATTGAGCTTTGGTCGCAATTCATTCATTCATTCAACTCAGCCAGTCAGTCAGTCTCTTCTTTCAGTTTTTTCTTTTTCTTTTTTTCTTTATTCGTCGTTCGCTATGTCTAGTTTTCATTTTCGGTCGAAAAGGCGCGACTATCTGAACGAAACGATGGCAGTTCCGCGTCGGCTGAAGCTGGTGGAGGAGCAGACCCATGCCACCCTGCCACCGAGCACAGCCAGCCCGCGCGCCCGACGAGCACCATTACAATCATCATCATCATCGTCATCTTCATCATCATCATCGTCATCATCAGTAGCAGCAGCAGCAGGGAGCCTCGCGCTGGCCGCCAGTGCAGCACTGCTGGTCTGCATTGCGCTCGTGCTTTCAGCCGTGCCAACAACAGCAGCAGCGAGCTCGCTGTCGTCTGGGAACAACGCTGCTGCGTGGAACCGCTTTGCAGTCTCGCTCATGGACGACGACTTTAACTGCACAGCATGCACTCCTGGCAGCTACAGCGCATCGAGTAAGCTAGAAGAGAAAGAGCGAAGGCGGGCTCGTTGTGTGTGTGTGTTTGCATTTATTATCAATCCTCAACCATACAACCACTCGTTCACTCGTTCACGCAACTCACCCCCCGCGGCGGTGCTCTCGAATGTCAGAAGATGAGCTCCTTGAACTTAAACACGTACACGAACTGTCCCTCTTGAGTGCAAAGTGAGCGAAAGGAGAGTCAAACAAAGCAAACAGGAATCACTGTTGGAATAAAATCCTGGGGTTCGGCAGAATTTTATATTGGAGGGGGGTTTGGATACTGACCAACAGTTGTAGCCGAGTTGGAAGATTGTGAGGAGGGATGGCTGGCTGGTTGGTAGCAGAGATGAAGCAGCGGAAAGACGGGGGGGGGAGGAACAGGGGGAATGCTTTGAGACGTTTTACTTTACTCAATGCATCACAGTGTGGACGATGAGACGTTTTACTTTACTCAATGCATCACAGTGTGGACGATGTCGACCCTCCAGAATTATTGCTTGACTCACCTTCACTGTACCAGTGCGACGAAGGCCAATGCCCACCCAACAATTGCACGCTGTGCACCCCAGGCTCATTTGCACAGCACGACGGTGCCGTCAACTGCACATTGTGCACACCTGGGTCTGCCGCACCTCTGAAGGCAAGTTGGCAGCCCAAAAATAACAGAGTTTGAGGCTGGTTTTTGAATGAATTTCTTACTTTTCATCTCTCTCGCACTTGCGAACCTGGAACGTTTGCACACGATGACGGATCGGCCGAGTGCACCGAATGCACGATCGGCTTTTACTGTGGCGACTACAGCTGCACTGGCTGCTTCCGTTGCGACCCTGGCGAGTCCAGTGGTCCAGCGGCAATCAAGTGCACCCCCTGCAATCCTGGAACATACAGCGATGCCGACATCCTGACGTGCGAGGACTGCACCACGGGATACTATTGCAACGCGACTGGTTGCACAGAGTGCTCGCGTTGCGCTGACGGCTCGTCGAGTGGCCAGGCCGCCACCGAGTGCACCGAGTGCATCCCCGGCACGTACAACACCGATCCCATGCTTTCTTGCGAGCCCTGCCCTGGTGGCTACTATTGCAACGACACTGGCTGCACGGGCTGCCCGCAGTGCGTGCCTGGCTCGTTCTCGGCGACTCCCGGCTCTGTCCTTTGCCACCTGTGCAACCCAGGCTCGTACCAATCGCACTATGGCCAGACGTCGTGCGTCTCTTGCGGCGTTGGCTTTTACTTGCAAGGCCGCGGCAACGAAAACAACTTGTGCCGCATCTGCCCGCCCGGCTACTATTGCCCCTTCCGAGAGACTGGCGACCCAATCGTGTGTCCTGACGATGCGTACTGTCCCGCGGCATCCGTTTCTCCCGAGTACTGCCCAATGCTGTTTGAGGTTTCGTCTGATGTAAGAACGGGCGCTGGTTTTTAGGCTGGCGTAGGAGGTTTTGATGCTCACACTTTTTTTGAAAATTGTTCGCCCGATACTTGCGCGCTTGCGTGTACCAGGGATGTGTTGCACGCTCGGACATTATCGCAGTGGTCACTTGCGTCTCTATTGTCGCGCTTGTCGTCATTTTGATTGTGGCGTACAAGACCTACCGCCGATACAAGCTGCGACTTTCCGACGAAAGCACTACTTTGCTGACAAAGCGCCCTGTCGACGAGCCCGAGTATCAAGGCTATTGATTTTTTTTTAAGTTTGTGTGTATTCGTCGGTTTTTTTTTTCCTTGTTGTTGTCAGCCGTGGTTTCTTTGCGGGCGAATGTTGGCGTTGTGTTGTGTGTGTGTCGGTTTCTGTCTTTGTGTGTGTCTGTCATCCATCTTATATTGCTTTGGTTTTTCGAATGGCGTATGTTATGCACTATTCTATTTTATTCGTTTGGCCCTGCATGCAGATCTCACTCTTTGTTTCACACAAGCTGAGCTGTTGAGTGTTCAAGCAAAACACAGAGCGACGAATGCGGCGGCAGCGCTCGCTGTCCCCGTCTCGCGATGACCCGCATTCAAGCAGCAACCTCTCGTCTGACGCTATCGCAGACGATCTGATTGACCTGACGACATGGCCGTCGCCCGACCCAAAGCGCGTGTGCATGTCTCTGCGTGAAACAACACGCTCCGCTGCAAGTCCACCCAGCAGTGCCGCCACGCGATTGCTCTCCGGCGCCTCAAGTGTCTCGAGTGTCTCAAGTGTCTCAAGTGTCTCAAGTGGTTGGATGGGCACGTCAGGCCATACGCATCCGTCGGCGCTCACCACACCAACGCGGCGTTCGCTCGCTTTGCCGCGCGTTCCAATCTCAAGCTCCGAAACCACAACCGCGGTTGAGCGCACTTCTCAAGACGACCACTCGTCAGTCGCTCCTCCCAGTGCTGTGGTTACACCAGTCAGGACGAACACGGCTCCAGTGTCAGACTCGAGCGTGCGCACTGCTCCATCACAATCACGCGTGGCCATTCGCAGTAGTCGGACTGATGACGGATTGTCGACCACCTCCACGCCCTCAACCAGACGTGCTGCATCCGCACCTGCAGCCGCAGCGAGGCGGCCGTCATCTCCGCCTTCTGGGATGGTCGCACAGCCGGCTGCGTCTCCCGCTGGCCCTGCCAAGTCGCCGATTTCAAGTATTGCGCATCGCTTGCTCGCTCAGCCTGCCGTCAAGATGACGGAATGTCCCGCGTGCTCGCGCCAAGTGCGCCTTGCTCTGCTCAACAAGCACCTGGATACAGACTGCGAGTCGAGCGAGCAAGCACGACTGCGGCGACAACGAGAAGCAGAGATGGAAGCGGACGCCAAATCTTGGCTTTCCTACATGGGAGAGGGCTTGGATGGAGCTGGCGGGCAGCATCGCCAACAGTGTAGTGTATGTCACTCTTCAGGATGTCTCGAGGAGTGCACAGGTGAGCGTTGGACGCGAGAGCTGCTCGGAAAGATTGCTGCGCACAAACTTGCAAGCGAAATTGCGGTGCCCCAAGAGGTCTTGGAGCAGTCATCAGTCCCCAATGAGAAAGCTGGAGATGTGCAGTCGCTCCAAGATGTACCAGCTCCAACCGATGCGACTGAGGTGCCCCAAAATGACACCACCACTGCGCGACCTCGTTACTACCAGCGCGACTTCCTCCTGGTCGTTCGCGACATTTGCTCCAGCTCCCACTACGAACTGTGGTTTAATGAACTCGAGCGACGGCTAGTTGGCTGCTTTTTCGGACTGTCTGGTGAGGTTCTGTTTTTTTTTTTTTTGTTTTTTTTTTTTCCCTTGAAGCGGGGTTGCTGCCCGTTGCTTACTATGTCTGTGCCATCATTTCATTGGGGTTTTCTACATGCAGATGCGTCTCAGAAGCTCTTTATTCGCATGTTCAATCGCAAAGCCGGCTGGTTTCGTGCCGCCAAAATCGAGTATGACGAAATTCCAGATGTTCCCGCTGCACTAAGCGAGCTGACGCAGAATTCACTTGTCACGGATGGTAAGAGAATCATTGGATTGCTGTTTGTTATTGTCTCGTTGGCTGGTCCTGAACGAAAAGCACTTTGTTGTAGATTCTGCATTGGAGCTGGACGAAACATTGGATTTGCTGGATTTGGGCGATTTGAAAACCCTCTGCTCCCACTTTCGTTTGCCCGCACCTGCTCAGCTGACCAGGAAGGTACGTCTTGCCTTTTCTAGCAATCGTCGAATTTGTTCATGCTCGCTGACTTTTTTTTTTTTGTTTTTGTTCTTGTTGTTGTTGTTGTTGTTGTTGTTGTGATCAAACACCTCAACCGTTGATTAGGGTCGGATTGACGCCCTTTTTTCATTCTGCCAGACGCAACGAAGCGTGCTAGGTGAGAGTCCGCACGGCCGCTTGCTCCGACAGGCCAAGCTACTATGCGGACACGCGTTTCGGCTCAGCCCATCGGCCAAGTCGCTGTTCCGGCGAATGCACATTGTCTTTTTCAAGGTCACTACCATGGAAGAATTGTCCTTCCCCACACTGCTCTTTACAACCAAAGGTCTAGTGTCGTTTCCCAAAGTCACGCTCGATATGTCCGTCCCGCTGTATGACTCGCGCGAGCATCTGGCCCTGTTTGAAGAATTTCTGGACGCCGAAAGCCAGATGGAAACGATTGTGATGAGTGGCGGATCCCTGGAGGATATTCGACCCTTCTACGAGCGTGCTTGGCAGTATGTTCAACGCGTTCTCGACTCTCCCAAAGTTCCAACGACAGCCACCGCCGCTCTGGAAGCCAGCGCGATCCGACCTCCTTTCGTCGAATTGTTTCACCCTGGCACCGTGTGTCTCCGTATTCTGGCCATGTGGACGGATGCATTGGAACGACAGCGACGATTTCCGGAGGCGGTTCAGCTTTTGCAATGGATGCTCGCCCAACGGCGATTCTGCACCGATCAGCGTGGAAAGTGGTACGATCGGCTTGCGCTGGACTTGGAGCGGCATTTGGCTCGACCGTCAGATGCGCTTGACACGTGCCAGCGCGCGATTCGCGATCCCTTTGTGCGTTCTGGGCATCTCCTGGCCATTCGGCAGCGGGCCGTCCGTCTCTGCAAGAGCAAAAACTATCCGCAGCTGCACCATCGCTTGTCGGAATTTGCCCGCGTCCAGTTGTTCGGGGCCGCAGTGGTTCAGATTGCAGCGACCCAGATTGAAACCGAAGATTCGGAAGCCGCAGCGCGGGGTGCGCAGGGTTTGTCGTTTGTCCAGCAGCGCGCAAATCGCTTGCTCGAGCGGCTGCACTCGCCGTTTCGAGTCTACCGACAAGACGTCTCGAGTAGTGGCACTGCGGAATCAAAAAGCGGTGACGTGACGGAAGATGTGATTGACTCGTCCGCCTCGAGCAGCGACGACGACGACGACGAGGAGCATGATCAGCATGCGCCCATTCGCACCAAAAGCAAGGCGGGACCTGGTCGTGTCATCTACCTCAGCGCTGACGGCGACGGCTTGTGCGATGTGGAGCAAACTGCACTCAACCATTACGCGAGCACGGAGGGCTGGAAGGGAGTCCATGGCGAGAATGGCATTGTGACAACCTTGTTTGGCCTGCTGGTGTGGGACATTCTCTTTTGGGATGGCGTGCCGGGGGTGTTTCAATCGCGGTACCAAGCTGCCCCGTTGGATTTGCGGACGGACGGATTTTTCCGTGCTCGACGGTCCTTGCTGATGCATCGCATCCACGCGCTCGCCACGGGTGTCATCCAACCAAGCGACCTTGTCGCGCTCCACTGGGACGAGCATTGTGGCGAAACCTGCGTTGCCGTTCAATGGTCTGCGTACTCGCGACAAGATTTGATGGACATGGCCAGCTGCCTTGGTGGTCAAGTGCTGGCTGGAATTTGCGATGTACTGGCGCGTGACTTTCGACATCGCGCTGGAGGGCTGCCCGATCTTCTCCTGTGGGATCCGAGTCGCCGAGCTGCTCGTTTTGTGGAAGTGAAGAGCGAGAACGACAAGTTGGCGCACAAGCAGCATGTTTGGATTCATGTTCTCCGAATGTTAGGTGCCCAAGTGGATGTTTGCAAGGTCAAGAGCCACAATGGTCGCTCACTTGGCAAGTGAACGGCACAAGGGGGGGCGATAAGTTATGAAGTTGAGGTTGCGGTAGAAAATGGGGGGAGGGGAGAGTTGGGTTGTATTAGTTTTTGCACATGTGCGCATGTAACCTTGAAAAATCTAGCGTGTATTATTTTTGAAGAGCAACAACCTCAACAATGAGCAGCATAGCTCAGTACAGAATCGTGTCCTTGGTAGGGCACTGGAATCCGATGGTGGCAGGGTTCAGATCCGATTCCTTTTCGGCATCAGGGGTCTGAATGTTGTTCCACAGGCCAATGGCAAACGCGGCGTCGGCGTAGGCGTGCGGGTGGAAGCACTACAGGAAAAATCATGACCCGACAAAAAAAAAAAAAAAAAACGCAAAGGTGAGTTCTTCAGACAACCCCAGAAAGCACAAATCAATGGACGACATACGTCAAGCTCGCTAAGATACGAAAGACTGGGAATGCGCATGTTCTGTTGAAGTAACAGCGAAAAAAACAAAAGATCAACAGGTAAGTTTGCAAACTTTCACATTTCACGGCAACCGCGCAGCTTGGATGCTGATCAAACCTGAGCAAAGGGCTGGACTTTGACGTTAAACTCGAGAAGTTGCTTGGCCTGCCAGCGGGAGGCCACGAGGTTGATGCGACGGTTGAACTCGACGGTGCGCACGTCCATGGCCAGGCGGTCGGCGTCAGTGGCATCGCCCTGCAGACACATGCACTCGGTCTTGACAATGTCCTTCCACATGACACGGCAGTACTCGCTGGTCATGGCGAAGGTGTGGACTGCAGCAACACGAAATCACCAAATGAGTTGGACGGCAAAAAAACGCAAAAGCCAGTCGAACTGACTGACTCACCTTGGCTAATGTTGAACAGGGCAATCAGATTGACCACGGTGCGGGGAATGTTCTGGTAGATCTGGCCGACAATCGCGTCCAAGGTCTGCTCGTAGTAATCGGGATCGGCGTACGACCGGTTGAAGCAGGCACCACAGAGGTTGTTGGCACCGATCAGCAAGTTGAGCATCTTCCAGTCGTGAGTCATGTTCACGGTCTTGGCGTAGGTGGTGTTCAACTGCTCGATCAGGTAGTCGACCTGCTTGGCGACATTTTCAATCTGGGACATGCAAGGGTGGCAGAGTCAAAGTTGGCAACCTAGAAAAAAACAGCGCGCTCAAGAAGGTTGTACATGTAGCGACTGAGCATGCACACACACACACACACACACATACATACCTTGGCTTGGGACTGAGCGGCGTTCAGGTGGGTGATGTGCGGCACGAACGGCTCAATCACACCCTCCTTCCACTTGATTGCGTCGAGCGGGAGAGTTTCGCCGACCGAAGCGCCAATCAGGTCTGGGTTGTACACCTTGAGGAAGTTGGCAAGCGAATACTGGCCTTCGTTGCCGCCCATATGGAAGGTATCACCGCGGTACTCGATGAGACGCAGCGCCCACGGTTCGTCGGCTGGACCTGATTCCCCCCCCCCCAAAAAAAAAAAAAATACAAGAATACAATTACAAGGAATCGAAAGGCAGAGAGAATCGTGAGTTCAAACAAGCAACAAGACAAACCCTCGTTCAAAAAAACAAAAAAAAAAAAAAAAAAAAGAGCGGCAAAACAAAAACTCCCAACAGAATAACACAATCGAAATCCTTCTTGTTTTTTTATTTTTTTTTTGTTTTTTTACCAGAGTGCATGGCAAAGCCAGCGCCAATCGAGTCGCCGACGGCCATGATGACCTTGATGTCCTGGATGTGGAGCTGGGTGACGTTGGTCGCGGGCGGCGGCGGCGGACCAGCCCAGGCGGTGCAGTTCCAGAGCGGGATTTGGTACACTGGTCCGCGAGACTCGATCATTTTCTGTGTTGCACGGACGCGAGTGAGTACGAACAAGGACCAGGTGAGATTTCTGGAGGTGAGTTGCGAGAACTTGAAGAGGGCACAGCAGGCGATGGGGCGATGGACAGAAGAAGACGTAGAGACCACCGGTCGGAAGTGGAAGAGTGCTTGTCGCGACAGAAAATCACAAGGCTGAAGGAGCGGCAAAAAGCGAGCGCGTCCAACCACACGACCAGTCAGCCAGCCATCTCGCTCTGAGGAACGTGGTCTGTGACTTGTGACTGGGCATTCGACCAGCAGTGCGAGGCGACGCGGGTGAAGGGATGGGACGCTGCGGGAGCAGAGAGCGAAGCGATCAACAACTCACCTTGTTGGGCGATGCGCAAGCCACAATGGCGCCGAATGCCACCACAGCAGCAACAACGCACAACGACCAAGACGACAAACGAGGCATTATTTAGAGGAAGGAAGAAGAGAAAAAAAAAAAGAGCAAAGACAAAAAAAAGTGAATGAGAAACTCAGTTCCAACTCTGATTCTTCTGCAAGCTGCTTTCGTGGGTTTCTCAGCTTGGTAAACCTCTAAACCTCCTTTGGCACTGCTGTCTTCCGATTGTACAGTCAGAGAAGCAGCGCAGCCATCCAAGTTGCTGCATTCTCCTTTGAGATGAACTGCACCGCGGGTTTTGGCTGGCGCACTGCAAAAAGCACAGCCTTGCCAAGTCTCTAGAATTCGTCCATGACAAGCTCGGCAATCAAGGCTGGTAATCATGGGTAGCTGGGGGTCGACTGGATCTGAGTTCTCACAGTCGATGAGTGTGCACCGGTTTCTGAGTCCTTTTTTCTACTGTCTTTTTCTCCTGTCTTGTTTTTTTCATGATTTCAGTCTGTTAATGCTAGCACCCGTTCGTCTCCACCACAGCACTCGTCTTTGACACCCGGGTGGCGACCGATGAGCAATCGATCGATTTTCAAACTGTGGATTTTGTGTTTTTTTGCGTTTTAAGGTATTTCTTGACATGTTTCTCACTCTTTTTTTTTTTTTTTTTTTTTTTCAAACACTCACCGCAAGAAACAACAAACAAAGAAAACCCCACACGCTGCACTCTCACACCCAAAAGCCCCCTCTGAGACTCCAACCAGCATACGCGACTCGTATTGTCACACATACACACATACACACAAGCAACCAAAGCATCGCCATGGTTCGGAGCACGAGAAGCAGCCGCACGTCGCTGAGCGGGACAGAGGAGGCCATTGTGACCGCAAGCGCCCACAGTGACAATGCGGACGACGACGACGAGCACCACGGCCGCCGGGCAAGCACCAGCACTGCACCAATATTACCAGCACAGGCACTTGTCCCAGCGGGCGAAGAGGGGTCGGGCGCCGCGCGAGCAGGATCCGTGGACGGCAGCGCTGGGCAACGGACTGTGGAGGACGAGGAAGGAGAACAAGCGGCGTCCTCCGACCTCAGCAACCCTCCCTCCAACGGCGCTGCAGCCAGCCCCGCGGCTTCTGCAGACGACGGCAAGGCCAATATTAATAATGAAGAGGAGGAGGAGGAGGAGGAGGAAGAGGAGGAGCAGGACGCGCCCGAGCGGCGCAATGTGACTCGTCACAGTGAGGCTCAACAACGAGCGACAGCTGTTTCTCCGACAGTGACGACTTCTCCCCGACGAGGCACCCGCTCCAGTGGACTGCGTGCTCAGCAGCAGCAACAGCAACAGCAACAGCAGCAGAAGCAACAGCAACGGCAGCAGTCGCAGCAGCAGCGGCGCCGGCAGCGTCAGCGAGAAGAAGCGGGCGCGGACGATGTGGAAGACGCAGACAAAGATCATGACGAAGAAGAGACGGCATCGCGCGACACCCGCCAAGCCCACAACGACGACGGCGACGACGACGACGACGACGACCCCGACAGCAACGGCGAGGATGGCAGCAACGCCCTGGAGCAGCACGAAGAGCCAAAGACATTCTTCCTGATTGACGATTTGGTGTGGGTCGAGTTCAAGAAGGGCCACTCGTACGAAGCGACTGTGCTTGACGTCCAAGACCAGCCACACGAAGGCAAGCACTACCTCGTCCACTACCAGGGCTGGAAGAGCAAGTAAGTTTGAGGGAGGGTTGTTTGCTGTTTTTATTGCATGGAAGCGGTTTCCGTGGGTTGATGAGGGAGGGATGGGGAGGATGGGAATGGGGAGGAAAGTGAGTGAGAGCGCAATGGGACAAGCGTTTCCCCCATCTCGCTGTGTCGTGTCTCTGCGACGATCCCCCTCTATGCATGGGTGGGTGTGTCCTTTATGCCTTGTTGTTCGCTTTCTCTTTGTTCGTTTTGGCTGGCTGGCTCGTGCTCTCTCGCTCATCACGCTTCAGTTGGCATTTTTGAGTGTGATGACGGACATTGCTGTATTTTTCATTTTTTTATTTTTTATTTTTTATTTTTTATTTATTTTTTTAATTTTTGGTTGTTATTCGAGTTTTTGCTTTTTTTGGGACGCTTTTGTGAGGCGGGTTTGTTTGTTTTGTTTGGTTGTTTTGATTTGGACTTGTTCGAAACAATGCAAAACAACCAACAAAAGCAATCAAAAAGCAAAGAGCGATCCGGAAAGAACAAAAAACAAGAACAACAAAGCGTGCGAGAAACAAACAGAAATGGTTTCAGTGCGAAACACAATGAACACCTCTCAAAGCAAATCACACCACCACCACTACTCACCTCGGGGAATCATTCACATTTAGATACGACGAATGGGTGCCCGAGCAACGCGTCAGTGCTTTCGAGGCGTCGTTGCGATCGCGCGCAGCGGCAAACCACTCGAAAACGGCCGTCCAAGCGGCGCTCGCTGTGGTCGCCCCGCGCTCCTCGGCAGCCCAGGCGCACCGCAAGCTCGAGCAAGAGAAGGAAAAGGAGAAGGAAAAGGCCAGAGATAAGGACAAGAAGGACAAGGAGAAGGACAAGGAGAAGGACAAGGAGAAGGACAAGAACGGCAAGGGCAAGCAGCACGACAAGCCGACACCAAAGGAGAAGGAAGCCGCTCATCCGCCTCAGTCGACGACAACCCCGCCATCATCCCGACAGTCACGGCTGCGCGCAGCACAAACGCCAGCCAAAGCCACCGCTGCCTCCACCCCAACCACGAATTCCAACACGGCTGAGAAAGAAGTGACACATCCCACTCCCCAGCCAGCACCCGCACCTGCACCTGCACCTGCACCTGCACCAGCAAGCGCTCCGCAACGAGCTTCTCGACGACTCTCCGCGTTCGCGGTCGTTGGCGACGACTCGACCTTGACCGGTGGTGACTCAGACGTCCTAGCAACCGCCAGCAAACTCGCAGCCAACACCTCCACTGCGACACCCGGCGTCGCTGTGTCATCTTCCTCAGAGAACGCATCCCACAGTAACACCGGCAACCGGCAACGACGACACTCGCATTCCAGCCAACACGCGGCCGTAGCAACGGTTCCAATGGACGTATCGCCCGGCGCGCCATCCGTCGACACCCCTGTCTCAGGTATGCCCCCTCTTTGTCAAAGCATCCATTCGCGTTTTACTTGCTTGACGCTGTACAGTACCATCAACATTGCATACTCACAATCGCTCGCGACTGCTCACGAATCGCTCACGTAGACACTTGCCGGGAATTGCGCGCGCTGTGGGACACGGCCGCACTCTGCCACTTTCTACAATGCTTCCACGAGCCGCTGGGTTTGACTTTGATGACGTCTGATGAGATTGAGCGCGCGCTGTTGACAGACACGGCCTCGTCCCCAATGCTGGCGAATATTGGCACGCGACTCGTGCTGCGACTCACTTCGCGGGTCGATGTGGGTCCGCTCAACTGGGACTATGTGCTGCAGCAAATCTGCCAGCACCAGCTCCCGCCAGCAATGAATCTGCTGAGCGCGACGCGCTCGTTCGACTCCCTCCCACCGCTGCAGCGAGCGGCGTTGCTCCTTTTGTTGTGTGTCTGGATTATTCAGCAAAACACGGTCGTCACGCCCTCGCTTGACCTCAACATGCTCTATCGTGACCTGCAGCCTGTCGGCGTCGACCGTTCTGGCGTAGAGTACTGGTGCTTTGGCGATCTTCGCCTGTATCGTGCTGCAGAACCGTCCGTGCCACCGCCGCCCCTGGTGCAGCTGAAGGCCGAGTTTTTTGCGACAACACCCTGGCATGTGCTCGCACGCAATAATGTAGTGCTTCAACCAGTCTGCCTCACGGCGCGCGACTGGGAGGAATGGCGTGCCACCGCTATGAACTCACAGCGAGACCTGTATAATGCTCTGGATGCACGGTTCCCGGTGCAAACCACGATCGTCAACCTGCTCGTGCGCGAGCGCAGTGTTGATCGCCAGTTCCTTCTAGGTGCCCCTTTCGCGCTCGCTGTGGCCGCTGCAAAGCGCCCTCTTCAAGCGGTGGCGGCGGCTGACGACCGCCTGTCACAGGGCTCTAGCGCTGGGTCTCAGCGAGAGCAGGATGCCGACTCGAATGGCACAGTCGCACACGTAGCGCAGCACGACCGAGCGAATAGCAAGCGTGCCAGGCGTGAAAATGTGCTCCGGCCGCTCACGGATTCTGATAGCAACGTGGCCCGCGGTGACTCGCAACTGCCCATTCTGCACCAACCGCAGCAACAACACCAACAGCAACAGCAACAGCAACAACAGCAACAACAACAACAATCGACTGTCCCTGTTCATGCGCCTCCAATGGCTGCAACAGCCTCTGGAAAGTTTGTCTTTACAAGTAAGCTGGCCAACGAGGCATCGCATGCTGTCACCTGCGGAACGGCGGCGAACATTGTCGAGTACCACGTTTCCAACTTTGACAAGCACCGCGAGGACATGATTTCCGTGTCTGCCTGGCTCGCATCCTCCCGCCCCACCCCTGCCCCTGCTCCTGCTCCTGCCCCTGCCCCAGCCCCCGTTGCCTCCGAGGCCACACCTGCTACCAAAGCCAACGACAGGCGGGAGTCGCACTCGCACGCACACTCCCAATCGCAAAATCACCATTCCAGCCCGCGTTCGCAGTCAAAGCATTCGCAGCCATCGTCACGGACCCCGCAGGAATCCAAGCATGCTCGCGTCCATCATCTTGAACCAAGCAACCCAGTCTACGTTCCTCCCGCTGCGGCCCCACTTTCTTCCTTCTCTGCACCTCCTCCCGGCAACTACTTTTCGCCCTATCCGTCGCACTCTGTGCGTGAAGCTCCTGGCGCCGCTGTGCTGCCTCCCCCGCATCTGCTCCACAGTAACGTGCGTGAAATGAGCTCGCCAGTGCCCTATCCGCCCGTGCTTGCTCCGCCAGCAACGTTTGTGGCTCCCTACATGTCTTCGAACGGCATGAATAATGGCAGCATGTACTACAGCCAGCAGCAGGCTCCGGGATGGATGATGGGTCCTGGAGCGGTCAATCCGACGCCAATTGCTGCTGCTGCTTCTGCTGCTGCTTCTGCTGCTGCCACGCGTCCGCGAAAGCAACGCAAGCAGCAACTCACGCAGCAGCACCTCGCCTTGCCACAGCATATGCAGCAGCTTGCAATGCCCATGGACTATTCGATGCCATCACAGGCTCCGTTTATTCAGCAGCCAGGGTTTGCGCCTGCCTATCCAGTGGCGACAGACGCGCATCTGGCGACAGTCCCCCCTCCTCCGCCATATGGTGCCGGCAAGCAGCGAAAGACTCCGAAACACCACAACGCCTCGCCGCGCGAAATGGAAGGCCACCCAATCGTTGGCCACTATGAGATTCTCAACGCACCAGCCGGCAACCAACGCGGCATGCCCATGCAACCCAGCGTCATGCCGCAGCACCTGCCGTATCCTCAAAATGCGTTCATGGACTCGAGCGTTTCCCACATGTACCAAGGTCCACCCGCCAGCAGCGGTGACCAGAGCCATCCTCAGATGCATGCCCAGATGGGCCCCCGCACTTCAGTTGGCTTCCCGACGCCGCAGTTCAAGAGCCATTCGGCCGCAGCCCAGCCGGCGTACGAGTCCGAGTTTGGCCGGCACGTGTCGCACAGCTCGCCCACCCAGCAGCCGCATCCTCCTTCTTCGTCGCGCGGAGTGCTCCCAGTGGCTCAAGCCGCCCCAGAGTCTCCCGCGAAAAATACCGCGTCGCCTGGGCGGGGTCGCCGCCAGTCTGCATCAACGGCAGCCAACTCTGACGGTGCCTCAAATCTGCTGCTCTTCTCGCTCCTGTCGTCCATGCAGCCACCTGTCGCTGTTCCCGAGTCGACGGACGGTGGCAGCACTAGCGGCAGCGAAGCCAATGTCCCTCACGACGGCAACGGCACCTCGATGACCCCGTCACCCGTGTTGCGCCCTTCCACGAGCACCGGACCCGCCCATTCGACTGAAGAGGTTGAAGCGCAGTAGAACTGGGTTGTGGCACAAATCCAATCCGCGGTTGTTCATGTTTCCCTCCCCTTGATTTTGATTTTTTTTCCGTTTTTTTTTTTTTTTTTGCCGTTGACTTTTTCTTGTCTGTTTCCACTTGAAGATGTTGATGTGTTTGTGGGTTTGCATCGTTTTCTTGTTTCCAATTGTTGATTTCATTACACACATTGTCCATTTGTTGTCACGACGCTGAGCTCCAATCACCGTTTTTTTTTTTTCGATCAACTTTTCCGCGCTCCCTTCCACATCCGAAACCGCCTCTCACTTACCAAGCAATTCTCATGGTGTCGTTGCAGCAATTGTCAACCCCAGCACATGCCCACTTGATTTTGTTTTCTTATTTTCCACCTCTCCAAATGCAGCAACTTTCACTTTTTTTTTTTTTTTTATTATTACTATTTTTTAATTTTCAATCATGTCACAGTTGTATGCTTCTGGCGCTCCTCCGTCTGCGCCCAGCTCTGCCCAGACCTCCCCGCTGCCCGTTGCCACCCCGATGCTGGTAACGCTATTACGATGATACACACTCTCACTCGCTCACTCTCATCGCCGTCTCGTGCAAATTGGTCTTTTTGTCTCCGCGTCGACCTGTTGGTTTTGTTAATGAAACGACCCACACACACCATTGCAAAATGATGCCTTTGGAAGTCTCGAGCATTGTGCTCGTCTGCTGTGGTGTGGGCCTGACGAATGACGCGTGTATTTGTGATGGAAGTGGACAAAAGCGAGAGACAGAGAGCAGAGAGCAGAGAAAGAGCAGAGCGAGATTGAGCAAGACGAAAGGATTGTTGAGGGGTTGTCACGGAAATCCAAATTCAATCTCCAATCTCGCCTCACTGATCGAAAAGCACTTTGCTCACCGCGGTCTTTTTTTTTTCCTTGTCTGTGTTTGTCTGTGCTTGTGCTTGATGTTGCTGTGCTTTGATTTAGTCGGTCGTCAAGGAAGGCATGCTGAGAAAGCAAGGTACAAACGAAACACGAAAAGGTCTACGTCGTTGAGCAACCTGAGAGCGTTTGCTAAACTTTTTTGACATGTACTTTTGCTTGTCGGGAACACTAAAACAGGTGGACGTGTGCAATCGTGGAAGGACCGCTGGTTTGTGCTTACAACAAACGATATTGCGTATTTCAAGACCCGCAACGTGAGTTCTCTGGAGATAGATGGCTGGTGGTGCCGGGAAGGTGTTGAATTTCACGCCAACTTTTTGCACCCATTTTCAATTTGCAACTTTCATGGATCTCCGCCACAGAGCGAAGAGCCCATCAAGCGCATCCAAGTCTCGGCCATCAAGAGCTGTGATGAGGTTCAGGCGCAACCCGACAGCCGTGGTGCTCGCCCGGATCACTTTTACTTTACGCTCAACACGGAAGGGCGACTTTTCACGATTTGCAGCCGCACCGCTCAAGAGCGCAGCGACTGGGTGGCGGCCATCCGTCAGTACCTTCCCGCCCCTGCCGTCGTGGCATCACCGATCGAGATTTCGGCTGAGCAAGCCGAGGCCGAGCGGGCGGAAGCCGAAACCCGCGAAAAGGCAGCGGCCGAACTTGAAGCAGCCAATGCTGCCGCTGCAGCAGCTGCGGTCATTGTACCAAAGCCATTTGTACGTACATCAGGCGAACTGATGAAGTTTCAATCAACAAGAAAACGAGCAGCGGCTTGAATCTGTCGCTGATTGGATTTTTTTTTGCTCTTGTTTTCCACAGACTCCCGCCACTCGCGCTCCGACATCCGACGTGCCGCTCGAACGCACGTTCGAGATTGAGCAGTTTGTTGGCCAGATGAAGAGCATTGTCCGCTCTGAAAAGTTCTCAGATATTACTTTTGAAGTGGGCGAAAGCAACTTTTATGCGCACAAGGCCATCATTGCCGCGCGCTGCCCAAAGCTTGCGGGGCTCTTCCAGGCGCATACCGCGCGCGTTCCGCTGGTTGGCATCGAGCCCGCCCACTTTTCCATCGTCCTGGACTTTATTTATGCGGACGAGGCCGCGCTGACCCCGGCGAACGCCGTCGATCTGTACCACGCCGCCGCCACCTACGGCTTGAGCCGCCTGCAGCAGCTCACGGAGACGTATGTGCGCGACAACATTTCGGTCGATAACGTGCTCACCCTGCTGAAGGCTGCCAACCGCCGCGAGGCGCGCGAGCTCGAGCGGCTGTGCTTGGGCTTTGTCTCGGACGTTCAGCGCTACCAGTCGGTTATTCGCCAGAAGGAGGCCACCGAAATCGCCCAAGTCAACAAGGACTTGTATGTTCGGCTGTCGCAGGTCCTTGCCGAGGCCCCGGAAGCGTTTGCCCACTCGCTCGGCGACGTTATCGTCGGCCCGACCACCTTGACCAGCGACCTGCTGGGTCTGTTGTCCAGCGTGGCCCACGCAGACGTGCACATCAAGGCGAAGGATTCCGAGATTTTTGCGCACCGCATCCTCCTGGTCACTCGCTGCGAGTCTCTCCTGCACGAGGGCGGCGCCGGCAACGCCAACTTGGCTCAGAGCGGCTTTGTCACGCTGCGCCTCCCCACTCTCGAAGGCCAGGTCATCTACACGCTGCTGCAGTATCTCTACTCCAACAGCGTGTCGGTCGATCGATTGCACGACACGTACGGCCTGATTGCGCTTGCCGACAGCGTCCAGCAGGATCCGATTGTCAGCGTGTGCAACGAGATGATGCGCCAAAACCTCAACGCGAGCACCGCCCTCAAGATCCTCATGGTGAGCTCCAAGTACCAGCTGCTCACGCTCAAGAAGGCCACGCTGGCTCTGATCGTCCGCGAGTCTGGCGCCATCTGCACGCGCAAGGATCTCAAGCCGGTTCTGAACGAGTTCCCGAACAACCTGATTGACATTTGCCGTGCTCTTGTCAAAGGCGAAGGTGGTGCCTTCTCTGACGACGAGGACGACGATGACGACGAAGATGAGGACACGAGCGACTTTGAGCGAATTTAGGCGTGGTTTTTTGTTTTGTGTGAGTGTGTGTGTGTGTGCTTTTCGTGTGTGGTTTGTTTCGTTGGCGGATTTTGCTTTTATCAATAGCAGCAGCTTCTCCCCTTGGGGTTTATCTCAAAAGCGAGTGCGTCGTGAAGTTCGTTGCGACATGTCGTTGACTGGAACACAAAGTCGTCGTGATTTCCGAAACAGCAGCTTAAACAAAGTACCATCAATAGCGACGGCATCCTTAGGTTACTCTTTTCAGTTTTTGACAACTCCTTTTCAGTATTCAAAATCTGAGAGTTGACGAGCCAGTCTTTTTTACGTCCAAACTCTAAGAATTTGTCAAACATGCCATCCGTTGCCTTTCAAGTGCGTTTTGATTGTGGTGATATTGGCAGTGTGACTTCGTGAATGAATGCAATGTGTGCTTTGGTCGATGATCTTGGCTGTGACTGTGCTTTGATGGAGATGAGGGTCGTGATGGAACAGTTTGGCAGCGTACGTTTCGAATTTGCTCACACCAATCACGACCATGAACCACTTTGCAGGGAAACCCCGGTGCCTACTCGGAAATCGCCGCCAAGACCCACTTTGACACTGCGCCAGACGTGACGACGCGTCCGTGCGAGACGTTCGAGCAGGTAGATTGTTGTTTTGTTGCATTGTGTTCGTCGTCGGGCTCTCTTTTCGAGGTATCTCACCCTGCACGACATCTCCGATCTATCATTGCGTCGGCGCTACGTCCTTGTTGTGTCAATCGCTTTCGCACAGGTGTTTGACTTGGTCGCGGCGGGGCAAGTGGACTTTGGCTTCTGCCCGATCGAAAACACGCTCAGCGGCAACTTTCTGCCCGTGTACGACCTGCTGCTGCGTCGCGACGTGAGCATCGTGGGCGAGTTTATTGCTCACGACGAGCACTGCTTGATTGCGGCCGCCGGCACCGCTCTGAGCGATGTCAAGCTAGTGTACAGGTGCGTCATCGGAAATTCAGAAAACGTTGTTCGCTTGCACATTATGCTGATCATCGTCGTTCTATTCTGGTTGGTAGCCATCCGCACGTTCTGGATCAATGTGAGGCATTCCTCAAGACACTTCCTGCGACGCATGTCGCCACGACGGATACCGCTGGAGCGTGTCAATTGATCAAGGCTCAAAATCAGCCTGGCAGGTACGTCGGCCGCTTTCTCTCTCACCTCGCATCATGATTGGCAAGTTGGTTTTATTGCTGATGATTACAACGGCCGTGTGGCTTACTTTGGGCGCATACTCCAGCGCTGCGATCGCAAGCACCCTGGCCGCCTCCATTTCGGGCCTCACCATCATCAAGCGCGGCATCGAGGATGATGCCAACTCTTCCACTCGCTACATTGCCATTGCCAAGCAAGCTGTACGTGCTTTGTGAGATGTCGTTGAGAGCTGAAGAGGAGGGGACGGGCACAATGATCCGATCTGATTTCTTCATCATATGAAACCACATTCAGGCCAACCCTCCTTCCCACGTCAACGCAAAGACCAGCATGTCCGTTGCCTTGCGTAACCAGCCCGGTGCTCTGTTCCGCGCGCTGGCGGCGTTTGCTCTCCGTGATTTAAAGTACGCCAGACCTCAAAGAAAAAAAAAAGTTGGAGCATGTTGTGATCTCGGCTTCTCACTCGCTGGGATTGCCATTGTCCATGTGCAGCATTTCCAAGATCGAAAGCCGTCCTTCCTCGCGAGCTGGAGCCCTGCATACTGTTCGTTCTCGCTTTGCACTTCTTCTACACAGATGCCAATGCAATTTCTAACTTTTTTTTTTTTCTGTCTTGCTCCGCCTTGTCTGACACAGAGCACCCGCCAGTGGGAGTACATGTATGCCATCGATGTCGAGGCGAATGCGAGCCAGCAGGTCATGATCAATGCCCTGAGCAACCTCGAAGAGTTTGCCACCAAGGTCAAGGTGCTTGGCTGCTACCCAATCTTTGTGCCTCGAGGAACGCCTTCCTCGCTGTCGCCTTTCGGCCTTTGAAAGCGGGGGATTTTATTGTTTTTGTGTGCTGCTCTCTGGCTGCACTTGCGGGGCGACGCTCTGCTAAATACAATAATTATTCAGAAAATAAAAAATAAAAAGAAACTCAAACCCAAATCCGATGCTCGCTCTCTCCTCCATTGACAATGTCCCACGAGTCTGTCTTTTACAGCCACCCCAGGAAGTTCGGCCCCGGCTCCCGCCAGTGGTATGTCGCACTGTTGTAGCCTGTCGTCGCTGTGTTGCTGTGCAATGTGAAGCGGGGTGGAGGCGTCAAGGCGTGCGGCAGCAGGAAAGAAGAAGAAGAAGAAGGCAATGGAAAGCCAGCCAAAAAAAAAAAAACAAAAAAAAAAACGAAAAAAATGAAAAATAAAAGCACACGGGCGCGTTGGATCTTCTCGCGCCTGTCCTGACGCGTGCACGCCCCGTCTGTGCCGCGCTCTGTTGCCGTGGTGCTACACGGCTGCTGTTCTGGCGGTATCCGTGCGCGAGGGGCTCGGCAGCGCGCGCGTCGGTCGACTTTCAACGAGTCGAGATCGCTGCTTTTTTTGACGAAAAAAAAAAATCCATCCAATGCAATCCCATACAAGAAAATGCTTTTTGTAGGCCGCGTGGTTTTTATCGTCCTTTTTTTTTTTTTTCCTTTTCTTTTTTTTTTCGGTGTCTGTGATGCATTGTCGCCACTGCCGGGCTCGTCCACCCCAACGTGCGAGTGTTGCGCTGGTCATTTATCGCCCTGACACTTTGTCGGGGGATGCTGAAGATGCGCACCCGCTGTGGATGGAACGAGCTTTTTCTCTTTTTTCTTTTTTTTCTTTTTTTTTATTTTTTTTATTTTTTTCTTTTTTTTTTCTTTCTTTTGAACAAGTTTGCTGCTCTTCCCTGCCCTTGCCTCGAAAGTCGATCTTACTTTTTCAAGCGATGGTATCAGCTATATTTTGCTTTTGGGCTTTGATGGCAATAATGTCCAAAAGCACTAGGCGTGTGCACCAGCGTCTTTTTTTGTCTTTTTTTTTTTCATTCTGATGGATTAGCCATCCATCTCTCATCCTTCCTCGTATCGCGCGCTCCCACCACCACTACTTACGCACTCTTATAATCACCCTTTCGCCAACCGGTCACCCTCTTGCTCTTGGAACGACTCGCGCATCCGTTCGCTGACTTTGTTTTCTTCTCCACTTTCCTCTCCCCACAACAGCACCGTCTGCTCCAACCGTCACGGTATGATCCGCAAGTACCACCTTGACATGTGCCGTCAGTGCTTCCGCCAGTACGCCGCCGACATCGGCTTCATCAAGGTGTGTACGAGCCTCTTGGCTTTCTGTTGAACATGTGTTTTTTGTTGCGTGTGGCTTTTCCTTCATGCTCACCTGCTCGTTCATCTCTCTCGCTCTCCACCTTCTTGCATTACCATCTCCATAACAGTACCGCTAAGCCTTTTCAAAGCGCTGAAGCAAGGATTGTTTTCTCTGCTCGACCTTAGCGTTTTTGATTTTTTTGCTGATTCAGTGCCCCCTCTATCGACCCGGGTTTCTCCTGGTTGTGATCTGAAGTCTGTCTAGTGTCGTTGCTTTGCTTGCTGTTATCATAATGGATGCGCAATGAAGATTTTCGACTCGCCACCCCTCTGTTTCAACTACAATAGCTTCGTCCTTTGAGTTTCCGCCCCTTTTGTCGCCTGATGCCGGTGCTCGTAGCCGTGCACGCGATTGCATTAAAGATTCCACATCAACTTCAATAACTAGACTAGTGTACAAGTACAGGCATGGATCTCGCCCAGCAAAAACAGCACAAGACGAAAACATGCTACCATAGCTTTTGCTGCTCGATCTGCTGCACGACCGCCCGCAATGTAGCTGGGCTGTTGGACTGCAGTGCAATGCCCAGCAGCAGCGAGCGAGAGCTGCCCGTGTTCACCGGGGCCAGCGCAATGCTCTCGATCAAGCGCCGAGCGTAGACTTGCAGCACTGGGTCGTCCCTTCGCCCGAGCAGCGTGCGAATGGAAAAGGTGGGTGCTGCATTAACGTCTTCCTTCATGTCTCTTGCAGCCTCGATCTGCACAACGCAAGCAAGCGCATCCACCGAGTGAGCCGAGCACGATCGCTGTCGTCTTGTGCGGTTTTGTTGTGTACGTTACCAGTGTGCCGATCTTGCCAATATCTGAAATCATAACAACTCATAACAACGACGCGGTTGTCAAAGAGCTGCATGAGGACTTGGACGGTTGTCTGCGGCGCGTCTGTCTTGTTTTTGGGAAGAGGTGCTCCATTATTGTTCAAACAAGCAAAACACGAGTGCGTTTGATTTTTCTCTTTGCTTCAATCGTTTGATTTTTCTCTTTGCTTCTTCTTATTTGCTTTGAAGACCAGACAAACATGCCGATTTTTGGCAAGGTGAAGTTGAGACAAAAAAAAAACACACAACAACAACAACAAACTCAAAAAAAAAAAAAAAAAAATCCAATGGTCAAAAAAAAAACCAATGGAAAAACATCAACGAACTCGTCGCGCTGCGTCGTGGTGATCACGGCGTGGATGGCTTGTTGTCTTGCCATCACTGTGTTGGATGTCAGCCTGTGGATTGGGGGCGACGAGCCAGAGAGTTTCCTGATGAAAAACCAAAAAAAAAAAAAAAAAAGTTTTGATTTTTTTTTTTCTTTCGTCACAGTTCGATTTTTGCTCGCCCTCTTCGACCGTGCGCTCGAGGAGACTCTCACTTTAGCGTCGTTTGTGCTTGTTTTGCTCACTGTTTTGCATTTCTGCTTGTCGCTCCGTGCAGAACGAGGGCGCCGCGGCTCCAGCTGCTGCTGCCAAGCCAGGCCAGCGAGTCGAGTTCTCCTTCTCGACGCAGCTCGCTCACGGCAGCGCCACCAAGAAGATCTCCAACTTTTCCAACGTCAAGGAGATGTACCAAGCCATCTCAACCGCCTTCAGCGTTCCCTTCGGCGATGTGAGTTTGGATGCGAAAGCAAGCAGCCACAAAAGCAACAACAAGCAAACCCAAAAAAAAAAAAAAAAAAAAAAAATCAAACACAACAAAGAAAACAAACAACAGCTTTTTTTTTTTTTTTTTTTTTTTTCTGTGCCTTTCTGTGCGTTTGGTCGGCTGACCTTGCCTCGTATGAGAAGAGGAGGGTGATGATGTGCTGGATTCAACGGAAGGCCAACCAAAAAAGAACGGGGGCAGGACGAGGCTTGAGGATCTCTTTGGACTCTCGCCCCCTTTTTTGGTTGCTTGGTTGCTTGGTTTCTCATGACTAATCTCCCTCTCAACAACGACAACAAACAACAACCAACAGATCGTCTTCTGCACGCTCAACACACCCAAGATCGACATGAACCGCCTGCTCGGTGGCCAGATTGTCTTTGACGACTTTATCTTTGCGCACTTGCGCGGCGAGACCAAGGTCGCTGAGGTTGAAAAGACCTCGTCGACCCTGGGTCTGTCCATCACCGACAACGGCGCTGGCTCGGCCTTCATCAAGCGCATCTACCCGGATTCCATCCTCGCCAAGATCCCGCAGGTCTCTGTCGGCGATCTCATCGAGGAGATTAACGGCGTCTCGATGCTCAACAAGCGCCACTCGGACGTTGCCAACACCCTCAAGGAGGTTCCCGTTGGCTCCAAGTTTGTGCTCAAGCTGGCTGCAGTCAAGCGTCAAGGTACATTTAAAAGAGGGGAGAGAAGGAGAGGAGGGCGGGACTCGTTTTTTGAGGCATTGTGTTCTCCCTCTACATGCACTCACCGTTGTCTGTCTTCTTTTGTCTGTGACGAGCAGGCGGCGATGAGAAGCATGCTACTCCTGCTGCTGCTGCTGCCGCTGCCGCCGCTGCACCCGCCGTCAAGCCACCGGCAGAGGAGAAGCCGGCCGCCCCGAGCACCCAGAATTTCAGCGATGCCAACAACTCGGCCGCGATTGCCACCAAGGTCGAGGATCTGCTTGAGAGCTTCATGGGCATCCGTGATGGCGATCTTGGTACGTGAAGGGTTTTTTTGTTTGTTTTGGAGCATTCTTTTGCATTTTGTGATTGTTCACTTTTTGTGTGATGTTTTGGCTTTGTAGCTAGTGAAATGATCTCGCTGGCCGATGGTTTGGAGAACAAGGAGCAGTTCATCGATCTTGTTCAGGAGAACCTTGGCGCGTTCGAGTTCCCTGACGAGTTCAGCTTGGACGTTTGGGACGTCATTCACGGCGGTGAGGCTGCCCTCTTCACATAAAGAGCGACGCACACACAAAAAAAACCCACAGGCTGGTGCTTGGTGGTTTTTTTTCTTGTTGTTCTCTGGCTCAGAGTTGTTCCAATCGTTGTTCATTGGCGCGTGCTTTTTGATTTCGAATGGACAAGTAATATGACTTTTTTTTCCAACATGTCCCTCCCCTCCCTCCCCTCCCCCGGGTCTTTCTCCCCCACTTTTGTTTGTTATTGTTATTGCTATTATTCCTCTCCCTTGTTGCGGTTTTTGAGTGCCGCTGAATCGCTTTGATTGAACAAAACCCGCCCAAAACCAAACTCAATATTCGGCAGTCCAATCACACGCTTGTAAGCAAAAGTTCGGCTTGTCTCATTATTATTGTATTTTATTTTATTTTTTTTTTTATTCCCTTCAGCTTTCTCTTTCCCTCACCCTCACCCTCTCTCTCCCTCTCTGCCTCTGCCTCTCTGCTAGAGTTAGACTCGTTTTCGTTATCTCCCTCTCCCTCTCCTTCTCCTTCTCCTTCTCTCCCTCCACTCGTGCTCCGCTTTCTTTTTGCTTTTCTTTTTTTTTATCGTTTTTCAATCACGCTCCATTCATTTTTTTTTCTCTTCCCTCTATTCTTCACTCGCTATTCCTCGTCTCTTATTCTGCCTCGACTCGAGTTACTCAATTGATAGCCTCCACTATTGCTGCGTTATTTGACAGGAGAGAGAGAGAGCGCGCGAAAGAGAGAGAAGAGCGTCGCAGCGGCCTTGTTGGGATTCACTACATACAAAAAAATGCTGCACGCCATCGACCTCAAGCCACACGGCCTGCCTCCGCTCCAAGCCATGCCCATGCAGCCCATGCAGCAAGCAATGACTGCCAACGGTGCTGCGAATGGTGCCGCACGCAAGCCGCGAGCAACCGCACAAAAGCCGCTGCTCGCAATGGCTCCAATGCCAATGCCAATGCAGCAACAACAACAACCGCAGCAGATGATGCACTTCCAGCCGCAGCAGCTCCTGCTCGACGACGCCATGCTGCTCGGGGACGGAATGGACGTCAACGACATGATGAGCTTTATGAACACGCGGGCGGCCGTGGACAACGACGACGACCACGACGATGGAGACGACTTTGACGACGAGGACGACGCTTTGGCTGCTGCTGCTCCTCATGGCGCCGCGTCGTTCGACTTTGCATCGCTCATGCCCCAGCCACTGATGCCGGCCGCATCCACCGCCCCATTCCAGACCGGCACCGGCCTCCTCCCTTCTGGCCCTGGTGTTGACGAGTACGTGTACATGCTGCCATTTCTTTTTGTTAACCCTTTCTTTCATTCGTTCTGTCGCACTCACCAACCTTGACCAACCCTCCAACCTGCGACACACAGTCTGCTTGCGTCTCTGATGGGCACGTCTTCGGTGATGCAACCGCAGACCCTGCTCAACCCGAATGCTGCGCCAATCTCGCTGGAGCAAAACGCCAATCTGATCAATCTCATCATGTCGCTGGGTGCGGCTGCTCCTCCTTCCGCACAAGCCATCGATGCATCTGCTGGGTAACGAAATTGATGTTGTTGACAGCGGCGGATGTGATTGGCGTTCTAGTCCCTAACTTTTTTTTTCTTTTTCTTTTTGTTCTTTTGTTTCATTGCGTCCCCTTGAACAACTCCAACAACCACAGCGCCAACCTTGCCAAACCTTCATTGTCGGCGGCTGCAGAGATTCGGCGAGCGACGCGCGTCGAACGTGAAAAGCGCCGCCAGAAGAACATTAACAGCGGGTTTGATGTCATCAAGGAACTCGTCCCGGGATGCTCGGATTTGAAGATTTCGCGCGCGACTGTGCTGCAGCGCTGCGCCAACTACCTGACCCACGCACAGCAGGCGCTGGGGCAGTACAAGGTGGTCAACGAGCACCTCAAGAGCGAAAACTCGCGCCTGGTTGCCGAGAACGCACGCTTGTCAGCGCTCATCGAAGGCATGATGAAGAATTCGCTGAGCCAGTTTGGCATTACGTCCCAGTCCTTTGCCGCGGCTGCCGCTGCCGCTGCAGCTGCCGCAGCTGCTGCCGCCGCCGCCAACACGACGACGTCCATCGCTCCGGGCACCTCGACTTTGCGCCCTGCCAACCCATCGAGCCTCTCGCCGGCTTCGGTCGACGGGTCCATCGTCTCGCGAAGCAGTAACCGAAGCTCCAACTCTGTCTCGTCGGCGTCCTCATCGCCCAGCAACGACGCGGCCGTCCACTCGCCGCATGGGTCGTCGCCCTCGCCATCGTCATCCACGGCCTTCTCTGGCGTTTCCCCCAAGCTGCGCACATTGTCGCCCCTTCTGCCTCATCCCACTGCGCCGAGCGTCGATCTGCTCATTCCTCCGGCAGATCTGACCGAGCCTGGCTCCAATGTCTACGTTAAGGACAGCACCCGCATCCTCTTGGTGCTGTGTGTCTTCTTTTTGATTTTCCCGGCGGTTGGCTTCTTTTCCCGTGAAGATCCGCATCTCATTGCGGGCGGCAACGTTCCTTCGTTCTCGAGTGGCCGTGCTCTCTCCAGCGTGGATGCTGGTTTGGACGGCGGCGCAGCCATCCCGACGACGACCGACGACGGCTTCCTGAGCGGCATTTTCAGCTTTGTGCCTCTCTCGGTTGTTTATCACATTCTTTTGTGCTTCCGCTGCCTGGCTGCAATGATTGTCGCTCGTTTGATCTTGTCGTCGCTCGAGCCCATCGCCTACCGCTCCGAGACGATGGTTTCTCAAGCCGCCGTTTTGCGCAAAGCTGGCGAGACTGCTTACAAGTAATGTTTTGATCACCGGGTGGACTGTGTTTTCTTTTTGACTGTTGCCTTCCGTCCTTCTCATTCCTGCTTGATTTACTTTGCTTGTTTCTTGTCTGCAGGGAGGGTCGTTTCGAAGCGGCGCACGAATTCTTTGTGCAAGCGCTCGGAACCCTTGGAAATCGGTACTCGTTCTCCTCCAACTGGCGGTCAGCTTTGAACATCCTGATCGAAACTGGACATCATCAACTCTCGAAGTGGAAAGTGGGTCAAATTGTGGATCGTCTGCACCGATGGGCCACTCGCACCAACACTTCCAGTGCCAACCACGAGCTTGCTCGGATTTATCATGGCATCCACATGCTCGAGTGTTTCCAGCACGGACGGTGAGCGTTCGATTGCAGCTGTCGTGTTGTTCTTGGAAGTCAGTTGTTTGTCACTGACTTGTGTTTTCTGTATTGGTTGCTGCAACGGGTAGTGAAAAGGCTGCCATTTACAGTGCACTGAAGGCCCTGAACCATGCTGAGGCGTACGAGCACATTTACGGCGCCACAACACCCGTCCTGTCCCAGATCTATTGCTCCATGGCATTCATTTACGACCGTATTTTCCCGCAGTTCAACTACATTACCAGGTATGAGCACGTCTTGCTGTTCGTTTTCCTCATTGTTTTTGTGTGTGGGGGGGTGTGTTTAACAATTCTCGCTTCTTTGCTCACTTTTATCTCATTACCGGGTCCGCAGACATTATCGCAATCTTGTCAATCGACGCATTCTGGATTTGGGCGAGGATCACGCTCGCGGTGTTCAAGAAATCCTGCAGCTCCAGCGCTCCGAGGGCCACTGGTGCCAAATCAACCCGATGCCTGGCCTGTTCATCGTCTTCATTCTGCTTTTGGCTTGCACACTCTGCCAGTTCACTGCATTCTTCTTTTCCACCCACACGTACACCGACTCGGCTCTCATGCACAACGCGATGGTGGTGCCCACGTTGATTCTGTTCCCGGTTGCAGTCCTCACAACCATGCCATAGTTGTTTTTTTTCCGTTGTGCCCCCATTTTGAACTGGGCTTTGCTGTTCCTGTTATGACTATCGTGCGTTGGCCGCCCGCCCTCTCGGGGTTGCATGCAAGCGACAACTGCGATGATTTTCCTTGTTTCTCTTTCCTTTGTTTTTCTTGGTCTTTTCTCTTACCGTTAAACCTGTCCGTCGCCTCCACTTCGTAGCATGCGAGCATTGTACAAACAATAATACAAAACATTTCAATCAACTGGATTTGCTTGTACAACAAAGCCTGCTTCACAACATGTCAGATTCCTTTGGTGTTTTGGCGGGCTTGGCTGCCGTTGGAGGTGGCTAAGAAAGGGACAAACCAAAGCAGGATAAACACACAACCAAGTCAGTTTCTGCATCATGGCAACACTTTTCTCGACATAACGTGACTTACTCGACGCGCAGCAGGCTGTGGCTTCACCAGCTCCTGAAAAACGAGAAAAAATCAAGAAACAACAAGATCGCAGAACATGAGCGTCAGGATTTCGAAATAAATCCTGAAAAGAGCATCGAAAGACTGCCGCATACCTCTGCTGGGGCAGGCTCTTCACTCGGCTCTGGCGTTCCCTCGTCGGGTGCGGCAATCCCCGCGGCTTCTTCCTCGGCGCGCCGGGCAGCTTCCTGCTTGCGCTTGCGGATGAGTTCGCTTGCAGCCATCTGGCTTTGAAGCTGAGGGTTGAACACGGACGGTCTCGCGACGGGGGCAGGAGCAGGAGCTGCGGCAGGTTCGGGCGCCGCGGCAGCAGCAGCAGCAGCAGCAGCAACTGGTTGTTCAATGCCACTCTCAAAGTCGGCCGCTTCGTCTTCGGTGAGCTCCACGGCAGCAGCAGTCGGTTTCGGCGCAGGGACTGGAGGCAGCTTTTTCGGGAGGGTCGGAGGCGGTTTGGCGGCCACGGCTGGGGAGGTAGGTGTGGTCGGGGAAGCGGAACCACTTTCGCCGCCGTCCTTGCTGGGGGCTTTGACAGGAAGGAGCGGGACTTTCGGAGCCGGCAAAGGTTTGGCTGCGGGCTGAGGCTTGTCTGCGGGCACGGGCTTGTTCGCAGGAACGGGTTTGTCAGCGGGCTGCGGCTTTTCGGCGGGCTGCGGCTTTTCAGCGGGTGCAGGCCGCGGCATGGGAGTCGGAACAGGCTTCTTTGCGACAGCAACGGCGCTTGCTTCGTCAGAAGAGCCAGAGGTCGGGGTCGAAGCGGTTGCCGACGAAGGAGTGGTCGGCGTAACAGGAGTGCTGTCCGTGCTGATTGGCGTGAGCGAAGGGCGAGCGGCAGGGATTGGCAGCACCGACATGGCACCTGGCGGCGGCTTTCGCAGCGTGCCTGGAGCCGTTCCGCCGACAATGTTGGAAAGGCTTTCGACCAGAGACTCTTTGCGCGCGGCAAAGGAGTGCCCGACGACGGCAGCCGGAGTGCCATCAACCAGCGACTCCTTGCGCGACGGCGGGGCAGATGTCGTTGCGTCGTCGGATACGGAAACTCCACGCGAAATCACCTTGGGCTTGGCAGCCACCGGAGGAGGCGCCTGCGCTGCTGTGGGTGACGGGACTGGAACTGCTGCATCCGAGATCGAGCCGCGGGCGGGTGCGGATTGAGTGGCGATTGCTGCAGCTTTTGTTTCGGATGCGTTTGTGTCGAGCACCGTTGCGGTCGATGGGCGGCGCGGCTGCGGAGTCGGGGCGGCGGCTTTCGGGCTTTCTGTTGGCTGCGCTGGGGCCACTACGTGTTCGGCGGCAAGCGGTGGTTGCGCTGGCTCTGCGGGTGGCGCCGCTACTGGGACTGGCTCTGCCACTGGCCCGGCTGCTGGTTCCGCCGCTTTATCTGCGACTGGCTCGGGAATCGACTTGGGTGCTGCCGTAGGAGGGTTTACCTCAACGTGCGACTGGGGTTGAGTTTCAGGAGACGCGTCGTCGCTGGAAGCGGGATGCGCTGCTGCCGCCGATGGAACGACAGGAGACTCAGCGACTGGCGAGGCGTCAATCGGCTCGGCCGACTTCAATGTCTCGGCAGATTCGGTTGGAGCAGGGGTGTCGGGCTCCTTGGACTCGACATTCTGCTCCACGTTTGGCTCAGACTCGGATGTGGACTCTGGTTCAGGCTCGACCTGCACAGGCTCTGGTTCCGAACGCGGCGGAGGAACATCATCTGAATCATCAGCACTCTGGGCGACCTCGGCGGGCGGAGGTGGCGGCGGAACATCCTCTTCCGGAGGCGGGGGTGGAACTTCTTCGGCAACAGCCGGAGGTGGGGGCACGTCGTCGTCTTCGGGCGCGGGAGGAGGCGGAATAGAATCGTCATCTTCCAGCGGTGCGGGCGGAGGAGGAATGGATTCGTCCGCCGCAGCAGGAGCGACTGTCGACGGAGGAGCAGCGACCGTCGGCGGAGGAGCAGCGACCGTCGGCGGAGGTGCAGCGACAGTCGGCGGAGCAACAACCACTGAAAGTGCTGTAACCGGTGCAGGCGCAGCAGCAGACTCACTCGCACCTGCGGCAGCAGCAGCCGCTGCAGGACCAGGAACTGTCTCAACTTCGGGTTTCTTGGGGGCACCATCGGTGGAACGACGCCAAACATTGGCGTTTGTCGTGGCAATTTCCAGCGCCTCGTGGGAAATGGAGGGTGCAGCTGCAGTGGCGGCAGTTGCAGCAACGGAAGCATGAGACTGAGCCGCTGCTGCCGCTGGGGACAAGGTCTTGGGAGCGGTTGCCGTCGGTGTCGAAAGAGTTGTACCGGAAGCTGGCACTTCGCCTTGATCGACGCTTGTCGAAATGAGCGATGCGCTGGTCGTGGGAACACGGACAGACGTGGGACGCACCGAAGTACGCCTGGACAGCTTGGACGCCGCGGTGTCTGTCGGCAATCCTCGCGACGGCGCCTTCGGGCGGGCGTCGCTATTGCCCGGCGGCTCGAGGAGTGTCGGAACTGCCGATGCGGGTGCAGAGGCCTCCTTAGGCTTGGGTGGAGCAGCATCTGCCGGCTCGGCAATCTTGGGTGCTTCTGTGCTGGGTTTCGTGGTGTCCTTTTCCTTTTCCTTTTCCTTTTCCTTTTCCTTTTCCTTTTCCTTTTCCTTTTCCTTTTCCTTGGTCTTGTCCTTTTTGCCAAACAGCGCTCCAAGGCCTTTCTTTTCCTTGTCGGGCTTGTCTTGTGAGACGACGGCGGGCTGCGATTTGCGAGTCACAGGTGCTTTGCCCTCTTCGTCCTCGTCGTCCTCAACAGGCGTCGCGGAAGCTTTGACAGAAGCTGCGGCTGTCGATGCAGGAGGAGCAGCCACCGCTGGAGGAGCAGCCACAACTGGGGCAGCAGCCACAACTGGAGCAGCCACCGCTGGAGGAGCAGCCACAACTGGAACGGACGCAACGAGATCCATTTTCGCTGCCGACACTGCAACCGCTCGACTTGTGTCATCGTCGTCGTCGTCTTGATTGTCCTTGGAGGGTCGCATTGCCTGCCGCGTGGGCGGTCGCCGGGGAGCTCCAATCTTGGCGCGAGTTTTTGTGAGATGCACGAGCTTGTCGTCAGTGGGAAGAGCCTCCGTGGGCAGTTCAATGCTCGCTTGAGTGGCAAGCGCGGGCGCCGCCGTGCGAACGACAGCGTCCACGTCAACAGATCCCCTGGCGGGGGTCTCCTTCAGCGCCGCCGCCGCAGCAACGGTAGCACTCGAGCCTCGCGAGATGCTCGGAGCGCGCATGGACGCTCGCTGCGAATGGGCAGTACCAAGCGCAGTCTCGCCAGCGCTGACAATCAACTCGAGCGAATCACACACGCGCTCATACAGAAAGTCCGACACAATGTTGGTCAACGAAATGTTGACTGCCTGCATTTTGCGGGCGACTTCGGCTCCGGCCGCCTTGACCAGCACTGCCGTCAGAAAGTCCTCGTCGATCTTGTCAGCATCGACCTGGACGCCGAGATTCAGGTGCACGAGCGCACGGCTGTCAATCAGATTGGGGTAGTCGTTGTGCAGCGCTTGCACCAGTCCCGAAGCAAACAGCTGGAAGTTGTCTTCCGTAATTTCGTGCATGGACTGCACCATGGCCGACAGATGACCGACAAGAGCGTTCACACCCGACTGCTGGGCCTCCTCTTGCAAAAAGTGGATTTGCGTCAGAATGGAGCTGTGCGCTTTGGCTTCGGCAATCAGGGCCTCGACAGCGAGAGGAGCGCCCACAACGTTTTCACCCTGCTGGACGGACACGGGCACAACTTCCAGTGATTTGCCTTCGTGCGTCTCGCTGTACTGCACGGCCAGATGCGCAGCCTTGGTGCACATTGTGTCGATATACTCTTGCTTGGCAGCGTTCGCCACTGGCCCAGAGCCGAAATTGTACAAGGACTGGGCCGTGAGCGTTTTGGGCGCTTGGTTTTTGTATAGCGCCTGCTCGAGCTGCTGCACAACGCTGACGCAATCCGGGTTCTTGATGAGGGTTGAAATATCCACGATCGGCAACGGCATGTGCGTCAAGGTTGAGTTGCGGTTGAGCGCCGCAACCACCATCTTGAGCGACGCAACCGTGGTCGCGTTGTCATCCCAGTGCAGATTGGTCAGCGTTGTGTTGGTCTGCAGCGCTTTGGCAAGGCCCTGTGCACCGAGCTCGCCCATCTGGTTGCCGCCAATGTTCAAGCGAAGCAGCGTGGTGTTGGCACCGAGCGCGTCCAAAATGGGCACAATGTCGCCCTTCAGCTTGCAGTCACAGAGCGAAAGGGATTGGATGGCGCTCTGGCTGCCCACCAACAAGTCCACGACCGAGCGGATGGCGGACGGACGCTCCTTGGTTTTGCGTTCAAAGCTCTTGTCCAGCAGCACATGACGCAGAGTGCTGTTGTAGCAAAGACCGCTCACAAACGAGCTCATGCCATCGTCCCCAAAGTCATTGTCACTCACGTCCAACGTGACGATGGTTTGCACCTTGGCCATCATGCTTCCGACAATGCGGGCGCCAGCGATGCCCAACTCGTTGCCTCGCACATTCAGCGACAGTTCAGAGACGAGCTGGTTGTTGTGCAACGCGTTGGAGAGGTTTTTCAGCGCCGAGTGTGGCAGCTTGGTGTTGGCGAGGTTGATATCGCGGAGCTGAGCAGCGCACTGGAAGAATTGCTCCTGTGAAGAAGTGCGGCGGAATCGTGAGCATCTCACTCGAAACGGGTTCAAAAAAAAAGGCTCGACATGAATCAAAACCACACTTGCACAGCTGGCTTACAAAACTGGCGGGCGGAATATAGCTCTTGGGATCCTTCTTGGACGCAAAACGGTTTCCCGACAAGTTGATGGAGACAAGGGTTTGTGCACAGCCACGGAGAAGAGCGGCAAACAGAGGGTCGACGATAATTCCAGAATCGGACAGGTCGAGCTGTGTCAGGACGTTGGGCACGGCCAAAAAGTCGGCCAGCGCGCTCACGCCCTCGCCAATGTTGTTATTGCTCAGATTCAGTCGCGACAACGAGCTGAGGGTGTTGACGTTCTTTTTGATGCCTTGAAGGAATCCGGCGATGCCTGTTGCGCCACAACGTAACAGATTATTTTTGTTTCGAGTGAGGCAACCAAGCGCAGTAACAACAGGGCAGAGCAAAAACCGCGATCGGGTCGGGTCGCTGTACCTTTGGCAGTTGTGCCAGTGCTGGAAAGGTTCAACTCCAGGATGCCGGCAGTCATGTTGCCGAATGCAGCGCCGAGACTAGATAAGGCTGTTAGTGGGGGATGGCATGAAAAATGAAAAGTGGTTGAGTCGGGGATTTGCTCCAATGGTTTCTGTCTGAGCAACAACCAAAACAAAACACAAAAAAAAACAGAAGGTCAAAAGCACCTACCTTTGTCATCAATGGTGTTTCGGGAAAGATCCACCGTTCGGATCGAGGAGGAAGGATTCTTCATCAACCCGTCCGCCAGCGCGGCGAAAAAGTCCTTGTACGCGCTCGCGTTGGAAACGACAATCTCTGTCAAAAATTGAGACTTGTTCACGACGCCTGCGACGGAGGCAAGACCATCGGCGTTCAGTTTGACGTCACGGACAATCAGGCGCGTAAACCACGAGTTGAAGCTCAGGGCGCGGACGATCGCGACCAGGTCGTTGCCGTCGAGATTGTCAAACTCTTCCAGGTTGAAATCTTTGGTGCCGCTGGCAGCAAAAATGTTGTCAATGTCCCAGCAGACGTCCTCGCGGACGGAAAAGCCGAAAAGGTCGCACAAAAACCGATAGCTGCGCGTGTAGCCATCGCAGGCCGCCTCGGGAAACACTGCCAGCAAGGCGGTTGAAAGCGTGCCGATTGCCTCAAAGCTGTGGGTTGAACGGACAGGTGAGAGAGTTTGTAGAATGGAAGCGAGAAAACGAAGAAGGAAAAAACAAAACAATATCAGCGACTGAAGGAAATTCCGAACAGAAAGGGAAGGAGGGAAGGAGGGAGGGAGGGAAGGAGACAATCATACCGAACAGGTGGCCGAACATCAGCCTTCAGCATGAGACGAATATCGCCCTTGGACATGTTGAACTGCATCGCAGCAAACGTGGCAGCAACAAGCTCGTTGGCCACCTCCTCGGATGATGTGCGGAAGACGGCCAGTTGTTCGCCACGCAGCTTTAGCACAACCTGTTGTGGACGGGAGAGCGAGCACCGTGCAAAAATGAGATGGAAAACAAGATGGAATAGGGGCTGCTGTTTGTGAAGGAACTGACCTCATCGGGCTTGAGCGAATCGAGTTTGAAGATATCCAGAAGATGTGCATGAAACTCGAGCTGGATGAATCCCTGAGATGGAGCGCATGAAAGTTGTGTCAGTTCCAACGATCGCAAACCTCAACGCCCCATTGTACTCAAACAAAGCTGACCTTGGCATTCCGCAAATTGACTACGTAGAAGCGAGTGCTCGAGATGATCTACAAAAAATGCACACAAGCCAAGGTTGGCTGCGCAGATGCAGATGCGGATGGCGGGTTGCACAAATCAGCTTGTTCGCTCGCTTGCTTACCAGGACGCGATCTTCGAGCTTTCCCTTGATGTCGTACTTGACGGACTTTTCAAAGAAGATCTCGGTTGGATTGCCAATGACTTCGCGCACCTTGGCTATTTGGGATGTGGAGCACGCGTGAGTCACCAGGGAGAGGTTGGCATATTAGGAAGGTTGCCCCGCCATTGTCAATCCACAGGTTCTCAGGCTCTCGAAGGACACTCGCTTGCAATACAATGCAACGAACTGCAGCACATTCAAAATCCAACCCGGAATCAAACAAAAAAGATCACAAACGCAACTCAATGGTAAAATGCATTTTGCATTGGAAAAAAGCAATAAAAATAAAAATAAAAAATAAAATAAAAATAATAAAAAATAAAAATAATAATAAAATAATAAAATAATAATAAAAGTCATTTCAGCAAACCGTGCTGCTGGCCAGTTCAAAGGAGCGAGCCAGGCGGCTGCTGCTGCACGAGTCCAACAGAGGCTGGGGATTGTGCGCGCCGAGGGAGGGGAGGGGAAGGGGAAGCGAGCTGAGAGTGGCTTGAGAATGGCGGTTTTTTTGAGCGAGAACGTACCTGTGAGCTCTGGCGACAGCATGCCCGCCGGCGACAGCTGCTGGCTTGGATGGACCTGCGAAAGGGGGCGAGAATGGGAGATGGGAGATGGGAGATGCGAGTTGAGTGTTGGATTGCGACGAACGACCCCCGTTTGTTCAGCTTGTTCAGCTTGGTTGATGCTAAAGTCGTACCATTTGCAAAAAGAAAATAGAAGAATGAGTGTGGAGACAGCGAATAAATACGTACAATACGTACAGGATGGGGACAGAGAGAGATAGAGAAAGTGAATGAGAGTCAGTCAAAGAGGCTCATCCTCGTCCACCATCCTCCCAATCCCCCTGATTTCAGTCAAAAGCAACGCGATCATCCATGTCGCTTGCTTGCTTGCTTGCACTCTAAAAGCAAAGATGCATTGAATTGTCCATTCATCACCACTCACTGCTCGCTTTGGACAGTCCAACTTTCTTTGGTCTGTTTTTGTCGTTCAACAATTCCCTGCTTTAAAGCCGGATAGACCCACCCAGTTCTCTATCTTCAACTGAATATTGTTGCTTTATTTCTCTACATTTTCTGCTCAACTCTCAGCAGCTCAGCAGCCGAGTGTTGTTCTTTGTTTTTGACAACAATGCGCGACATTCAACGCATTGCAAGTCGCTTACTGCGCGCAGCTGGACTGCACCGCCTTACCTCATCATCAATATCATCCCTATCATCATCATCATCATCATCACTAGCATCATCATCATCAGCATCAGCACTAGCATCAGCAGAATCAGACAAACCAACCGCCGCCGCCGCCGGTTCTCCGATTGCTCGCTTGTATGGCCTCGCGACGTGCGCCATCACGCTCCAGCACAACATCTTCCTGCTGTACTATGTCGATGTGTTTGTCTCAGTGTACCGCATCTCGCCGACGGCCTTCTTCTACGGCCAGCTCGTCTTCTGGCTGTGGAACTCGGTCAACGACCCGCTCTTTGCCTGGTTTAGCGACAAGGCCATCCTGACCACCGCCGCAGCAGCCGCAGGCGCAGGGACAAGCGATGCCACGAATAGTAGCACGGGCCATCCGAATGCAAGTCTCAAGAATGGCTCCACCGCGGCCGCGGCCGTGCGAATCTCGCTCGCGACGCTCCAGCGCCGACTGCGCGCACTCACTCTCGCAGGTCCGCTCATGTCGCTGTGCTTCCTGTCGTTCTGGTTTCGATGGACGGAATCCATCCCCATCCACTTTGTCGTTAGCCTGTGCGCGTACGATGGCTTCCTGACGTTCGTGGACTTGCAGCACCAAGCACTCATGGCCGATCTCGTCGTCACCGTGCACGACCGCGTCGAGCTCAGTCGCTACAGCTCCATCGGGAGTCTCATTGGCTGCGTCTCCGTGTTTGTCTCGTACGCCGTCTGGAATGCCACCAATCTCGCCCAGTTTCAGCTCTTTTGCACGCTGCTCTCCGTTCTGTCGGCAATTGCGTTCGTCCTGTCCGGTGCAGGCCTGCTGCGGCTGGTCACGCAACGGTCTGCTGCAAAGACAGCATCGTCGATGCAGCGTGTGACAGTGTCGCATGACTCTGCCGATGCCGGCCACGCAACCAACGGCATCCTTCCCACGCCGGAGCATTCGTCTCACCATTCCGTCCAGCCACAGCCCACGCCAGTGTCGTTTCTCCAATTCTTGCGGCAAATGCTTGGCTATCGCAACTTTCTTTCGTTCACGGTGGTCAGTCTCGTGCAGACATTCCACTGCCACTTCAACTCGAATTTCTTCCCGCTGTTCTTGCACTACCTGCTCCGAGACGTCGTCTCCCCCGCGACAGCCAGCATCCTATTGGGCATTTCGTTTGTCCTGCCGCATCTCAACAACCTCTACTTTAGCAGCCTGTCCGAGCGCATCGGGGTGTACCGCGTCGTTCGCGGATTGCTGGCCGCCAAGCTCGTCATTGCCGGTGCGCTCGTCCTGTTTGGTACGAGTAGTCAGATGCTTTTAACGCTCTTCATTCTGAGCAATCGGATCTTTTCCGAGGGCACGTGCAAGCTGCTTGGCCTCGTGACGAGCGACCTCGTGGATGAGGACTACATTGTCCACCATCGCGACCAGGCCGTCTCTGCCCTGGTATTTGGCACAACCAACCTTGTCTCCAAGGCAGGCCAGAGCCTTGCGCCAGTGCTCGGCACGTGGTTTCTCATCGGGCAAGCTGCCTCGGCCGCTGCCAACTCTGGAGCTGCGCCGATCCAAAGTCATCTTGTCGGCGGTGTGATTGGCGCGGTTGCCGAAGAAGGCTCCATTCTTGCCAGCATTGAGAGCTTTAGTCCCCAACACGCGCAGCAGGTCATGCTTGGCATGCTCGTTGCCGTCCCTGTCGTCTGCGCCTGCATCCAACTGGCTGCCTGGCATTACTTTACCCTGCATGGCGCTCAACTGCAGTATGTCAAGACTGCCATTTCCGCACGCGAGGGATCCGGGCATGCGCAAGCCTAAGTGCATTGACTTTTGCCTGTTCTTGTTCTTTCGTTTGTTGTTGATGATGATGATGTTTCTGTTGTTGTGTGTTTTTGCTCGACGCTTGTCAATACAGCCTGCATTCTACCGATTCCTTTGTGTCTCCTTCCTTATTATTATTATTTTGAATGCTCAGTCTTTTATTGTCTCGATTGTCTGCATCATCTGAGCAGGCGAATATCGCTTGGTCTTTTGCAGTAGAAAGTGGATGAAGACTCGACTCTCGTCCGCGGCGTCCCCGTCCCTTGCACGCACCCGACGCTCGACGCCCACACGCCAGCAGCCCGCAGAAACGCCATCCGCAGTCATTGGGCGCGACTCGCTGGTCCCTTGGCGCAAGATTCTCTACGAGCGCCAACCAGTCCCAGACAACTTCCTCCCGCCGACCTTCCTTGACACTGTCCAGACGAACGGTAAGCCAAGTTCAATGCCCAACTAGGCAGCCGGAACTGAGAGCTGGACGTGGGTCGGTTGTGAAGGGGAATTGCCGCGATTGTTCTCTCGCGTTGGCGCTCAATCTGAGATTTTTGATTGTTTTGTTTTGTTTTGTTTTGTTTTGTTTTGTTTTGTTTTGATCGCTTGCGCTCAATCACAATGGCAAATCAACCAACCGCCCACCCGACGCACAATTTTGCTGTAGTGCATGTTCGTCCGTACCGCTACTGGTCCACCGTACTCAGCTCGCTTGGAGTTTTGCTCCAGATTTGCGGCGTTCTGAATGTTCTTGCCATCTTCCACCTGCTTCAGTCGCTGCGACGCGCCGACGACACTGTCGATGAGAATTCCCGAAATGGAGGGCACGGTGGGCTTCACACGGCAGTGATTGAATCGGGGTGGATTGGAATCACCGATTTCGGCAGTTGGGCGACAGATCGGCAACACACGCCGATGCATGCTGTTGCGATCGCTCTGGCCATGGCAATCGGCGCAGTCTCCTTGCTGCATCGCACCCGACATGGCGTGCTATCTTTAGGTAAATGCACATCTTGCCGATGGTTGGCCAACGTGTCGTCAACTCACGTTTGCTGCCTTTTTTTTTTTTTTTTTTTTTTGGCTTTACCTCACGTTCTGCGGCTCCTTTTTGCGGCTTTGTCAACGACCACTGTTTGCAACTTGATCAGCCTGGGAATCGGCCAAAAGCGCGTCTCTATTCATCGCCTCTTTGGCATTCGTGCTTCCAGTTTTGTTCTCGTTAACCGACACGATCAGCACTGACACGATTCATGCAATGGCTGCGGTCGCGCTGATCTTGACGGTTGCAGTGCATGACTACTCGTTCAATGCCCGAAACGACCGTGACGGTAGCTTGTACGGCTCAAATTCCAGAGTTCTTTCGCTGTTGCTTCCGCTGTTGCTGCTATTCGAGCTGCTTGTCGTTGGCTCATCACTTGCATCGCAGTCTGGTCTGTGCGTCTTCTCTGAACACTGGCATGTTTGCCTGTGTCTGCTTGGCCTCTCGTCTTTCATCGCTATCGCATGTATTTGTGCTGGTTCTGTTTGCGACAGCGATGTTTGCCTTTGCGCCAGCAGCACACGCTCGCATCGAGGTAAGGTTGCTCTGTGTATATTCGAGTGCCGTCAACGCGATGCAGTGGTTACCATGTGCGATCTGTGGCTGGGGGTGGGGATTTGAGGAGCAGAGCACCGTTGGCACTGTCGTGTACACGATTGGCTCCTGTGCGATAACAATACTGCTGCTGATGCAAGCAGCCGGCGACAGGACATCCAAACTTCTGGTCATATCAGAGTTTGCTGCCTTAACAGCGCTCATTTGCCTTGTCTGTCCAGCATGGCTTGTCTTTGTGCAGCGTTACAAAAGGTACTGGCATCTCAGCACAACTTCGATAAACTCTTCGAAACTCACCCTCTCCGGCTGTCTGCATTGCTCCACCGCAGCGAGTTACATGGCCCTTGGGACGAGGCCATCATTGGAGGCATTTTGCACTCGGGTCAAACTGTAGGCAGCCAAAAAGCTGACCAATAGCATGTCATCCAACGAAAAGCGCATTTTGATTTGTTGCAACCAGTCGCAAACGCAAATACACACGCCAGAAGAATGCTCTCATAAGGTCACAATGTCTTTAATCAAACAACAGAGCACGGACAACAAGAAAAATCGACACGCCAGTGTACAGGAGAAGGTTCCATGAGACAAGACAAGAGTGAAGATATCAGAAACAAGCTCGGCCACAACAACAACAACAACAACAACAAGAAAAAAACACACAACCAAACAAAAAGTGGCAAGAGAAGACACAGAAAAACAAAAAACACCAACAACAACAAACATCGAGCGACGGATCCCCTCAAAAATCACAAACAATGAGACACCGAAACGACAAAGAGCTGTTAACCAGAGTTGCTGCGGATATACTCAAGCACAGCAGAGTAGACAAACTCGTAGTGTTCGAGGGCCTGGACCATGTTGGGTCGCTGGGATCGCAGCATCTTGACCGTGTGGAAGACATCCACCACGCCTTCGGAGGCCAACCGATCCATTGCCATATCAATGACAATGTAGGCGCCGGTACGTCCAGCGCCAGTCGAGCAGTGGACCACGACTGGGTTGTTCGGGTTGGCGTTGCTCTGCCAAATCTTCACCTGGGTCATAAAGTCGATAAAGTTGGCGGTGCTGGCGGGAAGGCTCGTGTCGGGCCACGCGAGGTACTGGAACTGGTCAATCTGGCGGGTTTCCTTGGTGGTCTCGTTGGTGATGGAGAAGCGGCGAAGAATGTAGTTGGTACGGTCGAGCTGAGACAGCAGGGTCACTTCAATCGCGCCGGCCTGCAGCACGTCCTGGTCGGGCCAGTAGCGGTGGCACTTGACGCGGCCGCTCTCCTCCTCGCGCGAGATCATGACAATGCCCTCGACGCGCTGCTCCCAAATCATGCGCCAAAAGTCGTTCCCAAATCATGCGCCAAAAGTCGTTCACGGTTGCAGGCAGGGGTCCCTGAGTCGCAATGTAAGCGCGCTTGCGACGGAAACCCTGGAAAGGCGGCCAGGCAAAACAAACAAAAAAAAATGAGCTTATGCACATGCAACAGCAACGCGCAACAAGAAGCTGGCATTGATGTAGTCACTGCCGTTCACGCCGGGAATGGCGTTCAGCTTGACACGAGTGTGATCGTCTGCAACAGAAGCCAAAAAGATCGTCTGCAACAGAAGCCAAAAAAAGCGCCCAAAGTCAGCCAGTTAATAACCCCCCCCCCAAAAAAAAAAAAAACCAAAAAAACCGGTTCCAAAACAAAAACAATCAAAACTCAAATGCATACAGGGAAGCAGGGTGGCGAAGCGGTTCTTGCTCTTGTTGGCAGACAGAGTGGCGGCATCGGTGGTGGGCTTCTTCTTGTCGGGCTGCTGGAAGAGACGGAACTCTTCTTCAAAGCCGGAAGAGTCGGTGGCCTTGTTGTGCTGGGCAAGACGGGCAACGTGCTGGGCAAGATCGCGAGCGGAGACCTCAGAGTCGCCGTTGGCAACAGCGTCGGCAAGCGTTTGGTAGATGAACATGTACTGCTCTTCGGTCTGGACCATGTACATGCGGTTGCGACGAAGGGCGCTGACGCAGCCAAAGATATCCACATTGTTCTCGACCTTGGTGCGCTCCAGGGACATGTCGGTGACAATGAACGTGCCGGTACGGCCGACACCGGCCGAGCAATGAATGACCATGGGGCCGGCGTCGTTGGGCTGGACGGCCTTGGCCTGCTTGACAAACTTGATGAGAGACGAGGTCGAGTGCGGGACGCCGTGGTCGGGCCAGCCAGTGAACTGCAGGTGGTGGACAGTGCGAGTCTCGCCAGTGCGAATGTTCTTGAGCGAAAAGACGCGAGTGATAAACTCGGAGAGCTCCTCCTGGCGAGTCATGCGGACTTCGACATCGCCAAAGACAACCTCGCTGTCGTCGGGCCAGTAGCGGTGGCACTTGACGCGACCCTTCTCCTCTTCGTTCGTGACCATCACAATAACAGCCGAGCGCTGCTCCCAAACCATGCGCCAAAAGTCGTCAAACGTGTCGGGCAGGGGGCCCTGGCACGCAATGTACGCGTGCGACTTGCGGTAGCCGTCAATGTAGTTGGCGTTGACGTAATCCGAGCCCTCGACGCCAGGAATGACAGACAGGCGGACGCGAGAGTGGTCGTAGGGCAGAATGTTGGCGTAGCGGTTCTTGGACTTGTTGGCTGGCATGAGCGCAGCGTTGGTCGCATACTCTTCGTTGACGTTCAGGGCCTCGTACTCTTCGGCAAAACCAAGGTCGCTGTTGGCGTGCAGCTGGGCAACGCAGTCGGCAAGCTCCTCGGCGGGCACAATGCGCGACGGCATGCCAGCCATGTTGTCTTGCTGGTGCTGAACTCCCATCAGCATCATCGAGTTGTTGGCATCCTTGTTCTGGCGCTGCTTCCAGCGCTGCTGCAGCGGCTCCCAAGGCATGGGCTTGCCTTGACGGCGGCGGACGAGCAAGAGAGCAACCAGCGCAATCAGAATGAGCGGAATCAGGACGACGGCGGCAACCCAGCCCTGCGAGCCGGCCGCAGCTTCCAGCGTCGTGGCGGACGTGCCAAAGGGACCCAGGCTAAAGCCAGCAGCAGTGAAGGTGCGAACGCGGAAGCGGTACTTGGATTCAGCAGCGAGGCCAGAGACTGTGGTCACGTTGCGGCCGTTCGTCAGCTCGGCGTAAACGACAGGCACGGGCCACGTCTCATTGTAGCCAGGAAGGAGGCGCTGGCCTTCGACGACGTACGAGACGATGGGGCCATTGATGTCGTCCACAGCGGGCCAGGAAACGCGCGCCTGGGTGTCCGAGATCGGGATAACCGTGGCTTGCAACGGGGTCGGGGGAAGGCCGGGCAAAGTGCGGGCCAGCACCTCGATGGCAGACGAAGTCAACGAGCTTCCAATCACAAAGACATTGAAGGTGTAGTTCCTGTAGGGGAGCAATCCAGAGAACACCTCCTGATAGGATTGCTGCGTGGCCGTGTTGTAGGCGGCGTTGTCGGCAGGCAAAGGGGTTCGGGTCGGAGCGTTGACAAAGGTCCAAGCACCATCCTCTTCTTGCATGTAACACTCGACACGGTATGAACTAAGAACGCTGTTTCGCTCCCAAGGCTGAGGGCCCTTCCAGCTGACAGTAATTGACGTGTTGGATGTAACTTGCGCATCGAGCAGACTTTCGTCCAGGATGGGGGCGCTCGGGGAGGTCGTGAAAGTGCCGGTGCGCGAGTCGCTCGGCGGCGAAGTACCAGCACCGTTCGTAGCTTGAATAGTGACGGCGTACGTGCGGAATGGGAAGAGCGAAGTAATCGTTCGGGTAAACACGTTGGCGGCGCTGTTCGAGCTCTGAGTGGGTGTGACATGCGCGTCGGTAAAACTAGTGTCAACAACCGAAACAGTGTAGCCCGACAGTGTTCCGTATGGGAAGTTTGGCGCAGCATAGGTGATACTCGCGCCATTCGCGTTGGGGGTCATGGTCAACGTTTCAGAGCCAGCAAAAAGAGGAGTCGCTTCAGTGGTTTTGAAAGTCACTGCAGTGCCGAGCGCAGTCGATCCCTTAGAATTGGTGGCAGTGATGATGTACGCATAATCCGTGAATGGCGTCAGACCAGTGTCTACGTAACTCGAGGTTGTGAGACCGGAAATAATTGTAGTGCCACCGCGACTAACCGAGTAAGTCAAAGTGGACGCGTCCTGAGGGTACGGAACATCCGGCCATTCGAGAGTGATCTGGCGGGACGAACGATCGCCCGTAAGGGACGACTGAGTCAAGGCACCCCAGCTAGGTTTAGAACCAGCGGTTGTCACGGTCAGGAACGTGTTGCTCGGAACAAAGTTGTCGGTCGAGCTTTTAACGTGCACAGTCACATTGTACTGCACATAGGGTTCATAGCCAGTGTTCGACGCTGCGGCGACTGTCACGGCGGCCGAATTGATGGACACGGTTTTGGAGAAAAGGGTCGGATCGGGGAACGCTGGGCTTGCGGTGATTTGAGTGGCCACAACTCGATACTTCAAGTTATTGGGATCGTCTTGAGCATAAACAGGAGCCGCCCAATTAAACACGAACGCGCTTGTGGTCTGTCCTGAGGCAGACAAAGTGGGAGCGGTTTGCCAAATGGGGTCCGCGGGGTCTTGACGCAAAGATGAAACAGTAGAGAATGGCGAGGAGAAACCAGAGTTTGCATTCTTGGCCGAAACTGTCCAAGTGTAAATGACGCCTGGGTAGAGCCCAGAGACAGTAGTGCTCGTGGTTTGCAGAATGTCGCTGGAAGTTTGAATGGTTTGATTTCCAGGGTTGGGTTGCCCAGCAGTGTACTGAACCCAATACACAATGGGGTCATTACCGTTCTTGGTCGTAGGTGCAGGCCAAGAAATGTCTGCGGTGGTCGTCGTGACATCAGAGGTCGTAATGGTCGGTGCGTTGAAGTACGGCGCGAGAGCAGGCACACTGACCGAGCCAGTCGAGGGAGTCGAGGACAAAGGACCAGCGTTTGTGATTGTCCACTCCAAATCGTAGACTTGGCTCGCTTGCATAGTGACCGTGGTGGTGTCAGTTGTAAATGTCGGGGCCGAGGTGAAACTGCCAGAACCAGTCGTCTTGTATCGCAGCAAAAATGTCGCGCTGACTGAGGCCGGAGTGCCGCGATAGTACGCGCCAGCCAGGTCAAACGTCACAGCATAGCTGGTCGGTCCGTTCGCAGAAAACGAAGGCTCGATCTGACTGGGGTCAATAGTTGGCGGGGCAGCGGCGGTTCGGATTGAGGAAAGGGTAGCGGTGGTAGAGTACTGGTCATTGCGCACAGTCAAACGGTAATCGTAAACTGTGTAAGGCGCCAACGATGCATCGTTGTCGGTCGTGGACAAGGTCGCAGCGGCGAACGTCCCGACAGACACGAAAGACCCTTGAGGGTTGTTGAGACGGCGTTCAACCAGCCATTGCGAGGCAGAATTGACAGTGGGGCCGTTGATGAGCGTAAGAACGCCATTCCATTCCAGTGAAACAGAGTTGTACGTCTGTCCCGTTGATGTGAATTGGCCTGCCACGATTGTCGGTGCGGCAGCAAGCGTCTGGATGTTGGAGGCGGTCAGAACAGCAGAATCATACGTATTCCCGCTACCGCTTCGGGCGTAAACAGTGAAAGTGTACTGATTGTAGGCGCGAAGGTTGGAGACAGTCACACTGTTCGTGGTGACGACACCTGAGCTTGGAGAAGGAGTAGGATTTCCGCTGATCGTCCAAGAGTAGTCACCAGTCAAGCTGTTCCATGTCGCTGCCGTCCAAGAGAACAGGATGGAATTGGCGGCCGGAGTTGACGACACAGTAGAACTGGAGAAGGTGGCCTGAGACGCGGCAGTTTTGAAGGTCGCAGTGGCAACAGTGGACAAGTTGGCTGTTGGTGTTTGGCTGTTTCTTGCCTGCACACTGTACGTGTAATCAGTGAAGGGCAGCAAGCCAGTATTGTCCGTGGCCGAAGTGAGACTGTCAGCAAAGTTCTTGATCGACAGCACCGAGGGTGAAGTTCGGTCCACCTTATAGAAGAGAGGACCACCGCCATTAGCTGTACCAGTCCATTGGAACGTGAGAGAGTTCGACGAGTTTGCGGTCACGCCGAGCGCAGTAACGGTCGGAGTGTTGGCAAAGGTGGTGAACGTAGTCAAGAGCGCATCCGCCGAAACGTTGTTATTCGTGTTAGTAAAACGCAAATAGAAGGCGTACGTCGAGCTCGGAAGCACGCCAGCGCTCAAGGAGTAGGATGTTGTCGTGGTCGGGTTGACCAGGGTTGCAGCACCCGAGTTAACCGAAAGACTCAGTTGATAGCCACTAGTTCCGCCTGAACCAGGGCAAGGGCTCAGTGCTGAGTTGGTCCACGCAAAACTGAACGCATTGTAGGTGTAATTGAGCGAGGTAACGGTCGGTGAAAGCACTGCCTTGTCAGCGAGGGTGGTGAAGCTTTTAGCGGACGTGGTGAAGGTTTGGCCGTCATTTGTCGTAGCAGTCAGAGTGTACGAGTAAAGGGTGCACGGATCCAAATCCTGATCGTCGGTAAAGAAGAATTGGCCGGTCAGTGGAACTTGATTCCGGCGGGAGTGTCAGTGTAGTTGACCCGCGCTTCAGAACAAAAGTGATTGGCGTGGGTCCGTTCAGAGCAGTCAAACTCCAACCGACAGTGACAGAGTTCTGGGTGATGTACGGTGCGGTGGTCAAGAAAGCGACAGTAGGAGGAGCAGAGGCCGTGGTCACACTGAGTGCACTGACAGGAGAGCTCGTGGAATTGCCGGCAACGGTGGTCGCTCGGATAGAGTACGTGTAGGGGGTGTATGGTGACAAGCCCGAATCAGTAAAAGAAAACGGTTGCGGGAATGAGCCAGTGTAGGATGCAGTACCAGCCGGCAGTGTCGTTAAATCGACTCCGTTACGTGACAGAACTTGAGCCAACGCCAAGTTGGACTCCTGACCGCTGCTGGTAACCGTCCAACTGAGAGGGACTTGAGTGGCAGTGATGGTGCCGGCAGCAAGGGCAGTGCCGATAACAGGGGCGACAGAGTACGTTCTGCCCGTGAAGACTTGATTAACACTAGCGGTACCAAGAATTCCGCTAGAAACAGTGATCCTGACATTGTAGTTCGTGCCAGGTGCGAGCACAAGCGCAGGAGCCGATGTGCCGCTAGAGTAGCCCGTCCAGCCGATGTAGCTGCCGCTGGCCACCTTCTTGTACTCAACGGTGTAGGTGATGGTAGCGGGTGGTCCAGCGGTTGACGCACCGGTATTGGCGACCAAACTCGGCCAGGAGAGAACGTATTCATTCACATTCGATGTGGCGTACATCAAGATGCTGTCAGCATTCAGAGTCACATCGTTTGCGGTCGTTTGGGAGGGTGGGGCCGCAGTTGCTCCAACGAGAGTTCCGCCAGCTCCAGAGTTAGAGTAGACGGAAACAGTGTAGGTGTAGGCAGTGTTTTTGGTCAGGCTACTATCGGCGAATGTCAGGGCAGTGCCAATGTACACAGGCGTGGCAGAACCAGGAGTGCGAGTGACACGATATTCCATAGGTGAAGCAAAGCTGCCATACGCGACCCAATTGAGCGTGATGGAATTGCCAGTGGCTGCCGAGAAAGTAATGTCGAGATCCGCACCACGAACTGCCAGGAGAAACAACAAAAAGATCAGCTCGAATCTTCCAGTACCAACCAAGCAACAAACCGCACTTACCAGAGCCCACCGCAGCCAAAAGCGCCACAGCGAGCAGGAGCAATCTGGGCTTCATTTGAGAAGAGAAGAGAGGAGAGGAGAGGAGACTAGACAAACAAACAAATCAAAATCGTTTCAGGTGAGCGAGGAGTAGAACACAAGAAAGGCTGGAAAATGGTTCGACGTTTTCCAATTTATTTTTTTTTTTATCGAGATTTTTTTTTTCCGAGATTTTTTTTCGCAGCCAACCGCAAGCTCATCTCGCTTTACAACCAACAAGACATGTCGATAGTGACAGCGGCATGAAGGATCCAAAAGGGAAAATCCACCAAAAAGAATCCAAAAATTAAAAAACTTGGCTTCCAAAAAAAAAAAAAAATGTGGTTGTTCGATTGCGAAAATGCAATGCAAGATCAAAGCTCGTAAAACTCTCAACACTACCCTCGTTCACTAAAAACGCAAAAAGGCAGAACACATTTTCGGTCCTTTGTGTTTTTTTGTTCTATTTTAAAAACAGAAAAAGCCGCATTCCGCAAACGCATCCATCGACGACCCATGCGACTCCAGCGCCACTGCCGCGCCCACGCACGAAATGCCGTCCTGTAGATGCACTGGCGCATGCGGCAAGGGGGGGCGGGGAGCGAAGGTCGCAGGAAAGCAAAACGAGAGAAGAAAAAAAAAAACGTATCATAAAAAAAAAACCAAAACCACAATCCAACCTTCCCTGGTTTTTTTTTGTTTTTTTCTGGATGGGTTTTCTCTTTTTTACGTCTTTTGTGGCTTTTTCTGCGCGAGACACGAATCAGCGCGGATGCAGCACAATCACGTCGATGTGTCCTGGCACCGACCAGCACGCCAGCACGCCAGCAACAACGATGCAAGGCGAGAGGGCAAGCCCCAAAACGGTTTTTTTTTCGTTCGATTTGTTTTTTTATTGCCTTGGTTCTTTTTTTTTTTCTGCTTTTTTTGCTTTTCGTTTTTGTGTGACTTTTGTCAGCGGTTTCAGGGCTCTGTGGCCGAAGCGCTGGCAGCAAATGCGCAAACACAGACGTCACGCACGCATGCCTCCCGGTTGCGGCTGGCGAGACCAGAAGCGACCAACAAACCAGAGAACCAAGAAAAAAAAAACCAGGACAGAAAAAAAAAATCCACAACATACTTTGAAAAAAAAAAACAATCAAAGAAAAAAAATAATACAAAACCCCAATGCAAACCCCAATGCAAAAAAAAAAAAAAAAAAAAAAAATCGAACTTACAGGAGAAATAAAAATAAAAAACAGGGAAAAAAAAAAAAAAAGATAAAAGAAAAGAAGAGAAATGGCAAAGTTCCAAATCGGGACGAAAGGCAAACTTTGCGCTGTTTTCGGCTGAGGTGGAGTGTTTTTTGGGAGAGTGCCTGAGGTGAGAGGGGTGGCGCTCGTGAGTAGTTGCTGCTTTGGACGGCTCGGAAGGGCTTGGCTGGTCAAAAACATCGTCACCGAAGAAGAGCTCGATGATGCTGGCTGCCAATCCTCCTCAAATGAAGCGCGCTTTTAGTCGCATCGTCGCTGCATTGACACCACATCCTCACAAAAACAAACAAACAAACAAGCAAAAACAAGACTCATTCTTCATATACAAGCACAAAGACGCAATGTCGTTCGCGCACAACAAGGGTCGAGCTGAAGCGCTCACAAAGCAGCGAGAACGCGAAAAGGAAGACTTTGAGCGGCAAAAGCAGCTGCTCGCCAAGGAGACCGAGCTCAAGGTGGCGGCCATCACCAACAAGTTTGCGGCTCGCGTCGATGCCGTCGAAGACAAGCTCAAGTCCGAGACGGTCGGCTTGGTGACGCTCGACGACTTTACCGCACGGCGAGCACGGCTCGAGCTCGAGCGCGCCAAGCAAGTCGCGGCCGCCAAGCTTGCAGCCGAAGAGATGGAAAAGTGCGAGCCAATGTCATGTCTTTGGCTTTCTGCTTGAGCGATCGAGGATTGCTTGGTCGGGATGTTGTTGGAGAACTGAGGCTTTGGCTTTGAAACGCATGGAATTCACTCTGCCTGTGTTTCCCGAGCAGAAGCCAGAATGCAGTCGCACCTCCGAAAGCAAAGGTCGTAACAGGCGCGCTGTCCTTCAATATGGACGACGAGGAAGAAGAAGGCGACGGCGGCGCTGCTTCCGAAGATGGAGAAGACTCAGGTACGCTTATCTGACCCTCCACATCTGATGAGACGTGTTGGTCTCGTATTGTACTTTGTGTAGACGAGACACATGTAGCATGATGCGCTTGTGCTCCCAGGTCGTTGGCAAGGGAGGCATTGCTGCTTGTATTGCTGACCTCGCAAGCCGTCACTTTACGGCTCTGATTGCAGAAGACTCGTCCTCGGACGAAGGGGATTCAAACCAAGCCACAGACGAAGGAGCGCCTATTAAACGAGCTGCAGAAGAGACCGCCGAAGATGCTGCCAAAGACCGGAGCAAAAAGTTGAAACTCATGAAAAATCCCGAGGTTGACACCTCCTTCCTTCCCGACCGCCAACGAGAGGAGGCCGAGCGTCAGGAGCGCGAGCAGCTGCGTGCAGAGTGGTTTGATCAACAAGAGCGCATCAAAAGTAACAAGCCTTGAACACCGCGTTTTCGAGCGTAGAATGTCGTCAAGTTCGGTTTGGTCTGACCTGAGTGCCGTACTGTTTGGTAGATGAAGAGATTGATATTGTCTACTCGTTCTGGGACGGTTCCGGTCATCGTCGAGTCGCCAAAGTGAGTGTCGTCGTTGGCAACGGGCAACGTGTTCTTGTTGGCTGTGATGCTCACGTTCCTCGCGTTCTCTTGCTCCTCCTGATCTTCCTCCATCCATCCTCACTCAGGTCAAAAAGGGCTATTCCATCGCCAAATTCTTGGACACGGTGCTGGACAATTTGCGAAAAGAGTTTCACGAACTGCGCACCGTCTCGTCCGATGGCCTCATGTACATCAAGGAAGATTTGATCATCCCGCAGGTACTTGTCGAACATGGCAATGGAGTCGTACGCGGAAGCTGCTCTTGCATTCACTTGTCTCTTGCATTCACTTGTCTCTTCAACCCCCTTTCGCTTTCAGCACTCGACTTTTTACGACTTTATCGTGACCAAGGCGCGCGGCAAGTCAGGTCCTTTGTTTGACTTTGATGTGCACGACGATATTCGCATGACGCACGATGCATCCGTGGAAAAGCAAGAGGTATGCATGCAGCTGCAGCTCAAAGTCCATGAGTTCCCATTGATCGAATCTAATTCCCCACCCTCCTCCTCCTCCTCCTCGTCATAGTCCCACGCTGGCAAGGTGCTGCTCCGATCCTGGTATGAACGCAACAAGCACATCTTTCCGGCAAATCGCTGGGAACCGTACGACGCCGAAAAGACCTGGGACAAGTACACAATCAAATAAGAGCCTGGATGGGTGGCAAACTGGGTTGTCTATTTGTTGTTCTTCACAATAGCACAAAAGGCAACAAAACAAAACAACACACAGAGACATGACCAAAAAAAATCTCGACCATGCGCTAGCAACCAAAAGAAATTGAAAACGACTTGTCCGCTTTTACTTGGTGCCGTACTTCTCCTTGAGTGTGGAGACGAGCGCAATGTAGCGGGTCTTGGCATCAGCCTGGGAGGTGCCTGTGGGTGTTGATGAAAGAGCGAGAAAATGGGGGGGGGGAGCAGGGCAGAAACTGAGCAATCGCATCCAAGCAGAATCCTGAACAAAACAACTGTGCCGTACCCTTGAGCTTTTCCCAAGCGTCCCACTTGGCCTTGCCAGTCAGGTCGAACATGCCGGGGCGAGCTGTAGAAAGTCAACAACAATAAACCAAATGTCATGAGCAAAAAAAACAAAACAAAAATTGTTGCGATCTCGGAGCGTTGCGTTTGACAGGACAAAGATCAACCAATTTCTCGAGTGTTTTTTTTTTTTTTTTTTTTTTCGACAGGATCAAGTGTCTGCTGCTCCCCGACCTGCGGGTTGTGACTCGGCCACCCATTGAAACAAGCGAGTGCGTCAAGCCGAGGCGCGGGATGGGCCGCAGAGCTGCCGGCAAGCAACGGCGTCACACAACAACCCCCGAAGTCACGAGCTCGGACACGAGCTCAGTTAAGGATTCCTCTTCCGATCGAAAACGACTCAAACGAGTGACCGCAAATTGCCAAAGCGCCAGACAACTGGGGGAGGGGCGAGCTTGCTTTGCCCATCACACACACTCATCCACATGCATCGAGTAAAAAGGCAGCTCAACCGCACAACTGGATTGGCAGTGGAGGAGCGGAAAAGGGGGGGAAAAAAAGAAGCAACCAAAAAAAAAAAAAAAAAAAAGATGAAAAATGCCGTACCAGTGTTGACGTCGCCGACGGTGCCCTGCTTGAAGAGCGAGTAGAGCTGGAGGAGCTCGTCGTTGCTGGGGGAGGTAGCAAGGTTCTTGACCTCAGCGGCGGCCTTGTCGAAATCGTCCTAATGCGAAAAGGCACATTGAAATGAAACAAAAAAAAATGAATTAAACAAATCAAAAAAAAAAAAAAAAGATCTGACAAATTTTTCAATCTTGCCATTTTGCCTTACAGACATGATTGGAAGTTGTTGGTTTTGGAGGACTGGTTTTTGAGTTTTTTTTTTTTTTGTTTTTTTTGTTCTTGTATCTCAATGATTTGTTTGATGAAATGTGGCGATTTGCCCAGGATGATGATGATGAGGGGTTTGATGACTTGTCTGCAAAATTTCAATGAGAACTTTCATTGTCTCTCTTTCTCGCTTTCTCTCTCTTTCTCTTTCTCTCTCTCTCTTTCTCCCTTTCTCTCGATTGCCAGATCACTTGGCGCCTTCTTATCTCGATCCAACTTCGGTTGTTCGTTTCAATCTCCTTTTTTTCTTTTCTTTCTCTTTTCTCAAAATGCGTACCTCATCTCTTCTCTTGGCTCTCGCGCTGCTCTGCGCTGTGCTGCTCGTCCCGTCCGCAGGTAAGCCCGCCTTCGTCTCCCCGCGTTCATGTCTCTTGCTTGCTTGCTTTGCTTCTGCTTCTTCGTCCTTTGCCCCTTCACTGGGGGGCGAGCCAGAGAGTGCCACGTTGGTCTCTGGGGAGTTTTGACCCATTCCAACCGCATTCCCTCCATTCGTCCAACCGCCCGCGCCGCTGCACCGCCACTCTATGGCAAGACAGTTCACGCGGTGCTCATTCCGAATCCAGAGTCGCTTTGGGCCTGTCGCGCGTCCCAGTGCCTCCAAAGCGCGTTTCAGCCACTTTTTCTCGTTTTTCATTTGAATGCTTTTTTTTTTCTTTTGCCTTTTTGAACGGGGTGACCCAACGCACAATGAACGTCATCATCATCATCATCATCATCATCATCACCATCATCACCATCATCATTACCACGACGCTCACAATTGTTGCTCTGGAAATTTTTTGTTGTGCTTCTCAATGATGTCAGTCTCTGGCCAAGCTGCCGAATCTGCCGCAGCTGAAATCACTGCTCCCATCGTCGATGCCACCACCACCACCACCACCACCACCGCCGAGACCATTGCCACCGTCAACAAGGACGAACTCAAGCGCCTGGCCGTCCAAGCCAAGCTGGACGCGTTGAACGTCGAGCTGTCCACTCTGGCCGCTGCTCCTGCCGATGCCGATCCCGCCCGCCGCCTCAAGGCCGAGTCCAAGATCGCCAAGATCCAGGCCAAGAAGGCCAAGATCGAGGCTCGCTCCAACGCTGAGGCTGCCGAGCAGCAGTTTGCCGCCCTCTGGCTTGCCGACCACCCCGAGGAGGCATCCGCCCCCGTTGCCGACGCCGCCGCCGCCGCCGTCGAAGCCACCATCACCTCCAAGCCCAGCCCGCTCGACAAGGCCCGCTCCAAGCTTGTTGCCCTCGGCAGCCTGCTTGCCAAGGAGGAGGCCCGCCTCGCCTTCTTTACCCGTCTCCAGTCCGAGGGCAAGCTTCCCGCCACCGCCCAGCCCGCCCAGCCTGCTCAGCCTGCTGCTGCCGCTGACGCTGACGCTGCGTCTGCCACTCCCGCTGCCCAGGCGGCTCCTGCCCTGTCCCCCGTGGCCAAGGCGGAGCTCCGCGTCACCCAGATCCGCGCCCAGCTTGCCGCCATCGAGTTGGTTGCCACCTGCACTGCTCCCTCCGGCGCCAGCGATGCCGTGTCCGACCAACCCGCTGATGCCGCTGCTGCCCCCGCTGCTGCTGCTGCCGCTGCTGCTGCTGCCGCTGCTGCTGCTGCCCCTGTTTGCACCGCCCGCACTCCCCAAGAACTCCAAGCACTCACCCGTCCCCTTCGCCTCAAGCTTGCCAAGGCCGAGGCCAAGCTGGCCTACCAGCAGAGCATTGCGACCGACGCTGCCGCATCGACCACTGCTGGTGAGGAGGAGGCTGCCACCGTCGAGCTCGACCTCGTTGAGCGCACTCGCCTGAACGTTGCCCACCTCAAGGCCAAGATTGCCAAGCTCCAGTACGTCTACGACTACCTCGAAAAGCACCTGACTGAGGAAGAGAAGCAGCCTCAGCCCCTCTCGCCCGCCGAAATCGCTGCTCGCGTCGCCAAGGCGCAAGCACGCGAGCAAAAGCGCATCCTGAGCGAGCAGCAGGAGATTCTCGACGCCCAGGCGACCATCGATGCTGCCGCTGCCAAGGCCGCCAAGCAGGCTGCCAAGGAAGCCAAGGCTCTCGCCAAAGCCCAGGCCCAGCAACAGGCTCAGGCGCAAGCTGAAGCCGATGCTGCCGCTGCTGCGGCTGCAGGCACACCCGCAACAGGTTCCGACGAAGGCGTGGGCGCTGATTCGGCCAAGGCCAAAAAGTCAAAGAAGGCAAAGCAGCTCGATCTGTGACGCAATTTCTTGCTTTTTTGTGCGCTATATAAATAAACCCCCATTTGGACTTTGAAACGTCAGTCTTCTTTTTTTCTGCCAGTGTTGAAACCTTAACCCCGTTTCAGTTTTCTTCTTTTCAAAAAATCTCCGTCGTCGCTTCTTCAGCCACCACCGCTCGTCGTCCTCTTTCCTTGCACTAACCAAGAAAAGAGAAAAGTATCCGTTTGCTCGAGTCATCCATCTACCTCACCGTCAAAAAAGAAGCCAAGAAAGCCGAAACGTCGAGTCATCGAACCGTTTCTTTTTTGTTCTTTTTTTTTTTTCCAGATCTCGAAACAGCATCACGTCATCGCTCCAAATTCGTTCGCGTTTCTTCGCGTAGCTTCGATTCTTTCCTGCCACTTTCCTGCCTTGTCGTCATCACACCCACACGACAACATCATCCATCACTACTACAACTACTACCACTAGCAAGTTTACCTCGACCATGCAGATCTTTGTAAAGACCCTGACTGGCAAGACCATCACACTCGACGTCGAATCATCCGACACGATCGAAAACGTCAAGGCTAAGATTCAAGACAAGGAGGGCATCCCCCCGGACCAACAGCGCCTCATCTTTGCTGGCAAGCAGCTCGAGGATGGCCGCACGCTCTCGGACTACAACATCCAGAAGGAGTCGACGCTCCACCTCGTCCTCCGCCTGCGCGGTGGCATGCAAATTTTCGTCAAGACCCTGACCGGCAAGACCATCACGCTTGACGTTGAGTCGTCCGACACCATCGAGAACGTCAAGGCAAAGATCCAGGACAAGGAGGGCATCCCCCCGGACCAACAGCGCCTCATTTTCGCTGGCAAGCAGCTCGAGGATGGTCGCACCCTTTCCGACTACAACATCCAAAAGGAGTCCACCCTCCACCTCGTCCTCCGCCTGCGTGGCGGCGCAAAGTGCCCCTTTGAAGGCTGCTCGGCCAAGACGGCACTCGTCATTGGCGATTGCAAGTACTGCAAGAGCTCGTTCTGCGGCACCCACCGTCTCGCCGAAACACACAAGTGCCCAGGTCTCCAGGACTGCCGCAAGCAGGCCTTTGACAAGAACGCCAACAAGCTTATTTCTGAAAAGTGCGTTGCTGCCAAGGTCTAGCAGGGCTCGAATCGGTTTTGACAATCGTTCGTTTCTTTGCTCTCCTTTTGTACTGTAGTATGCGCTTGCTTTTGACTGGAATAACTTTATATTGTGCAAGCACCCCTGCATCTCTTCTGATGGTATAAATACAAGCATTTGGGTTTTTTCTGCGCTTCAGTACGCTTGTTTCACTTGTTTTGACTGTTCTCAAGAAATGTCGAACTTTCAAGCATTTGTCAAGTTTGCGGTGATTTTTCGCACTGAGTTCCACTCTCCCTCAATAAACAACAACTGCACAAATTGCCGATGATCAGAATCGAATGATGCATTTACAGTTGCTGCTCTTGTACAGAAATGGACGAAAAAATCAAAATCAGTCGTTCTTTTTTTTTTCTTTCCCTTTTTTTTTTTCCCTTTCAATCTTGTAAGCATCTCCACTTCCCTCTCCACTTCCATCCTTTCACTTTTTCCACTGCAACATTCTGCCGGCTGCGTCCCCTTGCTACTCATTCGACCGAGAGCCTGTGGAATGGCGTGCGCCTTTACCTGACGTTGCGGAAAGCAAATCCACAAGGCCTTTACGTGCCCCGGCGCTGGAACGCTGCAACGTCGGCATCAGCTCGGAGTTTGTGCGGTCCAAACCAGCCAGCGGCTTGCCAATGTCGAGGGAGGGAATCTGGTTTGAGCATGGCATGACAAAGGAAAGAAGCGAAGAAAAATCGGGCGATCTCCACGCGGAGATCTTCCTTTTTTTTTCATTCGATTTTTTTTTCTTTTTTGGCCATGCGTTTTGATTTCCATTTTTTTTCTCTTTCCGTCGTTGGCCTGCTTCACGGCTGGTTTGGTTCCACGGCAGTCTCTTGCCCATTGCTGGGTGGCGAGACCTCTGATCTCTTGCAATCGGGTTGCGGCGCCTTTTTTTCCGTCCGGCTCTGCTGTGCTGCCTCTTTACCAGGGGCGCGCAAGCCAAGGCCACAAAATTTTCTTTTCTTTTTGTTCCAATGATTTTCCTATGATTATTTTTTTTTTTTTTTTTTGCAGGATTTTGTTCTGACTTGTTGCTTTTGATCTTTTAGAAATCAATGAACTGCAATCCGGCTTGACCTCGGCCTTTCAAAGCAGCGTGCCCCTCCTTATGGAGAACACTTGGTGAGTTTGTCTCCCTTTCTTCTCGACCATGTGGCCGACCGCGTGGTTTTGGCAAAAGTTCGTTTCCTGTCTTTTCTTCTTTTCGCTTCCCTCGCTCTCGGTGTGAGTGTGGGAATTCCCTCGACCTTGAATCTGATGAATTCTTTAAACTAAATTGACAAGCATATGTCTGAAGCAATCGCGCATGCGGACACTTTAGTCGTCTGATCTCGTTTTCGTTTTGTGACTTTCAACTCTTCGGCTTTTCCACTTCCTTTTGTCTTTCTTTGACGATTCTTTGCTCACTTGGTCTTGCTACTATCACTGTAGGTGTTGATGGAGTGATTCTTGCAAGTCGAGATGACAAGATCTCGCAATTGACTTGTCGATGGTAAGATTTCTCTTCCCCTCTGTCTTGTTCTTCTTCTCCAAGCCCGAGCCATGTTTGGCACTTTTTAGTGATGAATTCGTATACACGTTCTATAGTTTCATTTACCTGAATCTTCCATGTAGACAATTTACGACCCAGCTCTCTGACACTCTTTATTTTTTTTTTTCCCATCCTGTCTGTGTCTGCTTTGCTTTCCTTCTTTTGCTTGACGCTCACTCTTCCGCTCGGTTGTTGTTTTTTAGATTCCATCCGATTCACACGCACATCGTCTCGCAGCCAAGCTCTCTTCATTTTTGGTGAGTAGCAATTTCTTGACTTTTCTCTCTTTACTTTTTCAAAGCTTTGCAGAGTTGGGTTGATGATTTCGTTTTCCACGTTCAAATCACTCCAATCTGACGGGAAAATATACCCGGATGGTGATTTATTTCCACGACCAGCTCACTCTGACCACTCTGCAATAGCAACATTTTTTTTTCTTTTGTTGTTGTCCTCGTTTCCTTGGCTTCTCTGTTGAACCCTTGTCTCACTCTTGCTTGCTTCCTTTGATAGACTTGTCTTGGGTTCTTGTCACCCACCAGTCAGGCAGTCGCAAGAATGAATTCTTTTCGGTGAGGACTCTTCTATTCTCGATTGGTCTGCCCGAACCCTTTTGCTCTTTTTTTTTTTTTTTTTTTTCCTTGTCCTACCCCTTTCTGTTGAGCAAGTTATTTTTGACTGATGATCAAAGTTCTGCTGATCACTTCTTGATGAGCAACTCTTTTTTTTAACTCTCTTCCTGACTTTAACTTGCTTCACTTTTCTCGTCCATTGTTCCCTCCCTCTTTGTCTCGACTCTTATTTTGTGCTCACTTTGCTTTCACTCTTTGGTTAGTTTTCCGCTCTTCCCGTCGCAACACAACCTCACATGCAAACGCCAGGACTGATTGTACAGGTATGTGCAAAATCGCGGTAAGATGCGCCTTTTTCCCCCCCCCCTCCACTGTTTTGTGATGGTCTATCCAATGGCATAAGCATAATAAACCATGTTTTCGAAACATACAGCTTTTCACCCATCCAAATCGATAGCACATTCACTCTTTGATTCTCAGCTCTCATTCTCGCACAACTCGAGTTCTCCAGCGGCGTCTCATGAACTCTGGTGCTCCGCGATCCGTTGCACCGCGCATCCGTGTCTCGTACACGATTCGACCAGAGGGCGATCCGCGGCATCGCTTTGGGGTCAATGCGCTGTGTCTGAGCACGGCGCCTCAGAATGTCGAGCTCCCGTCTTCGTCGGCCAACCAGACGCTGTACACTGCTGGTCGCGACGGCGTTGTTCGCGCTTGGGACGTGACCCAGCCCGTTGACTCTCTCGCGAGCACCCGCACTGTCGAAGTATGACGACTTGCTCTTGGGGATTGGCCGCGTTCGGGACGCTCGTCATTACTTTTTTTGCTCCCGAAGCCCTGGTCCTCGCTCATACAGCAGGCATTCACTCACTTGATCTCTCTTGGTCTCGTTTCCAACGCTTGCTTGTTGCGATAGACTTGCATTCAGTCGTTCGATGGACATGCCGACTGGGTCAACGACATTGCGCTCTGTCCAAACCACCAACGCAAGTTCCAATCGCCACGCATTGCTGCACAGCACTGCTGAATGCCCCCAATCGCTCACTGTGTTTTTTGGTCGGGGTTGTTATGCATTGAGAGTGCAGTGCTCACGGCGTCCTCCGACACGTCCGTCAAGCTCTGGTCCTGCGACGGCGAGCTGCTCACCCCGCTGGACTGGCACTCAGACTATGTCAAAGCGCTCGCTGTCTCGCACACGTCGCACCACGCATTTTCGGCTGGCCTGGATCGCTTGATTGTCAAGTGGGATTTGAACGTTGCCAAGCCATCGGAGATCCTGTCCACCGGTTCGTACAAAGCAAGAGTTCAGTCGATTCATTGCAGTGGATTTGTGTTGTTTCTCAAATTCTCTTTTGCACAGCCGTCGAGTTGAAAGGGCACAAAGACTCTGTGTACAGCCTCGCCGTTGATCATTCTGGCTCGATTCTAGTCTCTGGCTCCACCGAAAAGGTGCGCAGAGCGGTTCAAAGGTTGTGATTGTACCATGACTTGACCTCACAGCGCAAACATTGTTTTACTGCTCACAGATTATTCGGGTTTGGGATGCTCGAACGCCCGCCAGTGTTTGCAAGTTGCGTGGACACACTGACAACATCAAGGCAGTGGCGCTCAATCACGATGGCAGTCTCTGCCTGTCCGCCAGCTCGGACCATACCATCCGCTTGTGGGACATTCGCCAACAGCGCTGCATTGCAACGTCGGACTGCCATACCAGCGCAATTTGGACAGTGGCCGTGAATGCTGATTTCACCAAAGTGTACTCTGCGGGTCGCGACGGCTCCGTGTTTGTCACCTCGTTGGACACGTTCAAATCAGAGCCAGTGCTCACTGAACAAGCCCCAGTTTTACGAGTGCGTAGATTTGCTTGACATGTGCATGTCACTGATCCCTCCCTTGCTTGCGCACTAATTTCTTTCATCTTGGGTCGTGGCTTGCAGTTGTGTTTGGATGAGAGTGACCACGCTGACACAAAGCTTTGGGTCGCGACCACCGATTCGACCGTTCGACTCTGGGTACGAGCCACATTCTCCTTGTGCATGGCTGAAGATTACAGCGCTTGCTCATTTTGGCTTATTTTTGTTTTTTTTTTTTTTTTTTTTTTTTTGGGGGGGGGGGCGCCTTATCTTCAGAGTGTTGCTGCAGCCTCAACGCACGGTACCAGCAGGGCCAGCGCCGACTCCTCGGCCACGACAGCGCCGCCGCCGGCTGCCCCGCTTGTGACGATCCCAGGTATGTTTGCGCCTTGCTCCTGCATCATGTGACGGATCCTCTACCGACCTTTCAACTGCTGTGGTTTTGCTCGTTTCAGGCGCGCCGGCCATCGTCAAACATCATATTTTGAATGATCGGCAAAGAATTCTGACGGAAGACACTGCGGGCAACGTCGTACTGTGGAGTGTTCTTCAGGTTTGTATCGAGCTGCAAAAATCCAGACCTCGAAACGCGCACTGGGGACTGCTTTTGTTGACGCCTGTTTGCCCTTCGATTGTGCTTTTCTTGCCAGGCGCGAATGGAAAAGGAATTCGGTCAAGTCGGCTTTGATACTCAACTTGCAGCTCTACATCAGATGATCAGCCTACAGTCCTGGTTTTCCGTTGACTCGAAATGTGGAGTACGGCTTTGCGTTTGTTTTTGGTTATTTTGAGGACAACCAATACCGTGTACCGTGCTGCACCAACTCACTCTTGTGGTGACAGTTTTTGACAATCCATCTTGACTCTTCGCAATGCTTCATTACTGAGGTGTATGCATCCGACATTGGTCTTGACGCCGATCCCGAAGTTCGAGGTAAGTGACTTTGTTCGTGAGCGTGCGACCGCTTCTTCTCCGGCTCAACACTCACTCTGCTGAACATGCAGTTGGCTTGGCGCAGCTCGTTCTTACGAGACTGTTTGCAAATTGGCTGATCTCGTTCAACGCAAAGAAAGGATTGAGCAATGCGCTGGAAGCGGATTCGACGCCACCGCCGCTCGGCGAACCTCATTCACCCTTGCTTGAGAACCAAGGGCCTCAATTTGCGTCAGAACAGTCCAATGGCGTTGCATCCTCACCTGCCGCGGATCTACCTTCCCCTTCAGCCGCAAGCGTCAAGCCTCGAGACGGCATTGTGGGAAGGCTGCAACGAATGGCTTCCAGCAGCTCGCAGACCACAACCCCGAGTGTAGAAATTCCCTCTGCTGCCGTCAAAGAGTCTCAGACCGTAAGAAATGGCCAGCTCAACAAGGTTTTGTGGTCAAAGTGATCGGTTGTGTTTTCACAACGGTGGTTTGTTTGTTCTTTGTCTTTCGTGGTTGCGTTTCTTATCGCACAGGGAGAGTCAGAGCTCGATCGGCATGAACTGGAAATTCCAGATTACACCACGGTCATGCTCATGGACATGTCAAAAGCTGCCACAAGTTCTGGTTTTCCATTGTTTCGTTCGACATGCCGTGCCATGGCGGATGCGTGGGTGGCTGATGCCTTGGCAAGCAAGATGCCGCAATGGCTATACGATTTCCTAACAACGGTACGGTCGTTTGCGTGGGAGGGTCAGAGTGGTGCATGAGTGAGCTGTGATGCATGGTTTTTGCTCATGTGCTGGTGCTTTGCTCTTCTCGTCGTAGAATACCTGCAAGCGTGAGCTTGGGCGCGACAAAATGAGCCTGGCTGTTCAACCCCATCCTCAGCAGTTGCCCGGTGAACCACCGCTTCCAGTTCTGCCCGACCCGTAAGTACAGTAGGATTGAATGGTGTTCAACCCTTTTTGTGTGTGTGTGTGTGTATGTGTGTGTGTGTGTTGTCGTTCACTCGACTGCTTGAATTGGTTGCTTCTGGCAGCGCATACGCAAAGCTCTATGCTTTCCGGATACTTCGTGTGAGGCGACTTGCCAAGTTTGTTGCCGACAAGCTTGGTATTTCTATTCCGGATGGATTCGCGCCAGAAGAAGTCATTGAACTGACTTGTGACAACAAGGTAGGTCTCGCAATTTGCACAGTGGAGGTTGTTGCCATTTCAGGTTGTTGCACTTTTTTTGTCTGACTTTTGGGCTGGATTTGCAGGCGATCGATCCGAACATGAGCATTGCTACGGTGAAGCAGTTTGTGTGGTGCCAACCAGAAGACCTCGTTTTGCACTACCGAAGATGCCCCCGCCGATCGTAGCGTGGTGAACTCGATTCGTTCGTGAACAATGTGCGCTTGTCAACAATCACAAAGCCCTTTTGTACTATCCCGATCATTAAATTTCGACCCCCCCTCTTTTTTTCACTTTTTCGCCCTCCCTGGGACCTGTGTTGCTTTCCGTCTCGCCCGCGGAATGTTCATTCATGGTACAGTGTACCAGACACATTTTAGAAGTGAAGCAGCGGGCTGGGAGTTAAGATTCGAAGCGAGAACAGACAAAAATGAAAACTCAAAAAAACAGAAAAAGAGCGGCTTTTTTGCCCAATTTTCACAAAGCATTACATGGCACACAAACAACGTGTCGCAGCGCCTTCGCTCCACTTCAGTACTTGGTATGACCACCATTGGCATCTATCACAGCTTGAATGCGGCGCGGCATCGATGAAATGAGATCGCGGCAGACCTCTGGCGTGAGCACTTCTTCGTAGACCGCTTGGAAGCGTTCCCACAACGCGGCCTTGCTCTTGATCTCCCTCTCCTGGTAGATCTTGTTCTTGACCATGTTCCACGCATTTTCGATGGGGTTGAGGTCGGGAGAGTTCGCAGGCCAGTCCAGGACGGTGATCTGATTGGTTTCGAACCACTTCGCCACATCTTTTCTTTTGTGACAAGGGGCATTGTCATGCATGAAAATCATCTCGTTTTTGTTGTTCCACACGCGAATGCTTGCTAGCAACTCGCTCTCCAAAACTGAGAGGTAGGTGTCGCCGTTCATGACGTCGCCGACCTCGCAGAAAAGCGAAATTCCGAAACGAGAGATGGCGCCCCAAACATTGATATGGCCACCGCCGAACTTGACCGTGCCCTGCACGCATCGATCGGTCAACGTTTCGCCAACCAGACGCCATACACGACCACCGTTG